CCCCCGGCAAGGCTGCCCGTCGCCTTCCCCCCCCCTACGTCATTTCTCCCCTGCCATCTCGACCAGGTCATTGTCAGACGCGGCCATGGCCACCGACGTCGAGACAAACTCTGCGCTCAAGCGCGTGGACACGAGCAACCAGGCCATCGCGGATGCCGAAGACCTCGCTTGTTTCGGCCATGAGCAGCTTCTCAGTCGCAAGTTCAACATCTGGAGCATGCTCGCCCTGGCCTTCTCAGTCTTGGGTACTTGGTCCACCTTTGCTCAAGGCTTGTCCAGTGGCTTGACGAGCGGCGGCCCTGTAGCTATCCTCTGGGGTCTTGTTCTCGTCTTCGTCTGCAATGTCTGTGTTGCTGTGTCTCTGGGCGAGATGTGCAGCAGTATGCCCACCGCGCTGGGTCAGGCGTACTGGATCTCGCGTCTCTGGCCAACATCCTACGGTCGATTCTGCTCTTATCTCTGTGCTTGGGTTAATACTTTTGGGTGGATAACGCTTAGGTAAGCACTAATTATCATTCTAGAATGTCGAGAGATCTGTTTTTTGTGTTGTTGTGGTGGTGATAGCTTCTTTTGGAGTCGTTACTACACTCACAACACCAAGCTCTTTTTCTCGTCTGTTTTGCCGGGATCTGACTAATAACTCCTTAGTGCCTCTCAAATTGCCTTCATGACCGAGTTCATGTTGAGTATGAAGGTCCTCTTCAAGCCCGACTGGTCTGGTGCGAGCACTGGCTGGGTTCTCTTCCTCGTCTATGTCGGTGTAACATTCACAATGACCCTCTTCAACGTCGTTGCCTGCCGAAAAGACATTGTCCTTCCCATGTTCAACAACTTTGTCGGTATCTCCTTCGGAGGACTCTTCTTCATCATCAGCCTAGCGCTCCTCATCTCCGTCGGAACCAAGGACAACCTCGAATTCAAACCCGCCGACTTTGTCTTTGGCACTTGGATCAACCAGACCGGCTGGCCTGATGGTGTCACCTGGTTCATCGGTCTCGTCCAGGCCGCCTATGGTCTGACTGCCTTTGACGCCGCCATCCACCTCGTCGAAGAGATCCCCTCGCCTCGAACCAATATCCCTCGCGTCATCTGGCTTTCCGTGGTTATTGGTGCCATTACTGGTTTCATCTTCATGGTTGTTTGTCTCTTCTGCATTCAGGGCATGGACGTTGTGCTGGACCCTTCGACCGGTCTGCCTTTCATGGACTTGCTCAAGGAGACGGTTGGTCTTCAGGGAGGTACTGTTCTCTTGGCTCTCTTCATCCTGAACGGAATGGGACAGGGAATTGGCATCGTCACCACGGCCTCGCGTCTTACTTGGGGCTTTGCTCGTGATGGCGGTATCCCCTGGAGCAACTACTTTGCCCGGGTTGATGAGACCTGGAAGGTTCCTGTCCGCGCTCTGTGGCTTCAGGGTGCCATCATGGCTTTGATTGGAGTTCTCTACACATTTGCTTCGACTGTGCTGGAGGCCATTCTCAGCGTCAGCACCATTGCCCTCACAGTGTCGTATGGCATGCCTATCCTGACTCTTCTCCTCGTCGGCCGAGACAAGCTTCCTCCTGGGCAGTTCTCCCTCGGACGATTCGGCTCCGTCATCAACTGGGTTTCAGTCGTCTACTGCGTCGTCACAACCATCTTCTTCTTCTTCCCGAGCGACCCGAACCCTTCCGGCTCCGACATGAACTACGCTATCGCCGTTTTTGGCATCATGCTGGTTGTGACACTCGTCTTCTGGGTCGTCAAGGGACGCATCACATACATGGAGACAGAAGAGGCCCAGGGCAACGTCATCTACGCCCAGCAGGCCGAGCGAGCCAACTACGTGGACCGTACCAAGGAGCAGAAGGAGACGGACCGACAGGCCAAGACTGGAGTTTCCTGACTGGGGTTTGGGTTTACTTTCCTTTCATGTACAGAGACTGGTAATTCTTCACGTAAATTAGTGTGTTGTTGTTGGATGGACGACAGTTGGATGTTAGTCTACGATGGATGTCTCATCTCTCACAATACAATAGCTCGTTCTTTACTCACACTGTGCTTTTGGCCTATCTTGTTGCCCGTTTGGGAATGGTTAAATCGTGACTGCATCTTAGACCGTGTCGTGCATGTCACCGTTGGAACAAGGGTTCGTCCCTTTTTATCAATCTCCATTAAACTCTCTAGCAAGGGTCCAACGGTCCTAAGCATCTGTAACATTATTACGTAGCAAAGAGAGATCTGCATCTCGAAATCATGCAGAATAGCTGCCAGATCTGGAATCGACCTGGTAGCGTGCTTATCCGGCCCGGGATGGGTGGGCGGCCCTGGTGTACCCACACCGGCCCGGGGTAACCATGCCGAGGCCCCGATCGTCAAAGCGTATCTCTGCGCCGAGAGAACCTGGGGGGCGAAAAAGAAAGGAAAGGGAGAGTTCCCCGCACGGGTAACACGGGTGGGATGCAAGATAAAGGATGGGGGTCGCTACTGTACATGTTCACGCATGATATAAACGAGGCTCTGAGGGATGACTAGTTTAGTTGACCAAAGGGGTTCACAGTCGCCACTTTTGAGAATCGGCTAGCGCTTCTCAGTAACGAGATTGTTCATTCCTGTAGGTGCAAAGGGTTAGAACGCTGACGAGGCCGCCTCGGCTGGTTATGGATTTGCCAACGCAGCTGAAGGCGAATGATTCGATAAACCACCTGACCTAGCAACCCGCCAAGGTCGTTCTGCAGCCAGAATGCGAAACAGCAGAAAATCAGGCTTTGTCTACCTTGGCGAAGAGTTCAACCATGTTCACGCCTTTTTTATGACATGCTGGAAACTCAGCCTGTCCTTGTCACAATCAACACCACGGTGCCAAAGTCCAACATACGAGCTCATCTATTTACTAGAAACATGGAGTACAAAATCACTCATTAGAACCGAGAAGAAAGCCCTCAAATCAATACTCACAACCAAGAGTAGCGAAATCTCCGGGTAGACCCTTCACAAGACCACACCAAGGCTTCAGGCCTGGATATGACGAGAACTCTATCAACCCACAAAGAAGATCAGATCCGGCTTCTCAAAACCACGCCAAAGCCTTCGGGCTAGATTTGTCTAGGAATTCTGACCAGAAATCCCCTCGAAGACACACTTTGGCACACCAAGGCCAATACTCCAGGCTGTCTCATGATCCGCCCCTGGGAGGACGCTGCTGGAATATGATATGACATCTTTCGCATCCTCAGCGTTCCAACACTTTTCAAACCACTCAGGGCCCTGAGTAGCTGCATCTCCAACCATGTGATCCTTCTCAGCGAAAAAGACAACCATAGCAAGGGGCTTAGTAGTTGTTCTCTTGAGTGCCTCGACCAGTTTTGGTTTCAAATCGTCGTAGTCTTTCCAGTCACCGTAGCCGTCAATCTCCTTGATCTTTTGCATAAGAAAGATTGACTCGTGAGACATGCCACGGATGCTCTCGGAATGTACCAACTTGAATTGTTTCGGCTGTAGTGCCATCTCGAATTTGGCGTCTGGATCACCGCTTGCTTCCGGTTGACTGCTTTTGGTCAAGTTGACAAAAGTCTGGCTGACGCCGGTTGAAGTGGAAATAACCGGAAGCAGGGCGCTGTTGACAAAGCCAATCACCTTGTCTGTGTGCGCCATCACACTATTCGGGATATACTGAGTCAAGGTCATGGATAGAACGTGGGAGTGAGAGGGTAGGATCCAGGGTGCGGCGATGGCAAAGTATGGCCGGTCCGGATGGAGAATCTCGGGATGGTGTAGTAGCATGTCAAATGCGTAGACAGTTCCTCCACTGTGGCAGGCGACAGAAACGTGCTTGATCCCGAGATGTTTGAGTAGCGCTAATACCATCTCTGCAGCAGCGTCAGTAACCACCGAAATAAATATTCGAGCTGGATCTGCATTGTATCTTCCAACTCGGTGAACATACGTACCTCGACTAGTACTAACTCGTTTCTCCAACGGAACCTCATCAGTTCCGCCAAACCCCGGCCGGTCCGCACTTATGAAGCGGATCTTGTGTCGTTTCGCCAAGTCATCTTTAGTAATATGGAGCAGACGAGAGCCCATTAGTGGAGGAAAGAAGAGTAAAACGTTCTCCTCTTCAGGATTGGCCTCGTTGCGATATCCAAAGTCGACATACTTGACTTGAAGAGTGGTCTGATTTTCACCTTCTGAGGAGTCGACGGAAAACGTGAAGCTCCGATGGAAGCGGGGGTCTTTAAGAAACTCATCAAGTGATGGAGACTCGGTTGTTTGCGCCATGGACGTTAAATTCGAAGCTGTTTCTATATCAAGAAAGACTGTTGCTCAGGCTTGGCACGTTGCCTCAAAGATGATGATGATGATAGTGTAGGGTACGCTGACCGTGTTCAGAGCAAGCTGAGGTTCGGAACTCGGGGATAAGCAGGCACAAATAATTTCCCAAGACCCACCTGAGCAAGGTATGGATTGGTTGACACGGGAGCGAGACGCGTCGTGGCTTTGATGGTTTGCACGTATATCCGAGTGAGCACGGAAAAAGCGCAAGGGAGAACATGAGGGTTAAGCAATGACGATTGTAACTTTATGAGTAGGTCTACATAACAATGCATAAGATATTGCTAAGGAAATAAAATCCTGCAAAAAAAAAAAAAAAAACCACTACTTATTTCATTTTTTTAATCACCATCTTAGAGCAGACATGCTCGTTCCTTCTAGGTTCCTGTGTTATATGGTAATGAGTTGTGACACCGTCATGCATCAATAACTGGTTTTTTTGCTACTGTGGCTGATGTCTTCTTTTAGTCATTGCAGATAATAATAATGCTCGTTCCTTCGGTCTACTCGTTCACGAGCGTAGAGAGAGGACGGAATTATGCTCTCTTTGCACGCATCAACAACCCAATTTGTGAGCCCAAGAATACCGCAGCTCAGTTTTCATAATATAAAAACTACACTACGTAGCTTCTACTATCCATATCCTGACCCAGCTTGCAAAAACACATTATTTGCTCCTCCATCCATTACAGCAACTTTAGTAAAGGCAACATATCTGGCTGGTTCTTATACCCCAGAACACGCTTCAGATTTGCCTTTGCCTTTTTGTTCAACAAGCCCTTTGCCGGGGCCTTTTCAATGAGGAACATGACCATGTCCTCGTTGCCATGTATCATAGCCTCCTCAATCGCATTTCGTACACTCTCCTTATTTTTTCCAGCTCCTTTATCCAAGAGGAGCTGGGCCATCTGCACGTCTCCCGTTCTTGCAGGAACAGCCAAAGCCCCGTCGAACCGCACGCCCAGACTAAGGAAGTACTCGACCATGCAGTCGTAGCCGCTCTCGAGAGCTTCTACCATGGGCTGCGGCCCGATACTGAATTTGAGCTGCACCAGCCTCTTGACGATGGGCAAGCATCCATCGCGGATTGCTCTGTACATCCTCTTTGTTCCCCAGCGTGCAAAGTCATCTCTGGAGTTATAATAATCCCAATATGGAACCTCGCCTGCCTGGCAATTTGCTGTCATGATTGGGTAGAGTAGATCGAAAACCTCGAGGAAGGTGGTGGTGTTGAAAAAATCGCGGAAAATTTTGACCGCGTACTCCTTTCGCGTGTCGTCGTAGAATCCATAATCACGCGGCCTGACAGCTGGACATGCCGTAAAAGGCGGATCGGCTTCTATCGCCAGATGCATATACTCCATGTTGCACAAGCGGTCGGCTTCGCGCATCATCTCGGCCCTACATAGCAGGAGCTCAGAAGGAAAGTCTTCTAAGCTCTTTATCAGAGCGGTAAGGCATTGGGTTCTTCTCAGTCGCATGGCGACCGAGATTGGGGATCCAAAGGAGAACCGTGCAGCGTCTTCTGTTTCCGACGACTTGCGGCCGAACCTCTCAGTGTTATAGATTTCGTAGATCGGGTGACAATTGAAAGGCGCCGGACGGTAATGGCCTTTATGCCTTTCGAGGGGAGGGTGGTGTGTGCAGGTGACTTTGCTGCCAGCGTCGAGTCTATCATGAAGAAAAGTGATTTCATTCAGATAGACTGCGACTGCGAGTAATGCATCTCGAAACAGTCCGCATCTCTCGTCCAGCACCAGCATAGGAACCCAGGGCTTACCACATGTTCGCAACCCAAGATAAAAGTTCAGCGGCTCGCTGAACTCACCCTGGAACGCTGCAAACTCGGAAATTTGACGCACAATATTCTCAAGCTCGTCCTCGTCCTTCACACTCCAGTCCAGCCTGTCTCCTCGTGCCCTTTCTTCTTCCCTCCATTCCAAGATGCGTTCAGCAATTGCTCTGAGCCAGAGATGTTCGGAACTTGGCTGTAGTGTTAAGACCTTGTTCATAACTCTGGCAGTGAGATAGTCGACCCAAAACTTGTTCCTTCGCTTTCCCTCGGGGAGATGCCAGCAGCGGCGTAATATTCCTGACTCATAGATGGCTTTCATGGCCATCAAAGAAAAGTCGCGGCTCACAACACGAAGTCGAAACGCGTCTCTGACTGAGATACCTTCCATGCTGTAGAAGATGATTTGCTGCCATATTTCGACTGGGAGTACTGGTGGGGTGACAGAGGCTCTGGGAGGTGACTTCTCCGGGCTGGCCCCGTAGAAACTTTCCATGGCGTCTTGGCGACTGTCTGCTCCCCAAGGGAGCTTGAGGAGTACCATGATTATGGAACTGGTATAAGGGGCGCTGGATGAAGTCTCTGGCAACTGTCTTCTCGTGTTGCTTCTCGTGTTATATTTGTACTTTTGTCCCACGCAGTTGTTGGTAAAAATGAGTCAGTCGGTATGACCACCTGCCTATATCATCAACAGGTGGGTTGTTGCAATCCTTGCTCCGGGCATTTCCCCTTTGTGACAGAAGCCTTGGCATCCACACATAAGGTAGAAGATGGCAGGGTTTAATGCTATGAGCGTATGCAATAATACTTTAGGTAGGATAGAACTTAAGACTGTCATTTGTGTTGGGCTTAGGAAGTCTGATGTTGCGGGATTATCCAAGGTTGTTTTTGTAGATGCAGTGAAATGTTAGTGCAGTACCTTGGGGCTTAGGTGTGATCGTGGCGCTGACCTGTGGCGCTCGCGCTAATCAGGGAAAACAAGCCACATTTTCCTGCGTTCTCTCTCCGCCACTTCAGACTGACAAAAATATGGAAGCTTAACCCGCGGCCAACGCTCGCGAATTGGCTTTGCTTTCTTTTGTCTCCAACTAACCCCACTCCACCAAACCCTTGGTGCTTCATCTCCATTCACCTCCTTCATCCCTGCTCAGGTGCGCCCGGTACCTCGCTAACAGTCAAGCATCTCAGAGAGCTCACCCTCATCCAGAGGCCCGCGATAGTCATCTCTTCCTCCCAGATACAGCAAGCACCATGGAATGCTGCGGTTTGGACACCGAGTCGCTAATGCTGGTCATCCAGTTGCAGCGCCAAGACCTCGACGAGTGCGAGCACTCGAAGAAAGGCAAGCACCGCGAAGACGAGATCATCGACTCCGAGGTCGCTCTCAAACTTTGCCGTCAAGAACTTGAGGAGGTGGCGATGCTTATTTCCGACCAAGCACTTTGCATCAGCATCGCCAAAGCTGTCGACTCGGATGCTCTCCTCATCGCTGAGGCAAAGGCAGCCGAGGAACAGGCTGCCAGCGACCGCGCTTTTGCCTTGAGGTTATCCGGAAATCCCCAAGCGACACCTGCGACCGATACTACCAAGACTAACGAGAGGAAACGCACCGCTGATCACTTGGACGATGCTTCTATTGAAAGATTCAAGTTGATGAACCGTTTCGAGCCGGACCATGCCGAATCTTCCTCGTCAGCCGCTTACCGCGAACCCCCCGAGACCAGAGAATGCATCGCCTGCACCGACAGTTTCCCAACTTCTGCTCTCGCTCGCTCTCCATGCTCCCACGAGTACTGCAGGGGGTGCCTCGTCGGCCTTGTTCAGTCTTCTCTCCGAGACGAGTCCCTCTTCCCTCCACGATGCTGCACCCAACCCATTCCTATTGAGCCCGGCCCGTGGTTCTCCCCAGCCCTCGTGGGTGAGTTTCGCGCAAAGCAGCTTGAGCACGACACACCAGACCGGACATATTGCAGCCAGCCAACATGTTCTACGTTTGTGCCACCGGCATTCATCGCGAAGGACGTGGCGCGGTGTCCCAAATGCAGTCAAAGAACCTGTGTCCATTGCAAAGGACCATTTCATCATGGCGTCTGTCCAAACGACACCGTATCTCAGCAGGTTCTGGAGCTTGCGACTCAGAATGGCTGGCAGCAGTGCAAAGTCTGCAAGAGAGTTGTTGAGTTGGAGCAGGGGTGTAATCACATCAGTAAGTTGCCATCTTGGCCATTCTTCCTCTAACCTACGCTGACAGAGTAATAGCTTGCAAGTGTAAGGCCGAGTTCTGTTACGTCTGCGGTGAGCGCTGGAAGACTTGCGCTTGTCCACACTGGAACGAGGAGCATCTTTACAACAGAGCGAATGCGATTGTGGCTCGAGCCAACACCGCCGCCCAGATCCTCGAGAATGTTCGACAACGTCTTGTTGAGCAAGAGAGGCTCAACTTGCTCGACAATCACGAATGCATCCATGAGAGATGGAGAGGACGACGCGGTCCTGCCGAATGTGAAGAGTGCCTCGACATTATGCCGGTGTTCATCTACGAATGTCGCCAATGCCACATCATGGCCTGTCGGCGATGCAGGTACAACCGCCTTTGAGGGTGATGGAGAAGAAGTGATCATGAGTTGGTATGGGTCATGGTACTAGCGCGCATGTACGCATTTCTTTTGAACGGAACAAAATAGTCTAGATTTAATGGACGGTTGATGGGTCTCACGATCCCTAGATAATATATGAACATACCTTGAGGGAATTACATTGCTCCCTGGGCCACTTATTAATGCAATGCCGCCCTTTCCTGCAAGATGTGTTCAATCTGGTCAAGAAACTTCCTTGCTGCCTTGATGATTGTCAAACAGAGCGGCACCTCATCCACCGAGGTACAAGCTGACTGATAAGTGGGTGGACAGTCCGGGGCTAGAGGCCGTCGATGCCAGTCCGTCTGTCGCTCCTCTAGCCGCTCAATGAAATGCATGAAGCACTTTTCGCGATGGCCTTCAACACCACATATCTCGGCTTTGACCGCGTTGTGCATCAGACTTTTCCATTGATCTGGCGACACCTCGACGAGTATTGCGGCTGGGTTTGCTCCAAGCTTGGATTGATCCGGGTAGGAAGGGGGGCCCTCGAAGTTACTAAGACTAACCAGCAGCGACTCTTCCTTTTCGACGGCTGCTTGAGCCTTTGCATCGATGGCTCTTACGAACCTGACATATGATTCGGCAATGCAGACACAGAGAATGCCGAGTATGGTTGCGTTTTGAAGAACGGATGAGAACCGGAGGGGACATTTTACGCAGTCGAGCACATCCATCGCCGTTTCGACTGTATTACGGAGGAAGGATAAGTCGTTTGGTACGACCAGCTCGGCGTCGGATCCTATTCGATTAAGTAGGAGGTAGAGGATGGACAGGCATGCGCATGGCTGGATGCACTCGGAGTGATTCAGCGTGCCGAGTGGTAACGAAGGCATCAATCCGGAACATTCCTGTGGCTGGGCACTGTACGCGAACAATGAGTAAAGCATCGATTGTCAATGGCTGGATTGATGGCTTACTGCATGTAGCTCTCAAAGTCGGCCAAGAACGGCGGGACAGCATGGTGAGGGCCCGACAAGCTTTCTGATCCGTTGTCCTGACTTCCCGGAGTCTCATGAACGCTACTCGGAGGTTCTGACGCCGGCTCACTGGTGTCTTGGCTCAAATCCAACAGCGACTCCGGTGACGGAACCAGTTCGATCGCGCGACGTCGGCGAGACCGTCCATCTCGGCCAAGCGCTGACTGCTGACGGGTTCTGGGTCTTCCCGCCGCCTTCTGGATGGAATAAGAGCATTCGCGGTTCTTGGAGAAGCATTTAGAGCAGACGGGATGCTCGCCAGTGCAACGGATCTTTCTTGCCCCTACATCAATGATCCGAGACATGAGTTTCGTGTTGCGGAATAGGATAGATGGGGCGACTTACTGCACGGCTCACATGATAGACGAGCCCTGGAAGCGTCACTTGCCGGGGAGCTCCTTGTTGAAACCGTCCGTGAATGCATTTTGTGGTGAATTGGTCTGTACTGGCGATGGAGAAGAGAAGGGAATGGTCCGGATTAGGATGTGGGTAGTCCTTCGTATTAATGGTCCGAAAGAATTTGGTCCGACCGGATGATTTTGACCAAGCCACTTCGGTTGTTGTTTTTGAGCCCGAGAAGAAGGTTTCCGCGACCCCTTTGACCATTTGCTTTTTGATCAACGTGGGGAAATGCACGATTTTATAGCAAAACATTGATCAATAGTTGTGACATTCTAGAGTTTTGACTGTTTTTTTGAGATAGCTCCTTGCATTTTGGTACACCACGATACTCTAGACGTGAACTACTTTCTGCTCTGACCGTCCGCCTACCAACATCCGGAACACATAGTTCAACCTGCAACCGTCTTGCATGCTTTAAAGTCTTGGAGAGCCTTTAAAATCCGAGCCAGGCCCTCCTTCAAGGCTTCCTGGCCTACAGTAAAGGTGATCCGGAACCAGCCAAGCTCTTCCGTCTCGTACAAGCTACCTGGGGCGATCATCACTCCGGTTTGACCGCAGAGTTCCATAAGCTTGTCTTTGATGGCTTTGGTGTGTACACTGCGAGATTGTACAAAAGCTGAATCTTGAACGGGCGAGCATGAGTGAAAAAGGTGACGAAGGTCGACCCAGAGGAACAAACCAGCGTTCCTAAAATTGCATTAGTTGAACGAATAGAAGCACGACTTCTCGTTGTAGAATGTGGCATTGCATCTAAACTTACATGGGATAGAAACCGATATTATTCTGCTTCAGAAACGAGGTAATTGTTCGATAGTCGGCCGCCGTGAGCCTCGTCTTTCTCTGCATCATGTGCCGTGTCCATGCCCTGTCTTCGAGCATGGCCGCCCAAACATCTTGAAGAATATGAGGTGACCAAGAGAATGGGCTTTAGATGTGTCAGTGCTACTACTTTGATGAGGGTAGTAAAAGAATACCTAATGCTTGATATCGCACCTAAAAGCCCCTTGTTCTTAGAATAAATACATCCTAATCTTAGACCATTGGCACAAAAGTCTTTACTTGCGCCATACAAAACATTTAATTGTGTAGGATCTATGATCTTGCGCATGTCGAGGGCAAGTGTGGAAACAAATGGCGTTGGGGTTGTCATGGCTGGGTTATCAAACACCGACTTGGCATAGATCTCGTCCGATATCAAGTGCAGATTGTGTTTTGAGCAAAATGACGTAAACTCCTCGAGTGTCTCGGGAGGCTGATATTCCAGGTTAGTAGCCGAAAATAGGGTTAAAAGATAGAGGTTGCATACGTAGCATCTTCCCAATGGGTTATGTGGACTACAAGAAGAGGCATTAGCTCAGAGAGTTGTGTCCTTAGCAAGCCTCGACAAGACTCACTTCGATATCATCAAGGCACGAATCTTGGTTCCTTCTTGCGTTGCCTTCTCAAAGGCAGATTGGAGTGCTTTGCGATTCATGTCTGGGCGAAAGACATCGTCAAGGCCAGTGTAGCCGTCAAGATCATGGTAAGTGACGCCCACTACACGTGCACTACTACGATGCAGAATGTCAATGTTGAAGCCATTGTAGAAGGGCCTTGGGATGAGAATCCCATCTCCCTCGTCACAGATTGACCATGTTATGGCATCGATTGCGCTGGTCAATCCTGGTGTGATGAAGATGTCGTCGAGTGTGATGGGTTCTCGAGAGTGAAACTCATCTGTGAGAAATTCGGCCACAGCCTTTCGGAGGCGCCGCGAGCCCCGGGGCCCAGTGCTGTAGGTGAGATGATTCGAGGGTAGAACAGACAACTACTACTGTTATCAAGAGAGGAGGGACTGGGATAGAAGGGGGCTAACCTGCTTTGTGATAAAATCGGCCACCTCTCCATGTAGCAGATTATTCTCAGCTAAGCGGAGAAGAATGCTTGGCAGCTCAAGTTAGCACCTATGAATAGGAGGGGTCTCCATCTACTTACACGCCATCTGGGTTATTCGGTGACCACGGATTAGCCATAGCATCTTCACGTGGGCCCCAGACATCTCGATAAGTATAGTTGAAGGCTCCTCTCTTGGACAGGCGATGCTTCTCTATCGCTTCTTCAACACGATCTGTTGAATCGGCTCCAATTGTGGTGGGTGAGGTTGACATGGTGGCAGCAAGACTTGACAGTACAGAGCAGTACTAAGTGGCTTGAAGATGAGGAATTTCCCTTTGATAACAGTTCCTCACATCATGTTAAAAAGGGCAAGAAAAGTCGGCCATTCTCCGATTACGGCCTTCTTGTAAGGTCTTCAGAATAACCTCGGACCATTCTTCACTTCGGATGATTTCTTGACTGATCCACCCTGTTGGGCACGACTGGCTAGCATGACAACTCGGAACATTTGTTCTTGTGGCAAGAGGGCGTAGGTACTAGTAAAAGAAAAACACAAATAGTCCGCTCATGGTACTATAAGACTATCTGAGCAGGGTTCATGGAACCAAGGCTGAGTATCACAGACTGTAGAAGTGGTGAGTCCGAACTTGCATACTTCGAAGTTGTTTTTCGTTGCGATATCCGGCATCATGACAATTTTACATCCCACATCAAGCCATGGCGACAGAGTCAGCTCTTTGAGCAGCAAAGATGTGCAGGATCGAAATGACTCGATTCAAGAGTGCTCTGATCGAGATAAGTCGAAACAATGGGACTCTTCGGACATTGAAACTGGCCAGACGTGTAATCTCTCAGGGGATGAAGCTGTCAAGTGTCGGGATCCTGGGGAGCACCCGGATGGTGGATTTTGGGCATGGGCCTCTGGTGAGTCTGCCTCCTCATCGGCGCCTCCTTGCTGCTGACCCTCTTGGAAGCTATTGCAGGTCACTTTGTTATGATGGACTCCTGGTAAGTAAACCACCCCAGAAGGAAATCGTCTCAAAATCGCTAACACATTCTGCCAGGGGATACAATAGTTCATTCGGTGTGTTCCAGACGTACTATACCGCTCACCTCGACAACCCAGCCAGTCAGATAGCATGGATCGGATCAGTTCAAGTCTCCGTCATCTTCTTTGTCGGTGCCTTTGCCGGCCGTCTAACTGACGCTGGTCATTTTCACATCACATTCGCCGTGGGGACGCTTCTCACATGCCTGGGTGTCTTTATGACCTCTCTCAGCACCGTCTACTGGCAGATCCTCCTCTCACAGGGTATCTGCACTGGACTGGGCAATGGCCTTCTGTTTACTCCGGCACTGGCCGTGGTTTCTACGTACTTCAAAAGACGAAGAGCTTTGGCGTTTGGGATTACGGCTACTGGCAGTGCATCTGGGGGTTTGATTTTCCCATCAATGGCACGCCAGTTGCTTTCGAGAATCGGCTTTGGCTGGACCGTTAGAGCCATGGGGCTTGTTCAACTAGTCACTCTTTGCCTTGCAAACTTCCTCCTGAGACCGAGAGTTCCACCAAAGCGATCGGGCTCTGTAGTAGATTTGGCATCCTTCAAGGAGAAGCCATATACCTGCTTTGCTGCTGGAGTTTTCTTGGTACGTCACCATCTTCCTCTTCGATTGTCATCTTCTCAAGAGACTGGACGAATACTAACGTGCATCTAGACTTTCTGGGGCCTCTACTTTGCGTATTATTACCTTGCCTCGTTTGCAGTTTCGCAGTTGAACCCGTCATTCTCATACACCGACTCCCTCAACCTGCTACTGGTTGTAAACGGCGTAGGAATGATCGGCCGCTCAATCCCAAACGCCATCGCCCATCGGTTCGGATGCATCACAGTTCTAATCCCGGTTACTCTAACCGCCGGCATTTGCATGTTGGCCTGGCCAGCCGTGTCCACTGCCGGAGGATTGTATGGATGGGCCAGCATCTATGGAATCGCGGCTGGCGCCTTTCAAAGTCTGTTCCCACCAGCCTTGTCGGATTTGACGACGGATGTGCAAAAGACGGGCGTCAGGATGGGTATGGTTTTTACGTTGAATAGCATCGCGACACTCACCGGGCCGCCTATCGCTGGTACCATCATTCGGAAATCTGGTGGTTACTATCTCGGTGCGCAGATATTTGCTGGTGTTTCGTTGTTGCTTGGAGGGTCGTTGATTCTGGTTGCGCGATATTTGAAAGGTGTTCATAGATGAGAGTGCAAATTTTTATAGAATTGAGAAACCTTCTAGAGTAATTACTCTGTAAAATGCCACTGAATGTTTAATAGTTCACCTGAATAGTGAACCACAATTCAGAAGCCCCAGAAACACCGCGAATAAAACTTGGTCTAGTTATCGTGAATGCATGTTATGTCTGTATTGCGTCAAAAGACTCAAAACCCTGTTTTTCCAACCTGCCGTAACAAAGCGCGAAATGGGCATTTGCATAATTGCCCGCGGCTGCAACCACACCTGTACAAAGTCATCTGAAAGGAATAAAGTGAGATGTGATAATACATGCGTAAAATGCATTGATCTTAGACAGGGATAAAGACCAAGAAAAATAAGGCGAAAAACAAAACTCCCCAAGACTCACGATAATTTCTCGCGAGGTCATCATGCAGAAGAGTTACTGATCAGCCAAGTAAAGTCGCTGATGATCTGACGGTGAAGATCAGTGGGTGGCAGACAGGGAAGAGGAAAAAAAGAAATGGCTGGGCATCATGCGATTGCCAAATGTTTGCATTGCTCGTAACCTCGTAGAAGACGCCGCTTCTGTTTAATAGAAACAAGTAAATAAAAAAAAGACAAAGGAAAAATAAACAGAAAAGGCCTCATAGAATCCTCCGTCTAAATGTGGTGTGAGCTGCGTCGCTCGTCAACTGTCTCGACGTGATGGTCGCTGCTAGGTCTCCTCCCCCCAAAACTAAACACGTCAAGGAACGAACCCCGCCTGTGCTCGGTCCCCTTATCGTGTGACTCCCTCCTGTCCGGGGTGGGCGGCTTGTTGGACCCCAGGAACCCCATGAACGAGCTCCGCCGGGAGTCGGGCATCCGGGGCGGCGCGCACACCATGATCTGGAGCTCAATCTTGTCGAGCCCCCCCTCGGCCTGCTCGACCACGGTGCGCCCGCAGTTGGAGAAGCTGGTGCCCGAGTAAAAGACGTAGCCGCTAAAGGGGCTGGCCAGGCCCATCGCGACGAGGCCCTTTTGACGCGCCACCTGCAGGCTCTGCTTGCAAAGGAGCTTGGCGAAGCCCCGGAGCTTGTAGTGGGGATGCGTGATGACGGCATGCACAAACATTAGCTGGCCGTACCGGGCAAGGTACGTCTGCTGAGTCTGTGTGACGACCGCCTGTAGCGCTGCGATGCGCTTCGCCACCTTGTCACTTGCGGTGCTGGGGGCATCGAGGACTTGAAGACAGGTCAGAAGCCGAAACTGCAAGGGGGGGTTTTTCGGTTAGCTTACCTCGGTGGACCTGGTTGTGGACATTGTTTTCCTCGCTGTCATTCTCGTGGAGCTCCTGCCAGACGGCTACAGCCACAGGCTTGTGCGTCTTGGGGGCATCGACAACAGAGATGAGCCAGTTGGAGTTTTGAGGATCGAGGCACTTTTTGAGAATGCTCTCAACGTAGTCTCCAGCTTCTGATGATGTAGGGTTGGGGAAGCAGTAGTGCCAGATGGAGTCGTTGACAAGACCGCTGAGGACAATGTCCTTCAGGGCTGGAAGATCGGCTTCGGTTGCGGGACGGATATGGTTACCCATAGCTTGGTAGGGATGAATAGAAAAGTTGATTGTGTGTGTTTGTGCTGTAAAGTTGCTTGATGATGAAGAACTGATCCCGTAAACAAAAGACTCTGGAGGGAAGCTCAAATTATACTCCCCCACCGGCATCTCGACTTCGGCATCTAGCGGTTGAGACGTCATACGTCCAAGAAGATCTCTCATGCGCCTCTCTTGGCCCCATGGGCTGAGCCAAGGTCACACACACACACGCACTTTGAGATAATGGATCTAAACTGCCAATCTGCAAAACAAAAAAGACTCTGGATCGGTCGATTGGCACACGGCACACACGTTGGCGGCCTCCTGGAAACCCCGCAGGATCGCCTGATGGTGAGTAACACAAAGCCCCCCTCTCACAGGTACCGCAGATCTTTCTAGACCAGCACGGCGGCGCCCCGTTGAACAAATTTTTCTTTTAAGCTTAATAGAGGTTAACTCTAGGGCAAACCGTCTTGGCGGAGAAGAAAAAATCATGGTAATGAACCCTGCTGATTTGTTGTGGCTCCCTCTACTGGATCTCAGGGTCTCCACGATTGCCGATTTTTCTCTCTCAATCATGAACTTGCTTCTGATGCGGAGCTGACCGCCGAGACCCGTGGCGTCCGTCTTGATCATTTGGGCACGCCACATAAAAAAAGTACGAGGCGTGCGATGCTGGTCGCCAAGCCTGTGGCCAACGGGTCGCCCGATGTTTGCCTTGTTCTCGACTCAGGGTGCTGTCAGTTGCAGGACTTGGCTGAGGCTGTTGCCATTGGTGGTCAGGTGTTTAGTCGAATCCTTGTCAATAGGAGTAGGGCGAGTGGCTCGAGAAGTGTCAAGTGTTGCCGAGATATATTTGATGATGGAATTACTTTTCGTTTGATTCGAAACTCGTAGAGGCTGTTTACAGGTGAGAGGAATGCCTGAGTGTGACACCTGTTGAGAGCTCAACTGTCTCAGTGCAACAAGCAAAGGACAGAAACTGGATTCAGCCCTGCGTTTATTGACTACTGTGTCTAGTTTTGAGCTTCATATCAGTTGTTCTTGAGATATGAATATGTCACGTGTCGAGTTCTAACCTGGGGTTTCTCTTTAGTGATAGATCTCATCTCGGCGGATGGTGGGACGCTTTTGTCTTGTCTGACTGATCACATGAGATGATGAGTCTCCATCTCACCTGAAAAAGTGCCCGATAAGACCCGTCACGTTCATGGACTGACTTAAAATTGAACACAATAAAAGAATTTCTAAATATTCTCGTTATTTCTTGTAGTAACCATGCCCTATTTATCCAGGGTGAGTATGCCTGAGTCTGGGAACGATGACCATGATTTAACTCTAATGATCTGCCACATGTGCGCTTCGAGCTTCAATATCATTAGGGCATATTTTGTCTATTTTTAGGCATGGCATTGATCACTTTTGATTGCATGTGAAGTAGGTACGGAAATCTTGGTAGTTTCAAGCTGTGAATGTTGTATTTTATGCTTGTTTGAGGGCCTCATTCATCCAGGCAGCCTCGCTTAACTACCCACCCATCCCCTTCAAAACGGTTTCATCAGAATCATGCGCGACTCATGCGCATTGAGTAATAGTCATTACAACAGCTTGAGCTCCTCCAGCATCAGCAGCACCCGTGCTAACAGCCGCAGCACTAGTCACAACAGCGTCTCCCCCGTTCCCACTCGCATCGCCACTACCAGCCTCAACTCCGAGGCCAGCGTTGAAGACATCAGCAGCAGCCTGGTCCTGAGTCGTCGCCTTTGCGGCGGCTGCGGCGCTGGTGCAGCTGGCTACAACGTCTGCATCAGCCTTGCAGCTATCTCCAAGACGCTGGCAGATGAAATCGGCAATGATGCCAATCTTTTGCGCAGATCCGTGGTTAAAGTCGGCGTCGTTGGATGGCGCGAAGGCTTCTTCCGTGCGACCGTCAAGTCCTGCAGCAAAGATGATGCTAGGATCGGAGCAAGATCCAAAGCTACCGGCCTGTCGCTTCTTCAGGGAGTTCGCGGCTTTGCATTCGCTGACTTGGGTCTCGCACTGAGCGATGCCACCATCAAGCTCGCCAGAGTTGGCGGCGTTGGCACAGGCATTGTGCTGGATATCGCAAGACCGGCTGATAGCAGCACCAGCGCCAGTAAAGGTGTTTCCGTTGACTGCGAAGGGTCGGTCGCCGGCGGAGGAGACGACGGGGGGAGCAGGACCGCCGAGGGTGCCAGTGAAGGCCTGGATGTTGGCTCCAGCTGAAGTAACTTGACCGACGGTTGCGGAAGTGAGAGTGGCAAGAACGGCATCAGTTGCATCAGCGGCGACCGTCTTCACAATCGTAGAGCACGAGCCCTGGGCTGCCTGGTTTGACGCTGCCGGAGCCACTGGGGTGATGGCCGTTGTGACGATTGCTGCAGGCTGGGAAGCGACTGGTGGCTTGGCAGCGCATCCCTTTGCCTTTGTTGTGGCAGCTGTTGTTGCTGCATCGGCCGTGGTAGCTGCTTCATCGCCAGCATTGTTGTTATTTCCACCAGCAACAGTGGTAACCGCAGCAGCAGTTGTCTCAGCGACATCGGAGGCGACATCAGAAGCAGCAGCAGTTTCCGAGGCCACTCCAGAAGCAACCCCAGTAGCACCGGCACCACCAGAGCCACCGTTAACAATGGTACTGAGATCAACAGTGCCAGTGACAGAGGCAACACTGAAATCAGCCAGGTTGACCAAATCAGTAGCGGCGATGCCTCCAGTACCAGTAAAGGTCTGGGCGACATCAGCCACGGCAGCGGCAATCTCATCTTCGCTGGCGTCGAGGACGAGAAGCTTCTCAGAGAAGATGCAGCCGAGTTCAGGTTCCTCAGTGTCGCAAGAGTTTCCCTTTCCAGTCGCGTCACCAGCCTAGAATCTGTTAGAATTGATTGAAGCGGAGTGAGGAAGTGAAACTTACATCGCCAGGCGCAAAAGTACCACTCAGGAGAGCCAGGTTAGGATCAGCACCAATACCAGCCAACTGCTTCGCCAGCTCAAGAGTAATAGCCTTGTTCAAGGCCCCAGCATTCTCCGAAGCAGCATCCTGGTGCTGCGTCAGAGCCCCAATCTCTGGGTTGACAGCCGCCTCAGTGCACAGCTTGCTAGCAACGCCAACACCGGCCGTGTTGCGCTCGATAGCCTGGAACAAAAGAGCACCAGCCATACCGCGGAGATCACCGGCAGCCTTTGCGTTGGTAAAGGCTTGATCGGCCGTTTCCTGCTTCAGACAGGCGAGGTTGGTGACATCTCCCGCACCAGCGGCGGCAGCGCCATCGCCCAAGAGGCCAAAGACGGGGTCCTGGATATTCTTGGGGTTATCCAAGTTGAGAAACTCGCGGGTGATGACGAGGACGAAATCATGCGAATGCTCCTGAGGAACTTGACGCTTGTGAAGGTGTCCCAGCTTGCTGGGAGCAAAGCGCTTGAAGCCAGGAAGACCCAAAGGAGATGCAGAGGCAAGTCCAAGAAGGGCAGCAGTGAAGGTCAAAGACGGAATCATCGTGACAAGGTGATAATGATGTTCGAAAGAAGATATATGACAGACCGACCAAGCAGTCACAAGAATTAACCAAGAAGAAAAGGTGCCAAGAGATTGACTCGTAAAAATGAAAGAAAGAGCTCACAGAGCGTCTAGAGAATGGAATGAGAAACGAGGTTGAAAGTGAAGACTGAAGTGTGGATGATGAGAGTTCAAACAGTAAAGGCGTCACTTGAAGGATTTATACTTGTATTTCGGCGCGACCTGTCAATTCATGAACCAATGGTTGAAAGAACCAAAACATCCCTTCGCCTATTCGAGCCGAATTCCCGTTCATCGAGACCATCACCTAGCGCGGAAGAGTTTCAGGCCATCTGAAGCAATCTTCATCCGAACCCCGAATTAGACCAAAAACTTGACTGTGAAGCAAAGGCGTGGTGAGGGCTACAACCTGACGCGGGAGATCAGACATTATGAGCCGCAGATCTTGGATCTGGGAGTTTGAAGCGTCTGGGTAGGGGTTAGGTCGGTATCGCAGGGGCTGGTTTGGGGTTAGCGGAGGGAAAGGTGCAGGGGGTTTCAGAGTGTGGTCTCAAACCGTCGCTTGGGAAAGAAGGCTGGAAGAGGAATAGAGAAGTGACTAAAGTGCGGAATACGGCAACGAGGATCCGAATTGAAGGAGGAGGGCATCAAGGAGTACTGTCACGATCATTGTGGGTGGCTGGAGAGTTACAACCGCTGCCACTCCTTCGTTCACTCAGAAACGCAAAACCTGCCATTGCACCAAACTTGTGTCTAGAACACGCCCATCAAACTGGACTTTCGACCCTTCATCCCGGCAATACGACCCGTCGTCCCAAGAGCGTGTTTCTGCACGCGCCGTCTGTCTTGCAAGCTGCCCTGCACCACGAGCCCTTACTCATTGGACCACGCAGTCGGAGAGGATCTGACTCATGAAGCCTAGACACGGGTATCTAGGGCTACGCAAGTCTCGGCGGAATTCTTTACCTTTAGCGGGCCTTGTGGGCTGTCTCAGACGGGATCTCGGTCCAAAAGCTTAGACAGCTCCGCTTGTAGATCTAAGGGTCCTTGGTGTTGAGAGCACAACAAGACCCTTGATTCTCTACAACCATGCAGTGGCTTCATCTATCTTTTGGAAATGAAGTTGAATTTTTTATTTTAGTGCCTTTATCACTTTTGGATTGACTCTGAACTATTGACTGCTTGGCTACTTCACTTTGACGTCCACGATGGTGCAGCTCCGTGATAGACAAGTGTCTCGGTCTATAAAAGCGGTAAACCGCCACGTAATGAGATATGGGTATTCTGTTGATCAAATACTGGGACCATGATAAGAAACAAGTCCACTGTGTTGTTATGCTATGCCGTCGGACGAGGAGTAAGACAGGACACGACTTGACGCTGATCAAGACGATAAGAGAGGGTCTTTCGCTACTATATAATGCTGCTAGATTCTAAAAGGAGGCAGTTGAAATCCGAGTTCTTCTCATTTCGAGTGGATATCTATCTAATCCTGTCATCATGTCATTGAGATGTCTTCTTTGGCTCTTCTTCTTATCTTCACTGGCCTCTAGTGCCGTAACGAAGAATAGAGCATCGGAAAGCACAAATCCGTTCACACATGATATCTACTCAAGCAAATATGCCCTCAACGAAGACGGGACGCCAAACAATGAGGGCGAGGCAAGTTTTACCCAATCGTGAACCCAAACCATATCTAACGTCCCACTTCTAGGCCCACGGAAGAATCACACCTCCAGAGGGTGCAGAGCTTGCGTCGATAAAGCTCAACAACAAAGATGAAACAGAGGTTGCAGTTTTCATCTCTGACAAGGTCAAAAAGAGGCAAGTTGAACACGCGTTTATCATCGTCCATGGAAAGCTTCGAGATGGAGACTATTATTGGGAAACGATGAACAAGGTCGTGAAACGCGCTAAAGAGGCGAACTACCCTGGATCGAATCGCGAAAGCATCATTATCGCCCCCCAATTATTCTCGACTGTCTTCAACTCGGGCCAATACACGTCACAACAACTTGCTTGGGGAGATCTGAACGCGTGGCAAGCCGGGAGCGTGGCGACACATCCATCGGGTACAAACTTTTCGTCGATGGATGCACTGGATGCGTTGCTCGGTGATGTATCAGACAGATCAAAGTACCCCAGCATGAAAAATGTCACCATCGTTGGTCATGGTGGTGGCGGACAGCTTGTACAGAGGTACGCGGCTGTTGGCAAGGATCCTTCCGCTCATATCTCGGTCCGCTACATTCACGGGGATGCTTCATCTTGTGCATACTTTACCACCGATCGGCCAATCACGGAAGATGAGGATACTACGCCAGGCGCTTGCGAGTTCTACAACACTTGGCGTTACGGATTCGATCAGTTCCCCGGGACAATCGACGGTCGAAAATCACCCAAGGAATATTTCGAGAAGTACATCACGCGGGATGTAATATCGATCGTTGGATACCGCGATGTGAAGAGAAACGGCGACACATCTTGCATGGCCAGAGCTCAGGGCGGAACCAAGAGGCGAGACCGTAATCTTGTTTGGTACAGGTACATCAACACACTTGCCCGTACGAGCAAGAACTTGGATGGGTTTCCTGGAAGGTTTGGCAATCTTCCAGATTGGAGTTCCGTTTCAAACGGCTCTGTCAGTCTGCGATTGAGTGTGGTTGAGGATGCTGATCATGATGTGGCCGAGGTGTTGCAAAGTAAGAACGGTCTATCAGCACTGTTTAGTGATGAAGACGTGTATGCTGGCTGGAGGCCAAGGTCTTAGGATTGAATGTGAACTTGATTACCTAATTGATAGAAAGAATAAAGATGATTTTGGGCTCATCCGTAGACTTGGCTTTGGGGGAGTTGGAAGGACATTCTGAGGTTCGTCACCTTGGTAGGATTCTGGGGCAAGGGTCCTTATCGTGTAAGGCCCGGCCTGCGATGAGGTCATTATCTAAATCCATAGACAACCTAGAGCCGAGATTACATAGACTGTGATTCGCTCTGATGAGCCGGGCGGTATCTGCCGAAAAGATCGACAACAGACACGGGCCCGAAAGACGAAAAACACCGCGCGAATTTCGCATTGCTACGCTCGTGCGTCTATCCAGAAAGCTTCATTGGCTTCTTGACCCTGTTGATCCACCAGAGGCCCAATATTGTGTGCTCGCCCTGTGTGTTAACAACCGCAAAACTCCACAGCGACCCATATGTGTTGCGAAATCTGTCTCACACATGCAGTCTCGGGAATATCAACATCCTGAGATGCTCACCGATAGCCTGTTCAGTCACTCGCTTCGCGTTTTCGGCCCAAGAGCTCTCGCCGCTTAGATAATGGACTATTTTGATATATGTACTCTAGAGTAACTTCACATCACAGAGTCTTGGCTATATCAGGCTAGGTTCAATACTTCAGTCGTCTGCATCTTAAAGATTGCATGCGCCAGTAACCTTTCTCACCATGTTGGTTAAAGAGTTGCTTGAGGCGCCTTGGGCCTTTTTAAACTCCACAGCATCCGCGTCGAATATCCGCTTGTCCTACTTTGTGGCACCTCTCATCGCGATTACAGTCGCATGCTTCTTCTTCACGTCCAAGCCCAACGCACCCTGTCTCAACCCTCAAGGCTTTTTCGACATCGCCAGTGGCCGGGCAAAAAAACAGTTCCTCTTTGGGCTACGATCCATGCTCAAGACTTGGTTCGATGCCAACCCTCATAAACCGGCCTCTGTCTTTAGTGACATCGGGCCGATGACCGTGTTGCCTCCGTCTATGGCCAACGAGATTCGAAGCGACCCGCGATTGAGCTTCGTCGAGTTCAGTGCCAAGGTATGTCAATTTTGAGAGGCTGCCTATAATCTAGGAAAGCGCTGAAACAGTATACAGTTCTTCCATACTTCTATTCCTGGGTTCGAGGCATTCAATGAAGGAACTCGCGATAGCATCACTTTGACAGTCATCAACAAAGATCTTACAAAGCGGCTGGGTGAGTCCAAAGCTAGATCATTCTGCTAGTTAGAGAGGCCACTGACATTCTTTGCACAGCCCAGGTCACCCAACCTCTGGCAGAAGAAACCACTTTGGCAATGCAGGAAATTTTTACGGACAACAAGGGTAGGACTATGATCTAGGCATCACCAGAGCAAAGCCACTGACATAACTAGAATGGCATTTAATCAATGTCAGAGAAAAAATCCTTCATCTTGTCGCACGCATATCCTCGCGTGTCTTTCTAGGCGAGGAACTCTGCCGAGATGAAGCCTGGCTAAAGATTACAAGGGAACACGCCATGAATGGCTTTGTTGCTGCTGACTTACTTCGCGCATGGCCAGAAGCCCTGCGACCTGTTGTTTCCTGGTTTATGCCTCACTGCCGGACTGCGAGGTCTCAAATTCGAGAAGCTGAGAAAATAATCGGACCCGTTATCTCTAAACGCCGAGAAGCAAAAGACGCTGCTCTCAGGGCAGGCAGAGAGGCACCTATACACAACGACGCCATTGAGTGGTTTGAACAGGCTTCCAAGGGGAAGCCCTATAACCCAGCCCTTTCTCAGTTATTCCTATCAACAGTCGCGATACATACGACCACTGATTTGCTCTGCCAGACCATGATCGATATTGCCAGGCACCCGGAATATTTTGAGCCCCTTCGGGAAGAGGTAACGAGGGTTCTTGCGCAGGATGGTTGGAAGAAGACTTCTCTGCACAGCATGCAGCTGCTGGATAGCGTTGTGAAGGAGAGTCAACGGCTGAAGCCTCTACAGCTCGGTATGTACAAGAATCTCACCTCTATGCCTGCCTTTCATTTTAACATGCTGTAGCTAGTATGCAGCGTTTGGCGGTCAAGGATGTCCAGCTTTCCGACGGCACCTTTATTCCCAAAGGCACAGCATCCTGCGTCTCCTCTCATGCTCTGTGGGACCCCGATGTGTACGAGGCACCCGACACTTGGGATGGCCACCGCTTCCTCCGCCAGAGAGGAATTCCCGGCAAAGAAAACTTTTCTCAGCTCGTCAGCACGAGTGAGAACCATCTGGGATTCGGTCACGGAAAGCATGCCTGTCCTGGACGGTTCTTTGCTGCCAACGAGATCAAGATCGCCTTGGCTCACCTGCTGCTGGAATACGAGTGGAGGCTGCCCGAGGGTGAGGCTTTGGATGTTGAGGATTTTGGAATCACGCCTATCATGAACCAGACTCTCAAGATGGAATTCCGTAAGAGAGACTGAGGAACTCCAGCATGGGCAGCATAAAATTTCATGTACTTTTCTATGTCCTGACACGGTTATCCCATCGAGGGCCAGGCTTCAACTATAACAAAGAACACATTCTAAACACTTCTCATGTCGTCCTTCCTCACTACGAGCGACTCATTACAGAGTTCGACATCATGTTGATTATCTTCAGACAGTCACGCACACAAGCGTTCCTTGAAACTGCAAAACAGCCCAACTCTCACTCCTAAGCTGATTGAAGATGGAAGAAACTGTAGTTCTTCTCCTCGATTTATGGTCAAGGTATTGGACGCCCCACTTACTACCTCGGCCAACTACCCTCGTCATATCCGCGACTGTTTTCACGGTCATTCGGTCAAACGAGAAGGATTCACTGCGCCGAGGCATGTGGATACGATGAATCTGAATGCTTGAGGCGTCTGTTTATCGAGATACATGCAACGCTTTCGCTTAACGCTATGCTGTATATGGGTCTTGACCGCTCGTATTCACAAGAGTCAGTCCATCGTGACCCAAGTTTGGCTAGTTGGGTCAAGGTTTGGCCTATACTTGGCCAATAAAAATGAAAGAAAAAGATCTTTTCTGAATTCACTAAATCCCTATACTATAAGGTATGATATGAGGGTACTCATGGCCTGTTTTCAACAAGAGATTTATCAGTCGGACAGATTTTTCATCCGTTTAGCAAGATTCTGCATGAATCCTGCGCTCTCTGTTATGTATAAAGGCCGCCAGAATCCCCAAGATAATCCAAGAGTGCCCAAGCCAACATCAAACAACGGTATTCATTCCATAACGTGACAGAACACACAAACACCAACCAAGGTATTCATCAAGCGAACCAATCCCCTGTGGCTTAGTTGGCTAAAGCTTCCGACTGTTACTTGCAGACAATAAAGGCATTCATCCAAAATGGTCAAAGTCACAGTTGCTGGTGGCTCTAACGGTCTTGGTCGAGTCATTGTCCGTGCCATTGCAGCCACCGGCAAACATGAGGTTTCGGTGCTCTCAAGACAGGTTCGTAATGATCGCCACAATTATGACGAAATCATAGCTAATAGGTTGGCCAAAAATATAGCACAAAGAAACTGATTCCATTCCCGTGCTGGTTGCAGATTACTCTAGTCCGGAGAGTATCGCTGATGTCCTCCGGTCCAACGGCACTGAAGTCGTCATCTCTACCATCGGCATCCTTTTTGAAGATACCCACCAGGCTCAAATGAACCTTATCGAAGGTGCTGAAAAGTCTGGAACTGTTAAACGATTTGCCCCTAGCGAGTTTGCCTACGAATATCTCGCAGCTGCAGAAGGGTAAGGGACCCTTTTTTTGGCGCATGTCACTCTCTCACATCGGATTCGCAGCGGGTACCCGTGCCAAGTCCCCGGCCTCGAGGGCTACAAGGGCAACACCTACAAGATTGAGGCTGTCAAGAAATTGAGATCCACTAGCATGGAATCTACCCGCTTCATCATTGGGTTTCTGATGGATTACTACGGTGCCCCGGCTGAGTTGCCTCCTGTCTTGCCTCTTGCCGTGGTCCTTGACATGGAGAACAACAAGGCAGCTTTACCTGGTACCGGTGATGACAAGGTTACTCTGACGCATTCCGAAACGATTGGCAAATTTGTCGCCGCCAGTTTGAATCTGAAGGAGTGGCCCGAGAAGTCGTGGATCATCGGGGACACGTTGACTTGGCGGGAGGCACTTGGTCTTGTTGAAAGCGCGCGCAGTGAGTCATTATTCAACTTGACCCCCCTTGTTTGTATCTTTCACCAATTTTATTTTCTCAGAGATCAAGTTTGATGTCCACTTCGACTCCATCGATGGCCTGAAAGAGTCGAAGATTACGGAACTCCCTGGCAACGTCTCAAAGTATGGGTTAGTTGGAAAGCCATTCATCGACGGAATGATGTCGCTTTGGTCTCTGGGATTCGCCTGGGGCTGGTATGACTTGACTTCGTACAAGAAGTCTGAAAAGACACTGAATGAGGTGTTTCCAGAGTTGGAGACGCTCACGTTCAAGAGCTTCATTTCACGCTGCTTTGAGGAAGAGGTAAAGTGATTGAAAGATTCAGATAGCCAGTACTCTGCCTAGACTTGTCCAAGTTTTGAATAGTCTCGTCAATAAAACCATCTGAAGTCTGCACGAGTCCGGTCTGAACATGACATCCTTGCAATGGACTGGTCTGGCCCGTCGGCTTGCCGGTTACGTGGCAGCGGAAAATACGGTGATTGGGAGAAGGCACGGTATTGTTTCAGCGCCACGGCGCTTGTGGACGATAGTTCCGGCCAAGCTGTGGCTAGCTGAACACAGCACTTGGAAAATCTGAGCTTCATAAACTGTTCTCTACATCGCGTCTCCCACAGTTGACCCCGCGATCATTCCTGACTTATTTCTACCCAACCTTTCACGATGCCTACCACCTATACCGTCGTTTTTGCCAATGAGCATGGTTCGGGTGGCGAGTACGTGTTCTGCAATGAGGAGCCCATTATCAACAATGATGCGACAGCCGGGAATGTCATCACCAACGCTTGGATTGGACAGCACGTCGCAAACGGCAGTGATTTTACTCTCACTGCACAATTTCAATTTCACGCCTGCAAGTATTGAAATTGAATCTAGGTTGCATGGGGGCCGTTCTGACCATGTGTACCTATCTAGGGTGCGGTAAATCTCCCAGCCAGCCAGCCGAGGGCACCATATCCCCACAGCTCCATAGTGAGGCTATTGAGCTCAGCACAAACAAGAATGACGGCGGTAAGATACCATCCATCTCGCGCAGTGATTGTTATGATAATAGGCTGATGGAGTTTGTCGAGAATCCAGATGCTCTTACAATAGTTCCGCAAGATGGGTCAATAACTTTTGACAAAACCAGGACCAAAACAGCCCCTACCGGCTGCTTCACAGTTGTTCAGCCCACTGGCTTCAATGTGAGTGACAATTTCGCCTTTGGCCTTGCTCAAACGGACAGCACTGGTGGCCAAACCCCCAAATCAATTGTAAGTTGTAAATATTTCCTAGGCGAAAACAATATGCTGATAGTGAGGGTACGGATCCCGGCCGATCAGAACATGACCACCAACGTCCAGCCCATCGTCAAATTCTTTGTGTTGAAGGTTAAGCAGGGAACAAGCGACGGTGTCAATTATCAGTCCTTTTCCACAAAGCCCGGCGTGGCTGACTTTACAACTGGTGACGGCAAGGGCCTCTACACGGCACGTGTCGTTCATGAAAAGAATGGTGACTTCACTGTCACCTACAAGTGAAAGAGTCTTTGAAGCATTTTGTATCTCTTTTAAAGATTGGGCTGTAGGTCTAGGGTAAATATGGAAGCCAGATCGATAATGAGGCTTGCTAGAGACCTAATAGTTAGATACCAGGGTATATTTGAATAAGATGAGTACTGCTTAGAAGCAATTACCCACGTAAACGGCTCGGCCTGACTAAGGAACCTGACACGCGCAACTCTCCGAGACGACCATCCTCCCTCGCGTCGGGTCAAACAATACGTGTTTCAATGCTTGGGGACAAAGCTTACTTATAATGTCGAGCAATGTGATGGCAACCCGGCCCGTAAAGGCGTGTACAGAATGTAAACAGGCCAAGGTACCACCTACCCGAACCCTCCTGATGGCCCATGCCAGACTGACCTCATCAGTTGCGATGTGACTCTAAAGACAAGTTTCCTAATCCTTGTTCGCGATGTCAATCAAGGCATCTCTTTTGCACCGTAGATGCGGCCTTCAAGCGGACGCCGGCGAGGAAGTAAGGCGACAATTCCCGATATGATGTCACTGTGCTGACGGGCTTTGTGCAGGCGCCTGGAAGCCATGAGCAGGGAGCTTCAAGAGCTCCGTAATCAACGAGAGGAGGACCATCCATCCTCAAGAACAGAGTCGACTGCTGATTCCGGTCCTTCCACCATCGAGGATGACGGGCAGGACGATTTCTCACTGAGTGCACCCGCAGTGAGCCTGAATGGCGTGCTGGTGGATTCTTCAGTAGCCGCTGAAGCATTAAGAACGTAGGTATCGGCTTGATGACTTGTCTTAAGCCCACTCACCAAGTAGCAGGTTTGCTCAAGTGTTTCGTCCACAACTTCCAGTCATTGGGTCACTCTCGGCCGACGACACGTATCAGTCTCAACCATTTCTCTTCTGGACGATAGTCATCATCATTGCGTGCCACTTACCCGGTCAACAATACGCCGATATGCTCCAATTACTTCAGACGCCGTACATCACCATGCTTCATCAGGAAATCCTTGATGCTCCTCTCCCTCTTCACAAGATACAGGCTTTATTATTACTATGTCATTGGCCGTTACCATGCGAAACGCAGACAAGAGATCCCAGTTGGCTATACTGCGGAGTTCTCATCCAGGCAGCTCGGTTCATGAGTCTTGATCGTCAGCAGACGGTTCCGTCTCTTCGAAGCCTTGGTGTTGCTTCCGGTAGCATCAGAGCGAGGATCAACACCTGGCTAGGGTGCTTTTGCGTATCTACATCGTAAGTCGGCGTGACCGAGTTGCAAAGGGTCCTGTTGTCTGACAATACCAGGTTGAGCTTACACTTGGGACTGCCTCCTCCAATCGATTCCGATCTCGACTTTGGTAGCATCCACTCTTTCCTCAGACGACAGACGGCACCACCTACCTTTGCCATGCAAGTTCGCGTCCAACTCATCGTGGCAAAGTTTACATCTCTACTGAATCACGACATGGGTGAAGGCGCAAGCTCCTCTTTTATCAGACTTCTAGATACCGAGCTCGATGCCTTGAGAGCCGAAGTATCTCTTGAAGATGAACAAATGAGGGCTGTCGAGCTCGGCATTCTGGGCGCCAAGATGCACCTATACGCCTTGGTCATCACGAAAGACGCAAACAACTCGTCGTCGCGGCAAATCATGCTGAGAACTGCGCGTGATGTGGCTCTAAGAATCATTCACATATCAACTTTGGCCATGCGGAATGCCCCGCCTGACGGGAATGATCAAGAACTAATTCGAAAACAACGGTGCCTACCTAAGAATCACTACAGATGTCTTGCTTTTGCAACGATATTCCTGTTGAAATTCTTCCATCGCCGCGGATCCGATGTCCCAGAAGAAAGGCAAGCTGTTGCAAATCACATCTCAATGGCTCAAAATCTCTTCAAAGCCTGCGCCACCCAGCCACGGGACGAATACAACCGAACAGCAAGGGTGTTTGAGGTCCTTGGACGGGAAAGCCCAAAATCAATTGAACCAGATGCACTACGCCTTACTCACAGAATGGGCGTGTCGATAGTGTTTGATGCTGTGAGCAACGCTTCTGAGGCTCGGGGGAAGCCCGTGGAGCTCCGTGAGAACGAGACAATCCAGGATGAAGGGGCACCAGAAGAACCAAGGACCCATGAACGGTTATTAAACCAACCGTTGGTTGAAATGGAGCAACCTGATACGAGCTCGGAGTTTCTTAGGGGCTTTTGGAATGATCCATACATGAGTTTACTGTCCTTTGATCCAACTCCACTTGAAACAGAGTATCAAGAGTCTTGGCCATCATGCTGACATAAATAGCAAGGGTAATCAACATAAACAGTCAGTCTCTTATTACATGATCTCGCTGATGGTGTTACAAAGGATAAATATGAAGCTACTGTATACGATGACTCCTTGCGACGGAAGCCCTTCGGAAATCCCCATTGAATTACTTCATACTTGCCAACACACGCCTAGCCATAGAGAGCACCCCAACACTTCCAATCGCAACGGCAAGTTTTGTTGAATTGGGCCAGGCCTGAATATCGAATGAGGCTGACAACTGGCTCTTGTTGGTGTCTGGAAGCTTGAGATTGGCAAGTCCCAGGTGTTCTTGTGACCCATGGATATCGCTCTCCATGAAACCTCCCGCGGACTTTTTCTTTCCCGAGCGAACTCTGGGAATTGTGACTTTGAAGGCCCTCGCAGGATCAAAAAATCCCATCCAAATTATGTCTTCTTTCGGGATGTCGAGGGCTTTAGATATGTTGTCAGGAGAAAGGAGCCCTGAGGACTTGATGGCTTGGTAGTCGGTTTCGGAATCGAACATGGCGTCGATGGTAATCTCGTAAGGGCCGGCGTTCTTGGAACGGAGGATGCGGCATAAGTCTGATAGTGTCTTGGGCTCTTGCTTCGGTTGGGTGTGTGGGATGTGTCTGGCGCCGGGAAGCGGTTTTGGTGTAGATTTGGGAAGTTGATCTCGGAGACTTGAGATGCTTTGCCTGAAGGAATCATCGGATGAAGCTGGTGAGCCTCTACCTATGGTGACAACGCTTCCTTTCAGCAAGGGTCCTTGGAGTTTACTGGATGATGGCTTCTCGTTATCAAGGATAAGACGTTCCTCGCCCGGCTCTAGATCCATGAGATGGTAGAGTGAGAATTCAGCGCATGCGCCCATCTCAATCTCCATAAGACCTCCAATTCCGAAGCCAAAGTTTCCAGCAGTTGCTTTTTGGCCCGGATAAGGTGCATGCTTGGTATATGTTAGTGTCTGTACAAACCTAGGAGGAAAGCAGGTACTCACAATCATGCCAACTCTTGCCTTGGAGGCAACGCTATTCGCAAGTTGCTGCGTAGATGCCAGAGCTTCAGCAACGACGAAAAGCTCTCCTGGTCCCGCGGCATTGTACTGATCCTTGCCGTACACGTGGAAATCGAGTTTCCATTCGCCGGAATTATCGGGATGTTGTTGGTGGACGTAGCCCTTGATCATAGCAAGAACGTCGTCAATTTTTGAGATGAGTATGTCTAAAGCGTGTTAGAATATTTGCCTAGACAGTGATTGGGACTCTTACAATCCTTAACACCACCCAGAAACAAGGTGCGGTAGCCCACTAGGCGCGCAGCTTCGAGCTTCAGTTGATACGGCTTGCCGAATTCCCTGGACGGCCGAAACTGAGCTCCCCTGACTCTCACTGATCTACCATCGGCCAATTGTTCATACTTCGCCTCGGTGAGGTCAAGAGCTCCGCCGGGTCCTCGTAAGAGATCGGGTCTCGTATTCTCATACAGCGTATGTGCGGCGACAGACAGAGGGGTGCAGATGGAATCTGGAGCCGTAGGCCTCACGTCAAACAGGCCATCTGCATAGACTGTAGAGATTGCACCATGCGACTTGGGGAGCGAGCATAAACCTCCACATTCCATAATCTTGCCCATGTGTAGAAAGCCGCCGACTCGGGACTGGATATCCTCTTCTGTGAGACCATCGACCTGCCGTTTGAGTTGGTATGTGCAGTAAGCGACATATGGTGATGGGTCATAGGCTCTTCCACCGATTATTACATCGAAGTCGGGGTTGGCGTCCATGGCGTCGATAAAGGGCTCTGGGCCCATTTGCGCGACGACTCGGACTGATGCTTCGATCTCTTCTTCCGTTGCAGGAGGTACACAGACACCGCATCCAGTCAATCGCCCTTGTTTGTGTCGTTCAAGAATTGTGGATTTGTTAATTCCTGAAAATAGGGATATCGTCTTGAAGTTGTAGTCTCTGGAAAGAAGTCAGCAAGGTGGGCTGGACTGGCGAGTGGAAGAGTTACTTATTTCCCTCCTCGGCAGCAATCTCGTCGATAATCTCTCCAATCTCCCTCACATGTTCGTCAGTCCCATCACCGCCAGCTGATCCAAAAATAAGCGGCACACGAAACGTGTGCACGAGTCGGAGCAGCTTGGACAAGTCTTTGGCGTAGGCTGAGCGAGGACAGGACATGGACCCAAGGGCGAGCTTTTGGGGGCCGCTATCGGTGGAACCCGAGTCGAGGATAATGGCTGTAGGAACTCCATTGGGGACCATATGGGCGAGCTCATATCGTGTGAGTTCTTCGTCGAAGCCGTAGCCCAACATGCCGACGGGGGCGATGATCTGGCAGATGGGCCGGGCGGCCATATTGTTTTGATCAAGGTTGGTCATCTAAAGAAAGGGTGATAAAGATGTATGTGAACTGATAGATTTTGGGAAATTTTCTGAATCGATAAATGTAGAAAAGGAGTCGCAAAGTGTGATGTAAGTCGGACTCAGAGATGCTTCCACCTGGGTATAAGAGCAACAACCACAGCGGCCAATCGGACTTTGGGAACTAGGTGATATCACCGTTCCCTGCATAAACTATACCTTAATATTCTTTTTCTTCCGATGATGGTAACGTCAAGCTCAGAATTCATGCCGAGGCAAAGTCAAGTTCGAAAGCCGAATTTCGCTCCCCATGCCGAAGCTCGCTTACGCTCCCCCGCCACGGACATTTTGGCGTCAGATTCCAACTCCGTCGGATTTGCCAAGACCTACGGAGGTGAGAGCCGTCTGCAAATGGCCAATGGGACGGATTTCGGGAGACGGCAGTTGAAATCGTAGCGAAACTTGGCGTGAGAAATGCCTTCGTAGGGCTGAACTAAGGTGTGGTTTCGATCGCGACCGTTCACCACCCGGGTACCTTTCTTGACCCAACCCGTCCAGTATCTCGCTGAGATACCCGCGGACTCTGAGCCAATAGGTAAAAAGCCCTCGCATTCTCGGTCCTCCGTACACCAGCCTCCCCCCAAAGCTTGATCCAACAACTCCGTTGGGTTGCAACACGAGAGTGCAAGTCCGTAGGGCCACCTGCAAAATCCTTCCACCACGAATCCAGAAATGATCAACTGTCCATCAGGATGACACCGCCCCGCCTAGGCGCGTTTCGCCTGATGCGCCGAGGGGCGCCCGGGGTCTTGATTGGCCTTGCTCGGATTTGGGACCAATTATAGCACGATTGCAGGGTTTCACGGCAGTTGGCAGAGTAAGCTCAGCCTTGTCCGTGTGGGACTCTCAGATCAATCTTTGACCAGGGCTATTATCTTGAGGTTATGCTTGGCTTGATACTTAATTGCTCATTTCTCATCTTGGAAGTTGAATTTTAGCATTACAATCTTTACTTTACTTCACAACAAGAGACAATACCGAGTGACACTTGAGCTGCATACTTCAAGTATTCACAACACCTCATCGCCATCAATCGTGCCCTTCCCAAGGCAATGCCTAACTACGAACCTTACCGGGGAGAACCGACAAAGTCGGCCGATATCGCCCCAGATTACGTTGAGCTAGAAACGACGAGATGGAATTCCGTCCCTCAAGAAGACCAAGAATCAACCGCCTATGACCCTGCACAACTCATCGAAAGAACATCAACCCGGAGCACGAAAAACGACATGGAGACTCAACTACCTCTCGGTCAAGCTATCAAAAAGTACCCCAAGATCGCTGGTTATTGTCTTGCCATGACAATTCCCATCATCGGATGGGGCTACGACTTGCTTGTTGTCGGTGCCATTACCGGCGAGGACTCGTTCAAGGCGGATTATGGCAAGTTGATTGATGGAGAAATGACCATTCCGGGAAATTGGCTATCTCTGTGGATGGGCCTTCCTCCCGCTGGAGCAGCTGCTGGTGCCTTGTTGGGCGGTTGGCTACAGAACCGTATCGGCCGAAAGTTCTCTCTCATGATCGGCAGCATCATCTCAGCCATGGCCATTGCATGCATCTTCTTCTCCCATCTTCCTCCCGAGCCCGATACCAAGCGGGTTGTCATCACCGTTGGCTTAACTTTCCAAGGATTCACGGTCGGCATCATCAAAACCACTTGTCTTACTTGGGTGTCGGAAAATGCACCAACAGCACTTCGAGGTCCAGCCATGGCTCTTTTCCCGACTTTTACCTTGATCGGTCAACTTATCGGCGCCATCGTGGTGTATGCGGTCAACCAGATGGGAAGCAAGAATGGCTACCTCGGAGCTTTTGGTTCTCAGTGGATTCTCGTCCTTGGTCCCTTCACTCTGTCCTGCCTTATGCCCGAAAGCCCTGCTCACCTCATCCGAACGAACCAAGAAGAGAGAGCCATTCGTTCTGCGACCCGGCTTTTTGGACCCAAGATGAACCCATATAGTGCTTTGGAAAAGATCCGAGAAACCATTGAGGAAGAAAAGGCGACGACTGCGTCCGTCTCCTACTGGGCCTGCTTCAAGGGAAGCAACCTCCGCCGTACCATGATTGTCATACTGGCCAACGTCATCCCTGCGTTGTTTGGTCTGGAACTTTTGTCCAATGCCACAGTCTTTCTGCAGAGCATCGGCATGGCATCCGGCCCGAGTTTGCTCATCATGATTGGTGGCATCATCGCAGGAATGGTAGCCAACGGTATTGGTTTCTGGCTTCTTTCTCGCACAGGCCGAAGGAGCATGACTATTGTGTCGATGGGTATCGCTTCACTCTTGTGGGGAGCTATGGGTATCTCAGGCTTCTGGTCAGGTCCAGCACTTGCCTGGCTGGCAGCAGGACTTATGATCTCTGTCATTGTGGTTTGTGGTCTGGGTTGCTGGCCAGCAGGTTATGCCATCATGGGAGAGACAAGCTCTCTGCAACTACGATCCCTCACGCACGGTATTGGAAGCGTGGCATCCCAAGCTGCATCCATCACCCTAGCCGTCCTGCTACCAATGCTCTTCAGCAAGGACAAGGCAGCCCTCGGAGCAAAGACTGCTTTCGTCTTTTGTGGTCTCTGCATTATCGGTGTCGTTCTGGCCTGGCTGTGGATCCCCGAGATGAAGGGTAGGAGTATGATTGAGCTTGATCACATGTTTGAGATGAGGCTTCCTACGAGGAAGTTTAAGAGCTTTAAGATGGAGACGCATGAGGTTCAGGAGGCATCTCCGCTGGCTGAGAGGGGTGCGTAGACGGATTTGTGAAGGAAAGGGTCATGATTTATATGATTTGGTTAGAATTTGCATCTTAAGAGTTACCACATTTTGCTAGCATATTTAGTCGAAGAATAGAAAATTCCTTTGGTTGTACCACCGTTATCCAGGGCCCCGTTAAACGCTGTTGATTGAGATTATACCCCCCTACCTACATGCAGTTCATTCTGGAATTACAGGCCCAAAAAGTTAATTCGTAGAATATAGCCACAGGCCAATCCCGCCGTAGCCTCCTTGTCCGAACGTGCTTACAGTGCCATGGCTACTTACCGTTGTGGGCTTGTTTTGATTGCTTCTCAAGAGCTTCTCGAAGAACTTCTCTGAGCTTCCCATCCACACGGCCGAAGTAATCTGCAAACTGATTAGCACTGACACTAATGCACAGGGTGATATACGTACCCAATACTTCATTCCTCAACTTTCCAGGAATACCCTCCAACGTAGGAAGGATATTATGAAGAAACTGTTCCTTGCCGCCCTCTTCTTCACAAATAATCTTCCACAGCTTCCTAGGCTGCTCAAAATCCTTGTCCATAACCGAAGTTGAAAAAGCAGTCACATGTCCAGCCCAAACCTCATGAGTCGGCATCTGAACACGATGGCTGACGGTTACTGGACGAAGCTCGGAGAAGACGTAGTCTGGGTCACCTCCGTAGTTCCCGTTCATGGTTCCTGGGCCGTCGCGAACGTAAGGGGCGTATACCTTGTTGACTGGTCGATTCGGTGGGAGTTGGAAGTAGTTAGGGCCGACCCTTGGCTTATTAGTAAATGACCTGCAAATAAGAAGGACGGAGATACCGATAACGATGGGCGTCAGGATAGCTAAACATTCTAGCTTGGAGAACTGTTTTTTGCTGTCAGCTGTTGATTCTCACCAACCAGTAAAACGGTAACAAACCTGGATCAGCTGAAGGCCCAATGCCTGGCACCATGTTCGAAGGCGAGAAGCAAGCTTGCTCAATGTCCTGAAAGTAGTTGTTCGGCTATTCAAACGTCAGATAAAGGGACAATAATTGGTACAAGACAACAAACATTCTTGTTGAGTGTCAGGCGGCCAACAAGCCGCAGCGGGTACTTCTCAAACGGCCAGGTGTAAGTGTCGTCGAAAATGTCAATTGGAGCCTTCTTGATCTCTTCAGGCTTCATGACCTGAATGTATACACCCCAAGATGGAAAGTCTCCTTTCTCAATGGCCTTGAAAAGGTCTTTGACATGGTAGTCTGGCTCTGAACCTGCCAACCGGACAGCTGTATCAGCGTCCATGGTCTTGATGCCTTCGTCGGGTCTGAAGTGCCACTTGACGTAGACATAGCTGCCGTTCTAGTATCGTTAGCCTGATCGAAATGACAACAAAGTAGTGGAGTGATGGCTCACAGCCTTGTTCAGGGTGTACGTGTGAACACTAAACCCGTTAATGTTCCTCAACGAAGCCGGAATACCTCGTTGTCCGAACAAATGCATCAAAGCATGAATGCCCTCTGGATTATTAACATGAAAGTCCCAAAACATGGTATTATCCGGAACATTCGTCTGAGGATGCCGCTTGTGGCTCCTGTTCATGGACGGAAATTTGATGGGGTCCCTGATGAAAAACACGGGCAAGTCGTTAAAGACAAAGTCTTGGATGCCTTCTTCAGTGTAAAACTTTGTCGCCCAGCCTCGGACATCACGGACTGTATCACTGGATCCCTTTTCGCCGCCGACGGTGGAGATTCTGGTGAGGATCTTTGTCTTTTTGCCGACGCCGGTGAGGAACTTGGCGTCTGTTAAGTCTGAGACATCCTCGAGGACTTCAAATTCGCCAAAGGCGCCAGCAGCCTTTGCATGGACGCTTCTGCAGGTGCATCAGTAGCGCATCACAGTGGAAGAGACCAACACGAGGGTGTACCGCTCAGGAATGCGTTCTCGGGCGAAATGAGCCAAGACCTCAAGGGTCTGGGTGTCGCTCAAGACAATCAAGCCACCGTTGCTGTTGCCATAGCGAACTTGCTGGACTGATCCAGGACTCTCACTCGGTTGTCCTGAAAATTGGTATTAGATACATGACAGAGCCGTGGTGGTATGCGAATGTCTACCGTTGGCAAGCGTGCACAGGGGGTTATCGGTCGGGGCGGGCTACGTCTAGTAAGTCTCGAGTAGCAATAATCGGAGGAATTGGACTGACCATGGTATCCAATTCGAAGTAGCTCAATGTCGTTCAAACAGACAATACCCGTGTTCCCAAAGTGAGATGATGCTCGTCTTCTTATCAGCTCCCCCCCTTGACGTATCTCCCATTGGAACGGAACTACCGGATCAACGTCAACGCAGTTGAAGTCAAAGTAAACAACCCCGCAGGAACATGCGTCCGCCACTAATGTCATTATGATTGTCATCCAAGCAATGCCCGTGGTGTGATTGAACCACCGACCCCTCATTCGTATCTGTCCGTAACCTCCTCAACAAATCGGTTTCCTCGCTCAAAACTCAGACAAGTTCAGGGAGGGCGGATCAGACGCAAGAGAGCTCCCCAAGCGAGACAGGAAGACGTATCGGACCAATACACGTCAAGTGGCTTCAAGCTAAAAACACGGCCTAGTGAAACCTTGTGCCACACTCATAAACATCATTGGATCAATGGTAATGCCAGATTTGGGAACATCTGTACCTTGGCAACGTCGATGACCCGCCCTCTCGTCATACTTGACCTGCCCATGTCCCTCTGGTATATCTCCCTCTAGCCCCATTTCTAATGTCCCTCCTCTCGTCAGACTTTGACAAACACCAACACAGTATCTTTTGTTAAGCATGAAGACTACCAATCGCCCTGATGAGTGGAAGATTGAGCAGGGACTGTCTGGAGCTGTGCTCCCAGTCCTTGACATGACGGGCCCCGAGACCAAACACTTGGATCCTCAGACTTTTGGGGAACTTACCAAAGATGAGGAGGCCATCAAGAGTGTCGGTGATCGTGAGAAGCTCTTTGCCGCTGAGAGAAAGGGCTGGACTGGGTAGGCAACTCACTTCTAGGCTATGCTCGTGCTGATGAATGCATCAAGATTCGTCGAGTGGGAGAATTATCCCAAGAAGAAGGATGCCGCGCACAAGATCTTGACTTCTCAGACTTTCCCTCCCAACCCGGAGTTCCAGCTTGGTCCTATTCCTGCGACCAACCCTGTTCTTCCTGGTACTCATTGGAAGATGTGGCACCATGCTATCGGTGGAGAGCTCACCAAGGTTCCCGAGGACTCGTGGTCGACTGTTCTCAAGGAGAAGCATCCCGATATGCTTCACCTCCTTCAGTTTCCCTACAATGGAGAACCTCCCAAGCGTCTTGTTACTGACAAGGAGTTCACTCCCAATTCCCTTCACTTTGTGAGAAATCATGGTGGTATCCCCATCATCAACAAGGAGGATTTCAGCTTCCTCATGGATGGCCTCGTCGCCAATCCTCGCTCCTTTACCCTGGATGATCTCATGGATGAGTCTCAATTCCCGCGCATGGAAAAGAGCATCACCATGCAGTGCTCTGGAACTCGTCGCATTGAGCAGATCCTCAAGTACGCCGGTCAAGGCGACGAAGTTCCTCAGGCACCCTGGGCTGAGGGAGCAATTGGTACTGCTAAATACGTCGGCATCAGTCTTAAGAAGGTCATCAAGGCGTGTGGAGGTTTGGTCGATGGGGCCAAGCATCTGGAGTTTTACGGTGCCGACACCTACTTCAAGGACGACAAGACGATGAACTACCTCGTCAGCGTCCCATGGTCCAAGGTCAAGGCGAACGAAGTGATGCTAGCATGGGAGATGAACGGCGAGGAGCTCCCTAGAATCCATGGCTACCCTCTTCGCATCGTTGTGTTTGGGTACATCGGCGCCAGAAGCGTCAAATGGCTGTACCGCATCAAAGCCATCAAAGAGCCCTCACGAGCACCAGTCCAGAGCCAGGAGTATCTCTATTTCCCCCAACAGGTCGGAAAGCACAACTTCAAGATGACGGACGGCATCCAGATCCAGGAGATGCCCGTCAGCTCGGCCATCATGTCACCTTGGACGAAGCAGGTGGTCATCCACAACGGCAAGATTCGCTGCAAGGGCTGGGCGTACTCTGGCGGTGGGCGATGGCCTGAACGTGTCGAGCTGTCTGCTGACGGTGGTTTCAACTGGTACACGATTCCTCTCGACAAGATGTCTAAGAAGAGAAGATGGACTTGGCGCATCTGGGAATTTGAGCTCCCATGCGATGTAGAAGGATGGGTCGAGATTGTCTGCCGCTGCTGGGACAACTCCCTAAACACGCAGCCTCCCAACGTCCGCACAGCCTGGAACTGGGGCTTGCACGTCACTAGCTCTTGCCACCGAGTTTCCGTCTACAGCGTCAACAAGAGCAGGCCCAAGACCAAGGCTCGCTTGGACGAATTTGAGGAGAAGGGTATCCCATTTGGTCCTATCACTGTGCCTCTCGCGTTTCCGTCTCAGACTTGGGATGACTATGAGAAGTTTTGGAAAGAGAATGGCCCGCGCGACGCGGAGGATGATTGATTTGCACGGTAAAAGGTTTCTTTGTAAACAGATTTGATAGTTAGCTCGCGATCAATAACAAGAATGGTATCAAGAGGAATGCTTTGTGGCTGTCAAGATGTGTTCCCCCCAGCATCCAAGGACAAGTAGAGAGTCCCCTTCATGATACCGAGATTCTTAACATAGCAGCATTATTTCCTTCTTCGGCTTCTTACTTTGCAGGACGGCATGCCCGCGATATCCGCCAGCCACGAAAGTGGGGATGGTGCATAAGACTGCAAGTCGTGACAGCTTCACTTCACAGCACAACCTGATAGGCCTGTGTCTTGTAGCACAGCAAATGTCACTTCTTCGAATATTGGCTACACGGCGCCTTTTGTTTGCCGACCGCAGATACACTTCCGATCTGCCGTCCAATCGAGTGCCGTACAAGCCTGAATACCCTCAGGCCGTCCCGTGCCGCCTCAGCTGAGGCTGCAGAGCATTCCGTTTCTGGGTAGTGGTGTCTCACTTATTTCGCGCACAGGCACAAGAGACGATATCGCGTCTTGTACACGTCATATTTAACTGAATTGCTCGTGTATAGATCGTCGGGAGAGAAAGGATTTAATAGTTGTCTTCAGGTCAACAGGAATGACAGCGTTTCAACACGTCGACCCCCAGACAAGGATTGTTCCTTGCATCTGACTTAGATCTTGCTGTGGCCTAATCTGAGATCAATCTCGATCGTTCAAGATTGCGTTTCCACATGAACTCTCCCCTTTGGGTCTGGGTTTTCTGTACCTGTCATCTACCGGCGCGGCCCGATGTCTCGGAGGCACAGAGCTGAGCGAATGAGCCTGAGCAGTACTGCATATCCTTACACAATGACATACGTAAACCAAGCCTTCAATACCAACGATTGAGGGATCATCTGAGACAGTAACACGCATGTGACGTGAGGTGGAGAGCTGAAGAGGCGTTGATGCCCAGCTCCCCAGACGCCGGGTGGACGATGGTGTAGAGTAAGTTAAATAGTCTTCTATCCGCTCTTCTGCGCATTGTTTCATTGCGCATATCTAATCTGTGGACTTGTTGCGACTATGAAGGTCGACATTCACTCAGGGCGGCTCTCTGGGGCCTTCCACGCCCCTGTCCCATACCGCAGACGCCACCCTCTGAATCCCGGGAGATCGGTTCCCGGGTACAACGCCCATTCCTTTGCGAGTTGGACTCGAACGTTTGTCGCGTACGTCGATCAGCGATATCGACGTCCAGAGATTCCATCATGGCCTCAACCCATCCAAGACCTAAGCGACCTCATCGAGAGCACTCCAGAGCTTCGTATGCTTGCCTCGGCCATGTTTGACGAGGTTCCAAGCAAGCAGCCTTACCTCAAGGATCCGGCCGGACATAGACAGATTCGAGATTATCATCACATGCTCCATCTATTCTCCATCATCATGACAACGATTGCGCCTAGCTGGAGCATGTCGGAGCATGGTCTAGGCATTGTCGGATTTCCATTCAATGCTGTTCTCGACTGGCCCATGGCGACTCGCAGCGGATACGCCTTCTTCCTCAAGGCCGAAGTCAACGCCAAGCTCAAGGTCATCCTCGACACATGGAGGGACAATGTCCTCAAGACCAACAAGCAATACGTCCTCACAACTGATCCAGATGGATGGCTGAGCAGCAGTGTGCTCGTCACTATTGAAGGAGAGACCAATGTCGACGGCCAAGAGCCTCTACCCTTCCATCAAATCTTTGAATGCGATCCTATCGGCGACCCTGTACACTGGGGCTTCCAGTGCTGGGATGACTTTTTCGTGAGAAAGTTCAAGGATATGGACAAGATTAGACCCGTTGCATTCCCTGATGACCCGAGGTGGATCGTCAATGCTTGCGAGTCAAGACCATATGCGCTACAAGCCAACGTCAAGGATTACGACACATTCTGGCTGAAGGGTCAGCCATATTCTGTTGTCGAAATGCTGAACCACCACCCCAACGCAAGCCAATTTGTCGGCGGTACAGTGTTCCAAGCTTTCCTAAGTGCAACAGCCTACCATCGCTGGAGTTCTCCAGTTGCAGGGAAAGTCATCCACTCCGAAGTCATCGACGGGACATACTTTTCAGAGCCAACCTTTGACGGCTTTGCGAACCCTGAAGGTCCTGATCAAGCCGGCCCAGATCGAGCTCAAGGCTACATATCCCATGTTGCTACACGAGCCATGTTTTTCATTGACACTGAGGGTCCAGCTGGAGTTGTATGCGTTCTCTTTGTTGGAATGGCTGATGTATCAACGTGCGAGATCTTGGAAAGATTTCAACGAAATCTACCGCAGACCGTTGCCAAGGGAGAGGAACTGGGCATGTTTCATCACGGAGGATCAACGTATTGTCTTCTTTTCCCGCCAGATGTGAACCTCACGTGGGTTACTGCTGCATATCCTGGTATCTCGGATAAGAACATTCCAATTCGCAGCGGATTGGCGTATGCATGTCCTACAGCCTCGACGAGGCGTGCGCGACTGAGGTTTCCTACTGCATAAATGCTGGGTCTTGATAAGATGGAGTTGTTCTAACCAGTGAATTTCTTTAATGTGGACTATCAGCATAAAATTTTGAGAGAGAATTATACTCCGTTTGAATGAATACTTACAACGTCATTTCGACTCATGCCCCTCCAGGCAGACAATGATATCACTTGTTATCCCCAAGCGATGCTTCAGTGCAGCATCCTTCCAGAAAGACGTTGGACAGAATCCACTCCCCATTGGCTGAATTACGCATCCTGATCCAAGCTTACGTCTCCCTCATCACAGTCCATCCCTAAACAAGTAATGTTAATTTCGCGTTATGCCCGGATCTCACGGAGTTGGATGGAGCGGATTTCGGACGCACGGCAAGCCGACTTCTCTCCCTGTTGGGCTGAAACCTCAATAATCGGACAACGTTAGTGGATACAAGCTCCAGCCATGAAACAACAAATATCGACCTCGGCTGAAAGCCAATGTCCGACGGGGAGGCCTCTGAAAGCCTGCCCCGCCCTTCTATTAAAGTAAGCACTAACTGCAACTGGATATCAATATCCAAACACTACAGCAGTACAACTTCAACTTCACATCTTCAAAACTCATAACATCAAGTTCATCATGTCCGAAAAGACTTTCCGCGCCTACAGCCAAGAGCAGGGCAAAACCTACGCCCAGCTCCGCCTCGACTACAATGAAAGCCTTTACCAGGCCATCCTCGACTTCCAAAAGGCTGGCTCCGGCCAATTCGATACCATCATCGACATTGGCTGTGGTCCTGGGACTGCAGTCCGCAAGCTTGCGCCAAACTTCAAAAATGCCTTTGGCCTTGATCCTTCAGAGGGAATGATCAGCACTGCTCGATCTCTGAGCACCTCAGATGAGCGTATTCGCTTTGAGGTGTCATCAGCAGAGACACTTGGCTCTGAGCTTGAGACGCCTATTCCCGAAGAGAGCGTTGATGTCATCACGGCTGCTACATGCGCTCACTGGTTCGACATGCCCAGCTTCTGGGAGCGAGCTGCCAAGGTCCTCAAGCCCGGCGGCACAGTCGCTTTCTGGACCGGTGGCGATCTTCGTGTCGACAAGACCATGGCCGAGCACGTTGCCCTCCAAGCCGTTGTCGATGAACTCGATGAACAGCTAAAGGACTACTTCGAGCCAGGCAACCTGCTCACCCGCGACTTGTACCGCCGCATCCCCCTCCCCTGGACTTGTCCAACTCCTGTGCCTGAATTCGACGAGTCATCCTTTAAGCGGCTGGAGTGGAACACTGGCCCAGTTTCTCCCTCTGACTGCTTCTTTGTCAAGAAGCAGCCTCTCCCTCCGGCCGTGATCGAGCTGATGCTGGGAACCGCCAGCCCAGTTACCAGATGGCGGGAGGCTCACCCAGAAGCAGTGGGCACTGAGCAAGATGTTTTGCGGGTCATGAGAAGGAAGCTTGAGAAGATCCTACACGACTCTGGCGTTGAGGAGGGGGCGGAGCTAGTCCATGGTGACATGGAGGGGGCCTTGCTGTTGGTGCGAAAGAAGGCTGCCTAGAGAAGAGACCATGCTCAATACCTCAACTACCATTCTTATTTCTAGACTGAAAGTAATGTGGTACCTCCCGACAAGCTAGTCTGGCCGGTTGGGAGAGTGCCAGACTCGGATCAAGATTCAGTCGATTTAAGCCCAAAGGCTACTATTAATAACATCGTAATACTTAGGGAGCCAATGAACACTCCTCTTATATCTAAAACATCATGGCTTGATGAGGTGCCTTTCATTTCAACACTGAGATATGCAGAAATAATCTTTTCAAGTTTTATGCCATTCATTTGTCCACAATCCTTTCCACGATAGCTAGTTGATCAGCCAGCCGGTCCGATTTCCTGCATAGAACGTCAGTACCATAGATAAGCCTTAGTAGAAAAATTCAATTAGTTACAGGAATAATATTGTCAGCTGGAGCGCACCGAGAAACTGGAGTTCCAAGTCGGCGGCTTCTCTGAGAGATGCAAGATCACTACGCCGCCAGTACCACGGTTTCGAGTTATTAACGTTGAGCTTTTCGTTCATTGCCTTGAGGTGATCTTCCACGCGTTGTATGCAGTCGTCAAAATCCTCTATCAGAGGCATAACCTCCATGTTCGACGACACCCAGCGGGAGGACAGCAGATCCCTAAGCCGCGAGACATATGCTTGTCTGTCGGCTCTATAGCTCTCGAAATACTGCATCTCAACATTTTCATTGCGTGTGACTGTGTATAGTGCCACAGTGAATGTGAAGAGACCCAGGGTGAATGTCAAAATGCCCGTGATATTTCCAGTTGTGGAAAGTGGGCTGTCGTCTGGGCAATCAGCCATCCATGCAGCGTGCAAATGGACCAGGATGAGACGAAGCGGGGATGAGAGGACAAAGTTGCTGGGAAAGAGTGCGAAATTAATCAAGTTTCAAAATGCTAAAAGCACCAAGAAGTTCAACTTTCACCGAGTTGCAGGAGGAGGCTGGCCTTGGTTTCGGAGCTACTGCTTCACCTCGTCTTGTCAGCAGACGGCTCGTGGTCATGTCACATCATCATGGCAGCACCTAAATGGATTGTGCGCCGTGTGGCGGGCAGGTGGCTTTCTGGAGGGTCGCTTACCACCCGAGTTGAACACGGCCGTGATTTCATAGGACAACGCGCATGAATGTCTCCTGAGCGGCCAGGGTGCCAACAGTATGGCTGCCCAGCTCCATGATCACCAGCCATGGATACAGGCAGGATTAGCCAATCAAGTCCACTCTAGCACCCTGAGGTATGTTCAGCTCGCTGTGGCTGGCAGGCCCCCGAGCCACCTCTAACATGGTGCCAAAGAGATATGAAGAACCTTCCCAGCACTTCAAAACTTGCGATGATAGCGATTTTTGGTATTTTCTAAAGTAGCCTTTGGCCGCCATGCACAACAGCGTCGTTGTCTGTGCTATGGGTGAAGAGATCAACTTCACCATCTATCAAACACCACTTGTCGAGGACCATCAGGATCCACGCCTTCAACGAGAATACACACCTGCAGTGCCGGAGAATGATGGTGCAGTGCTCCCAGCGTGCGTCCCGCTCCGTCTACATGAGGCCACTAAGGCCACAATATGGAAGCCCGCAACCAAGAATGACCCAGGAGCCGACTACCTAGTTGCCGTCAAAAGTGAGCCATCGCCATACTTCGCTACGTACCATGTCTCTAATGAAGTCCATGGTCAGATGGTTGCGGTGTTGCAATCCAAGCGCATGGCGCAAGAGAGGATTACCACTTCAGAGTGAAGATCACAGCAGGCGGAGTGAATGTGGCCTCCCCACCACCTTTCCGATCGTCACATCCTGGGACATCATACCCTGACTATTTCGTCATGCCAGACCAGCAATGGGTGTTTGGAGTACGTGTTGGGGAGAGTTCAGTGCGACAATTCAGGGTCCTTGAAAGCGGGACTTGGTATGTTGTCTCGATCTAGTTCTTAGGCTTCCTGCTAACATCGGGAGGTTTTCCTGGATGTCTCTTTACAGAAGGAGAGAAGAAGAGAGCATTGAGATCCAAGTCACCGGGTTTCGTAGGTAGGTGAAACCCCATCTCCTTCCCCTAAGAGATAGGTGCCGCTTATACCATCGGCCAGAGAGATAGACCAGACGAATACCCGAATCTTCCCCTTGCAGCGACCAAGAATCCACGAGGCTACACGATCTTTGTAATATCCAGGAGTGGAAAGAAGGTTATCCTCGAACAGATGAGTTCATCCGACACGGTGCTGAATCTCAAGTTAAGGATTCGAGAGGAGGAGGGTACACAGATTCATAGACAAAGGCTCATCTTCAATGGAAAGCAATTAGAGGATGGTATGTCAATTCGACTTTTTCAATCACTGCATCTCTAACAAACTCTGAAACCAGAACGGACTCTCTCCGACTACAGCATCGGGAAGGTGAGCCATAGAAGCCCGGGAATGTGTCTTTTGTGAGCGACAGTTAACGTTGGTAGGGAGAAACTGTGCACATGGTCATGCAACTAACAGGCGGAGGTTATGGCATCATGTCTGCACTGCCACACCTTTCAGTAACAGACAATACCGAGGTGTCACTAAAGCCAGAGCAGCTCGGTCCGGGTGGGCGCATACATCAAGATTTTGCTACCGATCTAGAACCTGAAGATTGGTATGAGACCAAAACTTGGACCATAAGGTTTTACTTTTTCGACGCGGATCACTTCAAGAGTAAAACCGGCCTTGACCTCGACCCGGCTGACAATGTCGAGAGGCAGTGTCATGTTGACGGCTTTGTGGAAGATCGGTTCCCGTCATTTAGAGGACAGCAAGCAGCAGTCTCGGTACCATCCATTGCGCAGCTCTACACAAAGTCCAAAGGGGAGGCCCAGCAAGATTCTAGGAACTTGGACTACGCCCAGACTGAAGGAGATGCTGGCCAGCAAGGAGACACAAACGAGGAAGTTGATCCGGCACAACAAACAGGCACACCCCGAAAGCAGAATCGGGGCAAGAGATTTTTGTCTACGATCATGTGTGGAAGTAAAGGGTAGTTGATTTCTTTCCATCTAAAATTGCTGATTATTGAAAAAAAACACTGCCTGGGCGCTTTTGGAGGTTTTGGGGCACAATCAAAAAGGCTATCAGCAAGCAGCAACAAGCATCGTAGTTGTTGACATATGCCACCGTCAACACTCAACACTAGAGACACAAGGTATGTGGGTTCTAAGTGCATGGCCATTACATCTTCAGGTTAAACAAGAATGAACGTCGTCGGGGGTGCCCCCCTATCCAGGAGATGAACATGATCAAAAACAAGGCCGACTCGACGATATACTCCCTGCATGCCCTCTACGGGCTTCACAGCAAGGCAAATACCGAAATCATTGAGCATGTTTGCCCTCCCCAGTAATAACAACAGCACGGATTTGCCTTCTTGCAAAGCTTCCGTAGGATCATGGGGACAATCCGCGAAAAGTTCATGGCCGTCTCCATCATCTTCGTTATCCTCATCCCCAGGAACATTGAAGGAAAAATCTGTGCTCGATTCGTCAGTAACTGAGATTTTTACATTCAGGGAAACAGCCTCGAGCTCGATCTGGCCTGCTCGGACAGGCCCAAATTGGTGGCCGTCGGTTCTGCACCAGGTCCCCTCTTCTATGATACGAACCCGGGGGTCCGTCTCAAAGCTTTCAAACAAACCGTAGGCGGCAGATAGGTATGGGCCCCTCTGTAGAGACATCCAGGACCAAGAAGGAATCCCACCACCGAGGCGTTTTGCGTTTTCCCCATCCTTTAAAAAGGGAAGATTACCCCAGGCCAAGCCCCGTGGGAGGTCGTGGAGCCACATTCCAGCCAGATACTTGTCGTTGGTCGCTTCTTGTATCTTCAAGGCTACTCCAGCAATTGCGTGAGCCCGATCGGATTCTCTTGTCAGAGCCATCGAGGCATACTAGGTAACAGCTGTGAGCCAAAAGTCTCGGGCCGGCCGAGTAACGTCCAAACTTCCAGTATTTCTTCGAATCTTTTCAAACCACCTCTTCTCCCAGCTATCAACCAGGAGAATTGGAGGGGCAGGGTTCTGTTTCTCTAGCATGGCTTCCACTTCTGGCAACATATCCCAGTTGTTGTCCATGTCTTTGCACTCACAGGCGGCAGACTCTCGACATTGCCACATAAGCTCGGAGCGAGAGAAAAACGCGGTTCGGGGTGCTAATAACTTTTCCTGGTAGACCCATGCCCTGTCAAGTAATGGGCATTCCACCGCTCTACCACGATACTCATTCCCAAGGATGGACCCGTGACCCAGTACATTAGGAGGGCGGACAAGAACTGCCGCCGCCGAAGTGTCCATAGGCTGGATCATACACGTTTTCCACCTTTCGCGATGCACTTTGGGACTGGGCCACCAGGCGGGATCACGGTATAGGTCGGAGTCGAATTGGGCGCTGAGGCTAGCGTCAACATCCGCAAAGACCTGAAACCTCGTTCCAAAGAGAGATTGAGACGAGTTTTCAGCCGTCGCGGCCGCCAAGTTGAGGTAGCTGTTTGAGTAGATTCCGGCCATTTGTGCCGACTGCTCAAGCCAGTCATCATCGTCATCCTGAATTATACATATCGAGTCAATCCAGAGATAGGATAGGCCAAGCTTCCGAAGGAGAGTGATGACATCTTGAAAGAGGGTTGGCAATTCCTCCCACTTTATTCCTCTTATTCTTGCCTCGTATGAATCTTTCGTCGTCTGGAGCGGCTTAACATCGATCAAATTTCCCCAACAATGACTGAGAGTTGCATACGGCCAACAGGTGATCGGATGGTCCTTGGTCTCTATCAGTCTCTGCCCGTTCGAGGAGATGTAGACCAATCGTTTTGGTGGACTCTGAGAGTTGACTGAGCATTGTTCATGCTTGTCGCATGACTTAAGCCATCTCTTTAAAATGCCTGCGGCCGAGTCTGGGCTTAAGCGGCCCATAGGAACCGCGCCTCTTGCAAACGCTGGATGAAAAGGACTTCGGGGATCATCTAGCGTTTCGTTCAGTTGGATAAGCTCGGGCAGTCTTGGTTGCACTTACTCTCGTTTGTAGAAAACTCAATTCGCCCAGGGCGGCTTGTCAAGTAAGACCTGATGGTCATATCGAGACGACGGATGAAAAGACTCCTGCCAGGCCGCAACTCAATGCTTATATTCGGCCAACTGTGAAGCTTTCCTTCTTGAGAGTTTTCTGATGAGCCAGAGATGTTTGAACCTGAACTTCCGAGACTCTGGGTGGAGTTCTTGTTAGTTTCATCGTCCGTCTCGTTGCCGTGTTTGTCGTTCTCATCCTCATCAGTTGCGCTGTCATCGTACGAATACTCGCTCTCTTCAACCTCCCAGCTCTCGTCTCCCCAGAAAGCTGACATGCCCTCATCAAGGACAGTACAGATGGGGCAGAACTGTTGAGCGGCCTCTGCGATTCTCCCCCGATTGGCTCTTCGGGATCGGGGTGCTGGGTAACAGTCAGGCTCACTGAATCTTTCCCATACATCGAATCTGTCGTATTCAAGGTTCCAACAGGCCGGGCAGATGATTTCATTGTCGGCGGATGGTGAAGTTCCCGAATTCTCGGTCGACATGATGGCATGAGCAAGTGGTTTCTGATGACAAAAAGCGAAGAACAGGAGTTCGATGTAGGAAAACCCCGCGTGACATTGCAAGTGAGATGCAGCCTGGTTTCAGGCCTAGCAAGTGGGGGACGCTGCCAGCAGCTAGGGTTCTTTCTGGATAAGACAAAACGACTACGAGCAAGACGAGCAAGACGAGCAAGCCTGGAGATTGATCAAGTTGCTTTAGATTCGAATACTATGATGAGGCTACTATCGAAAGTCAAGTTAATTATATTAACCCCTTAAAGTCGAAAAATCAAGTTGACATTTTGCCACTTCTGCCTACATATTAAACTTGGTCTGCCAATCCGCCATGCCATGAAACCACTGAAATTACAAGACGCCGTACCTAAAACTCCATTTCCAACTTCAAACAAGGAATTATTCATGTACCCATGTGAAGACTCGCCTATCCAATTTCCGCCGTGCATACGTCGAAGAAACCAACTCCTCAAACGCCCTACGATCTTGCTCATCCATCACCTGAGCCAGGTTGACAGGTCTCGTTGGATCCTTGTCGTCTCGATAAGGATAGTACCCAAAGTCCTTCGAGGCAATCCAAGGACTGGGCTTCTTTGAAATGTCAAACGTGATGTAACGGTCCGGCGATAGCCAAGAAGTCTTGGAAACATCGAGTTGGCGGAAGAAATCCGTTGGTTTATCCCAGGTGAGGCAGAATTCTCTAAGTCGGGGAAGACTCTTTCGGATATCGTCGAATACTGTCTCCCACCTCTTGGAGAAGAGATAGACCTGATGTTCGTCCCAGCCGTAGTACGGCTCACTAGATACCCTCTCCCAATCCTCGGTATCAATACGCCACCCTTCAATGTCACCCTCGTACAAGCGCATGTGCGAGGCGATGAAGCAACGATTCAGTCGCAAACATGTCAGATATTTCTGAGCAAGCACCCAATCAAACTGACGATGATGTCCAATTACGTATTCGCCAAGTGTCAGCGTCCTGAGGAATGGAAAGTCGAGGCCCTCGCCGTTAAACTTGCCCGGCATTACCCCCCAGCGGTCTTGAGAGGCGAGTGTCAGTTCGACGAGCTGGTTCGCAACAGAAGGGAGGAGGGTCTTTTGCAAGTGCAGTTCGTATTCTCGGCGCTCTGTATGATGTGTGTCGTAGGCGAAGGCGTTTCGGGTATGTTCCACGCAGAACATGATGTGCAGACGGGTAATGTCGTTGAGGAGGCCCCCGTAGATGTCGGCCGGGAGAGCAATATTTTGCAGGTTCTCAAGTGCCAGTTCTCGGATTTCTGTCACGTCTCGAGTGTCATTGTTGGTTTTCCGCTGCTGCAAGGCATTGAGAATGTTCCTCAGCGTATGTTCCCGCGTGGACTGCAGCTCGCGGTCTCTGGTACTTCCAAAGTGGATATGGTCCCCAAGACACCACTTGGAAAATCGAACACTGATTGACCTAATATGGCGAAGCTCGGCAATTTGGTCAATCGCCGAGGTGAAAGCAGGCCATTCACCCTTTTCCTCCCAGTCGTGCCATGTCGTCGGGTCGCGGCCATGTACCAAGTCCTTTGCTGGGCATGTCTCGATAACTACGCTCTGGGCGGCATCGCGAACCGTTTCGAGATTGATGAGGTTCTTCCAAGATTGAAACTCTTGGCCCGCAGTCTCCAGAGTATGATACAGCGTGAGATTTTTGAATAGCGCCTTGGTTACCAGATCGTTCCACAAGTGGCACACCAGGCGGGCTTGGCATAGATCGCGACGGTTTTGGTCTCTGTAGAGAGGAGCTAGATGATCAAGAATTCGAGCTATTAATTCTGTCGGTAGGCTGTTGAGCGTCATGGTGAAGGGGGAATGATTTCTGTTAGTGATACCAAGAAAATGAAGTGCCGATGATGGGTAAGACGACATGTCGTCGTGGTCAAGATAGATGAAGCCTGACAAGTCACGCGACTCGAGTCCTGGATAAAAATGGATACGGGGTACGAGTACAGTGACTGCAGGCAGCTAATAAGACTCGCTGAGAGGCTGTGAGCTGCAGGCATCGAACAATGGATGATACAACCACGTCACAGGGCATCGTAAGCGCTAACGCATCAGGTCCTAGCGGGGCAGATGCCTGTAACACCACCGTCGTGCTCATTGCAGCCTCATCTCAGCTCGATGTGTTACTTCGCCATCTCCGTAGGCAGATCATGTGATCCGAATAAGCTTTATCAAGTGAGGCATCCTTCATGCCGTAAGTCACGATGCATTCGAGAGTCTGCCTGTGGTGTTGAACCATCGGGTGCACTCCGATCCCGTGCTGCATGCATCACTCTATTTTTGGAGATGCAGGTTGGATGCTATACGGTTTCTTCAAACGCGTGGCTGCGAGTTTATTATATCTATTTATTCTCTCGTCTCGATAATATTGATGACTCATGACGGGGTCGTGCATTTCTCGGCTTCCTTCTTCAACGCCTCGTTGAAGGTATTCCAATTCTCGTTCGGTTGATCCGTCTTGACCCAGGACCCAAACAGAGTAACAAACCCCCCTGAATAGTCCTCTGACTGGACGAAAGTAGTGCCTCCTGGATTTTCCTTACTCGGAGAGAAGGAGAAGTAATGTCTACCCTTCACAATCCATGGTATCGAGCCCTCCCATGTGAAGCACTCGGGATCATTCGACTATACGAGTAAGCCAAGGTCCATGATTCGGGATCTAAGATAAAGTTGGACAACTTACAATCACGACCGGGTTAAATACCATCTCGTGCATCGATACTCTGATCTTGTCTCCCGACTTGAGTTCAAGTGGCTTCTTGGTTGGGTCGGCAGGCCGAATATCCCATCCTTGCTGCCATTGCTGATATCGATCAAATCCGAGGAACTATTAATCGAAACATGTGAGAATCATATTCCGAGCGTTTGAGTTATCATACTCACCACTGATCGGACAACGGTTGGTGATGCCATGATCTCTATCTGGGCTTTGACTGAGAGAGTGCGTGGCATTGTGAGTTTGCACTGTACTATGGTGGATGTTGGTGGGTTGGCGTGTAAATGAAGTGTGATGAAGAGCGAAGGGAATAAGCAAAGAAATTTTTTCTCGTATATTGATAGTAATTTGAATGGTCTCTCTAGCTTCAAGTCCCTTCTCGCCGGATATGCTTCATATATCTACACCTTTTCCCTTGGGATGCACAGTCGAGGCACAGTAGAGCGAGAAATGCGCGAGGGCATCACGTGACTGCCTCGAGACCATTCTCGCGCGATGTTCGTGCAGCTCGGTCAACTTTCCGGCAAGACCACAGAGGGGGATAGAGGGAGGATATAAAGAAACTCAATTCCGACGAAATGAATCAATTTCATCACTCACACTCACACTATCGCAAAGACATCAGCTTTTTCTAGCTCAAAGACAATTTATCACACTTCTCTTCCACTCTATCCATCTTACACAAACATCATGGCCAAGACTGTCGCATTCCTTGGCGCAAGCACTGGCGTGGGCCTGTCAGCGCTGAAACACACTCTCGCTGCAGGCCATCAAGCCGTCGCTCTCTGCCGAACGCCCTCCAAACTCTCAGCCATCCTCCCCGCAGAGTCAAATCCCAACCTGCGCATCGTCGAGGGCAACGCCCACGATATTGACGCCGTCTGCCAAATTCTCAAGAAAGAGGATGGCACTCTGGTTGATGAGATTGTCTCCACTATTGGTGGCAAGCCGGTTTTGAGCAAGTTGTCCATTGATGACCCAAAGGTGTGCCGCAAGGGCATGGCTGTGTTGCTTGATGCTCTGGTACAGCTGCGATCACAGGGGGCTACAGGAAAACCCTTGGTCGTGGTATTCAGCACCACGGGCATGTCGCGTTTCGGTCGCGACATTCCCATCCTGATGATCCCACTGTATCACGTGCTCCTCAAGGTTCCACACGAAGACAAGAGGATCATGGAGGATAAGCTGGCCGAAAGCGGCGAGGACTTTGTCATTGTTCGGGCGAGTTTGTTGGTCGATGGTGAAACTGAAAAGCCGATCCGTGTCGGCATTGAGGATCCAAAGACGGGACGCGAGTCTGACGCGATTGGCTACACCATCTCGAGGGAGGATTCCGGAAAGTGGATCGCTGAGAATCTGTTGTTGAAGAGGGAAGCCAAGTATCTGGGCAAAATTGCTACCATCACGAACTGAGAGGCTGTGTGTTTGGTGGAGGATGAAGTGCGTGGAGAGCATATGGCTATGAACAGACCGTTTTTAGGCACGCAACAAAGCAAAGATAGACTCCCTAATTGTATTAATTGATCAATTCTACTCGTTCTATTATATGCGCATATTCTTTGGCCTTATGAATCTATTTTGATGATGATGAATAGCTTGAAGCAGCAAAAGAGCTGTCTACCCGGGACCACGAGGCGGGCGACGCCGGGTCAGAGTGCGGGGCCGTGATAGCGCTTATCGTGAGGGTGATATCTTAACAGGAGACATCAGAAGTACCTGCCAGACGCAGTCTAACACCAGATACGTCAGCAAGAATAGGCTTCAATCTCGATTCACTACTCAATGAGCTTATTAAAGGAGCTTAATAAAGGAAATGACAAGAGATATGGGGAAATATAGTCAACGCTGCTCGAATGTGATGAGCGTGGATATTCTTTAGAAGTCGTGATTGTTGGAAACAGATACCATCCTCCACACCACGCGCGACAGCAAGGCAGACTCTCAAGTCGAAGAAGAGGGAGGCTGACCTCAATCAACACCGAATCCAAGGCATGGCGAGCATCTGAATCATTAAGCCAACGTGCATACTCCCACCGCGCTCCCGTAAACGCGCCATGTCATCGGCGCCTCCGCCAAACCATCTCGCGTCCGCCTCGGCTTCGGCGGCCGAGAAAAACGCGAGCTCGGCCTCCCCCGCGAGGACCGCCAAGCTCCGGAGCTGCGTCGTCTGCCGCAGCCGAAAAGTTCGCTGCGACAAGCTCTCGCCCTGCTCAAACTGTCGTCGGGCCGGTATTCCGTGTGTCGTTCCGTCGAATGACCGTCCTCCGAGATGGGCGCGTCGGCTTGAGCGCGTTGCCGGCGGGTCGGTGCAGGAGGGTCCCCATGATGCGGAACCCGCGGGTGAACAGGTTATGGAGCGGTTGAGAAACTTGGAGGATCTGGTCAAGGAGCTTAGAGGACAGCTTGAGCAGGCGAGTGCTGGGGCGAGTCCTGCTGGGAGTGGCTCTGCTCAAGGCAATTCTCCGTCTGAGGGGAGGCGAGATGCATCCAGTCCTTCAACGTCGACCACCTCGGACGTGCAAAAGTACTTTGGTAGGATGGTTCTACAAGATGGGAGCAGAGCGAGATATGTTGCCAGTGGCTTCTGGTCTCGCATTAGTGATGAGGTAGGCAGAGTCACAATACCCTCGGATCATCAACGATTGACGATGCGCGTAGCTTGACGGCTTGAAGATGGATACTCGAGGACTTCCAAGCGGCGACGACGAGTCTTCGGACGATGATCTTCCTACAACTGCCCCCTCCACAAGAGAACTGGAGAGAGCCCCTTCAGAGCGACACGCATTCTTATTTCGGCACAACCTCACAGGTGCTGCCCCCGAGGTTGCAGATCTACGCCCACTTCCATCACAAGTCCCCTTTTTGCTCGACATCTTTTCCGAGAATGTCAACATTGTCGCACGAATCGTTCACATGCCCACCATCCGAAAAATGATCCGCGAGACCCGTAGCTCTGGCACGAGTCTCTCACCCGCCAATGAAGCCTTGATGTTCTCGATATACTACGCCGCCGTCACATCGATGGAGGAGGATGACGTTACGACCAACTTTGGCTCGACAAAGGCAGAACTCAATCTGAAATACCGACTAGGTCTAGAACATGCTCTGGCCAAGGCGGATTTCCTGAACGATCCAAACATCGTGCTCGTCCAAGCCTTCGCCATCTTTCTCATGCTTGTGCGTCGTCATGATAACCCCAGATATGTATGGATGATGACAGGACTTTTGATCCGAATGGCCCAGGCTCTTGGTCTCCATCGAGATGGATCGAGGTTTCCACATCTGACACCCTTTGAAGTGGAACAGCGACGAAGACTGTGGTGGATGATCTGCGTGATTGACGTTCGAGCATCTGAAGATCAAGGAACAGAATTCACGATATCCAGGGATAGCTTCGATACCAAGATGCCCCTAAACATCAACGACGAGGATCTTGACCCCGATACGAAAGAGATGCCTCCTGCGCGAGAGACTCTCACCGACATGTCATTTGCACTCGCCATGCTCGAGTTATCCGACGTTTCAAAACAGATCATGGCCTCTCCCTCCCTGGGTCTCGAAGAACAGACCCGCCTGTTGGATGAAGTCTGTGAGAAAGTTGAGCACGGCTACTTCCAGTTCTCGGCTGAAAGAGGAGATATTTTACACTGGGTAGGCCTTACATGCCTACGCGTGATGCGATCCAAGTTGATCCTTCTCATCTACCTCCCTGCGCTTTTTGCGTCGCCGGATGAGCGTTTCTCTGAAGAGGTTCGGGATAAACTGCTTGTTGCGGCGATAGAAGTTGCCGAGTACAACCACGCTCTAAATTCCGAGCCAAAGTGTCGTCAATGGCGGTGGATATACCAGACGTATACGCACTGGTATGCTATCGTTTATCTCATGATAGAGATATGCCGTCGAAAGTGGTCACCAGTTATTGAAAGAGCCTGGGTTGATTTGCACAGCAGCTGGTTGATTCCATCACAACACAACATGTCAAAGCACTCGAGGGTTTGGGTGCCGCTGAGGAAGTTGATGGCCAAGGCAAAGAAGCAGCGAGAGATGGAGCTCGCCGAGATACGAGCAAATGGGGTCCCTATCGAGTTACTTGAACAACGCGATTCCCAAGTGCCTGCGCCTGCGAGCTCAGGGCCGTTTTCTACTGGAAATGGGGAAGAGTCTTTTCTTGAGTACTGGAGAAAACTTGTCACTGGCTCTTTGGACCCCAGCAGGCAACCCCCGGTTCCTTTGGCCGGTTGGAGCGGTTTCGAGGCACCAAGCGTCACACAGGGTGCCGGTGCGTTACACGACAACCCCCCATCTATCAATGCATGGCGAAGCTCAGATATCGGACCAACATCTATCGGAGGTCAACCAAGTCAGTTGATTGCATCCACTGGCGACCATCCAAGTTCGAACATGGAGTTTCAGAGCGAGATTGGAGGACAGACAATAGCGCCCTATGGAGGGCAATCAACGGTTGATATGGATTCGCCTTGGCTGTGGACGGCTACTGATGGTAATTCTGCTTCCTTTGCGGAAATGTATGTCGCCATGGAGGTTGATGACGTTAACTGGAATTCGTGGTTACAGTCTGCTGTTGGCATGGAGTTGAACTTGAACCAGGTGGAGCCTGCGTGATTGGAGGCTATGGCCATTCTCTTATCTTCTCTTCACATGAATTTCCCCTCCATATGACGAATTTTGAAGCGAGCCTTGAATCCTACCTATCGTACCCGGTACTTTCCATGTTGCACCTCCTTCAGGATTACAACCAAGGCATCTCATAGGCAACCCAAATGATTCGACAGGACCGGGGAAAGTACATAATGACATTTATGCATTGCATGATGCTGATTCAGCCCTCCCACTTTGTGAAATTGTATGCACCTATGGCATCATGCGGTAGTGGGGATATTGATCAACGATTAGTGGATTGTGATGGTTCAATGAGGTTACGTCCTGGCATGCTCGAATGATGCCATGCTTTGAAGGTTGAGGGGAAAGCCATAAGTATGAAAGACATCTCGGGGGTCTGTTGGGAAATGTTGCAAACAACAATCCAGTATCTGCCTGCTTGAGCCGATCTATACTGTCTACCAAAGAACCGCCCATTCACAACAAACATGGCTATCCAAAAGGTCGCGGTTGTCGGGGTAAGTCGACATATACCTTGATAGACTTGTACAAGTTCATCTAACAGCCCATCAGGCCTCAGGCACTCTCGGCACCAAAGTCGTCGAGGCCCTTCTTAGCGCCGGCTTTGACGTGACAGCCATCACTCGAAATGAGTCAACAGCCACTTTTCCTGAGAAAGTCACAGTCAAGAAAGTCGATATCACCTCTGTTGATTCCGTCAAGGAGGCAATTACCGGCCAACACGCAGTCGTTTCCGCGGCAGCTACAGCAGCCGCCGGAAACCAAAAGGTCATCATTGACGCTGTCATTGCTGCCAAGGTCCCGAGGTTCATCCCCTCCGAGTTTGGAATTTCATCTCGAGAGTACCGTGATACCAAGATTGGTGGTCTACTTGCGCCCAAGATTCGCAACACTGACTATCTGATCGAACTTGCTAAGCAGCATGACTGGTTCTCCTGGACTGGAGTCTCCAACGGACTGTTCTTAGACTGGGTAGGTTTCTCAAGCCCTTTTCGCAAACAAAGTTGCTAACGACTGTTGTAGAGCATCCGAAGCGGCAGAAGCTTTGTCAACCTCAAGGACCACAAGGGCACCATCGTTGACTCAGGCAACGAGCCCTACTCCACCAGCACACTCGGCTTCATCGGCCAAGCCGTAGCCGCCGTTCTGAAGAAGCCGGACGACACGGCAAACAAGTATCTTGACATCGCTGGCGTGGTCACCACACAGAACGAAGTGTTGCGGGTCGCCGAGAAGGTGACGGGAGCCAAGTTCGAGATTTCCCATGTTAGCGGTGCCGAGCTGGAGAAGATTGGCGATGAGAAGCTTGCGAGACATGATTACAGTGCCTTTGGAGAGTACATCCAGCAATTCTTGTTTGCTGATGGGGCAGGTCACGCGCTCAAGCCTGAGAAGAGTGCTAACGTGCTTCTTGGCTTGAAACAGGAGAATCTTGAAGAGCTGATTAAGAGTATTGCAGATGAGCTATGATGGACTGAGACTAGGGTGTTCAGTATGCTAGCTAAGAAAGAGAAGTTTGAATTGAAATGGAAGGAACTGAACTGGAATGGCAGATATTCCATCAACTCAAGGCTCTTCGAGTTTTGAATCTTCAAACTGTATCGCCCCTGCGCTGACGTCGGGATAGATGTCAAACCGTCTCTGTCCACTCACTGGGATGCTCTTCCTTGTGCTAGTGATCTCATCTGGATCCAGTTCCCACTCGACAATCGCCTCCTTCTCCTCAGCTTCCACGACAACCTGCGCCATCGGGTCCACCACTAAGCTGTGACCCCAAGCAACAAGTGTGCCCCTCGTGTCTCGGGCAGGGCCACAGAGAGCGACATAAAGTTGGTTATCCAAAGCTCGAGCCTGAGCCAGTAGCCGCCAGTGTATGGATCCAGTGGCAATGGGAAAGGCGCTGGGGTAGATGAGAGCAAAGGCGCCCTTGCGAGTTGCGATGGTTGCAAGTTCTGGGAACCGAATATCGTAGCAAATTGCAACGGCTACCTTGCCATAGTCGGGCAGGTCGATTAAGCCTAGCTTATTGCCCGAGTCCAGGTACTCAGACTCATAGTAGGTCACCCTTCCCGGAATGTCCACGTCGAAGAGATGCGCCTTGCGATAGGTTGCTAACAAGTTGCCCGCTGGGTCGAAGATTAAGCTAGTGTTGTAGTGCTTCTTCGTTTGAGGGTTGAATTCTGGAATTGAACCACCAATGAGATACACTTTGTTGTCTGCGGCCATGGCTGAAAGGGCGTAGAACGTTGGAGCCTCGTCCCGTTTGGGTGGCGACGGTAGGAGTGTCTCTGCATACTCAGGGAGGTATTAGCTGCCGAAAGGGGAGTTGAAGTACTCGGGGAGAACAATAATTTTGGAGCCAGAGAAGGCGGCTTTCGCGACATGGGCGGCTGCATTCGAGAGTATCGCGGCCTTTTTTGAGCCTTCGACGGGTTGCATGAGCTGAACGCATGCCAGCTTTACAGGCTGTTTGAGAACCGGGGCACTGATCGTAGACATGGCCAAAGCAAGCGATGAGTGACGATGTATTGATGATATAAGATCTGGCAAAGAGTTTAAAGGCGGGTAGGTCAATGAGGTGATAAGGGAAGAGGGGTAGGAAGACAGTCGACTGATGCTTTCATGGTCGGAGTCTCGGGAACTGTTCCCGATCTTCATGCGGGATCCGATTGGTGACATGGTCGTACAACGGTAATGAAGACTACACAGCATCATCTCCACAACAGATGACTTGGTCACTGGATTATAACTGATTCAGCAGGAAACAAAAGGTCGCGGCCACGAAAGAGTAGTTCTTAGTGTCGAGACTATCTAAAGAGGGACGGGAGTACATGAGGAATAGCCAAGACACGGTCTAGAGATGGAGTGCCGCACATGACACGTTCTCCAAAATCTCAAGTCACAATGCTTCAATAACTTCAAACCTTGGTGAGCTTGAAGGCCTGGTTGTTGCCACCGTGGCCGGGCCAGACAAGAATGGCAGTGCCATTGGCCTTGTCACCGCCCGAAAGATCCAGGTAGCCGTTAGGGTACTTGACGTTGCGGAGTCTAAGTTGTGTATGCAGTCAGTAGGTGCTTATATCCAATCATCTGATGCTGTCTTACCTGACGATGGAGCCATTGTCGATGTTATCGACGGGTCCTCCCTCGAGGTACCACTGGGAAGCAGCATCCCACACGTCATTCTTGCCAAGCTGGACCTTGTTCTGGAGATCTATCAAACTTGAGTCAGTACCGAACCAACCTAGTTCTTACTGGAGAGCACTTACCTTTGGCGTAGAGAACGTACTTGGTAGCAGTGTTCTTGACCACCACACGAGTCTCGAAGCCTGGGACAGAGTAGAACTCCCAGATCTGGTTGGTGTTGCCCTGTTGGGCGCTTTAGATGGCATAGATGTCAGTAGTCGCAAAGGGCTGACGTTGATGTGAACTCACAAGCCGATAACGGCGGGGTCCTGGCCACCGCCGGCGTTCTGGTCAACGAAGCTGCCGGCGCCCTGGACCTGGAGAGTGGCCTTGAAGCGGTAGACGGGATCGTTGGAAGGCATTTTGAGGGTTTGAGGCTTGAAGAGAAGTGGTTGATGGTTTGAAGTTTGGAGTGTGAGCTGATGAGGAATGAAAGATATTTAGGAGGAGATGCTTGGGCTTTTATAGACCTCAAGGTGCTCAACAGATGCAAAGAGTCACGACAAGACCCCCTCATCCGCCATTTCTCGGCGATGGCTCATTATTGTCTGCAATGATGACAAGAAGCCATCAGCCAGCCACAACGGCAAAAAACACAGTCACGAAGATGGCTCATGAAAGCCCAATGGTCTCACGATCAAGTGCCGAGAAGGTCTGGACCTTGGCCCATTCGCAGTCGTGAGCGCGGCCAGAAATGAGGCCATCCAGGTCTCATGGGGAAAGTAAGCGCTAGACGTGATGCAGGCGGTTTGCCGAGGGCTATAGACATCAGGGCTGAGACATACAAGAACCCGGTCTGAGTCCCGTCTGGCTGAAGAACCAAAAGCTGAATTATCAAAACCCTGCATCATCGCGGGGTTGAGAGACATGCATGAGTTGCGGGACCTTTATTGTCTCAGCAGGATATTTGGACTTCCTTCGTTAATTGCGCCATCGTCTTCACGCTGCTCACTCCTGGGGTGGCCACGCTCTAGAGACTGAAGAACAAGCCTATCAGATCGTTCTAGTCTTTCTAAAGACTGACAGACACGTTGAGGCACACGTGCACACATATTCGCTGGCGGATGTGGTGACCTCGGTGGCAAGCCACTCATCTGACATTATTGGACACGACTGGCTCGTAGAGTTGGTAGACAAAGTACTTAGCTCCTCACCGTTAGTAGACATGCAGCTTATCTGACAAAGATTTCGAGTTTGCTTCAGCATCAGAAAGGGGTCAATGTGTGCGTCATGCGTCTATATCAACTCAATCGGTAGTCGAGTCGGAGACTCTGCTGGTGTAGCATCCATAACAACTACGACAGACCCCTTAGTTGGACTGTATTTGGCAAGTCACGGTATGAATGTAGCTGAAGAGATGTGAAGGAATGGCTCGAGTTAACCTATGAAACCAGAATTTACATGTAGCTGTAGAGGTGTAAAGGAATGACCTGGGCTACCCATCTAGGTAGACTCTGCACCTTTCAGATCACAACAAGCTGATTCCAGATTGCTTTCCTACTTTCACAACCAAGGAAAGCCCCTAAGCGCTGACAATCTCGCCCATAACAGCCAGCACGTTGGCGGATGCACGAACGTTCTCGGCATTGATGGTGAGGACACCAGAGCTGGAGTCCCAAGTGTTGCCATGGGACCCGTTCTCCTTAGAAGAGGAGCCGGTGGCACCAATGTTGAATCCAAAGATCCTGACACCGCCGCCACCTTGGACCGTCTTCTTGTAGTCCTTGTCGAAGGCTGTCTTGGCATCGCCTCCGAACGTGATCTTCATGCTCACACCCCGGGCGACCAGCATCTGGGTAGGGCGCACCTTCTTGAACATGGCCGGGGGCTTGGCCTCCAGCTTGGCGATGAGGCCATTGACATCGACGTTCCTATGCATCACGTTAGATCATGGATTGTGAAGAAGGACAGAAGAAGGCATCGTCGGACTTACCAGGCACCGGGCTGGAAGGAGATCGTCTGGTAGTGGTCGATCGTGATGGTGACACTGACGTCCTTGGCGTTGGAGCTCATGTCAAAGCTGGAGTGCTCGACCTTTCCGCCTCCACTGGCATAGAACTCAAACACCGGGAATCGGCTAAAGGAAGCATTTCCCTGTGCCTCGGTGAAACCAATGTCCTTGTAAGAGGCACTCTCGCCAGTGGATAGGTTGACCTGGAATGTGGACGCGTCCTGGTTTGTGTTGCCGACCCAACCATCGAGGAGAGCTGCATAGTTCACGTTGAGGGAGTACTGAGGTACATATTGGGTGTTGAGGGGGTCCGGGAGGATAGGCTTTCCGGAAGCATCGTAGACCACCGATTGAATGCTGGCCTTCATGTTGTATCTGCGATTTTGGTTTTGTCAGATCTCAGTTCTGTCATATGAATCAACGCCAACAGTCAAAACATACCCGTTCAATTCGGTCAGTATGTTCTGTCCATTGGCAGCCTGCTTCATCGCGTTGGCCAGCAGAGCAGAGCCAGAGCCGCCAATGGCATTGGTTCGCATCTGGACTTCGTTGGCAGCGCCCTCCCTATTCATGTCAAGGTAAGTACATGTTCGCGAATCAGTCGGATTGGTATGAATTCACGTACCAGTTCTGCACAGCAACCAGGTAAGCGGTGGCATTCAGAGGAGCCCACTGAGCGAAAGACTTGGGCTTGTCCGGGTTATCATCGCGCTTGAAGTCTAGAATGGCCTCATCATAGGCCGCATCCTTCTCCTTCTTGTAGATAGCCAGCCTCTCCTTGGCTTTGTTCAGTCTGTCCCATGCGTCGGGAGAGTTGTCACCTCCCTTGCCCTGTAGGAGATCATATCAGTAACTTCCCTCACGACTCACATGTCTTCACACTTGAGAAATACGAACCGGAGTTAGGGTTTGCAAGGTCTGGTTGAGAGCTTCAGAGTAGCGAGTGACCTTGTTGGTGACCCAGTTGGGGTTCTCAGGATCCAGTAAGTAGTCGGCAAACTGGTAAACTCCCCAGTCGGTGCACACGGCCGGAATGTCCTTGCCACCGGAGATGCCGGCAGTGTTGTTGGCCGCGACGTAGACTCTGGTGTTCTCGCTCACCGGGCTGCTGACCATGGATGTCCTTGACCGCGGAGGCATAGGCCTTCCAGAAGAGCTGGTTTTCATCAGACATGGTGGTGGTTTTGTTTGGAGTTCTTGAAAGAAAGAATTGGGTATGAGGGTTCTGAGTATGAGAGTGATGTGCTGGCTCAGGAGTTGTTGGTGAGTGATGGATCGAGGAAACCTTCACGGGGTTTACTGCCCCTATTTATACCCAGGCAGAGCTTGGGCAATGTATAGTTCTCCCAGACGATCTTCGGGCTCAGTTAACCCATCGAGGGCCGGGCTGATTCTCCCAGACTATTGACTCCTCTTTGTCTACATGCGCCCTGAAGAGTCCCATCCGTTGGCCAGAGCCCCAACTTTCGGCCTTTCCACGATATTAACAAGTAGCAAGTACATGCTGCATGCTGTACAGTATCATAGGACTCCAAGTATAATCGAGATTGATAAACGCCGACATTGACATATCTCTCTAGGCCGCGTAATACTTCTGAAGTCGTCGAGACATGTTGGACTGTCAATCGCCTCTTAAAAAAATAACTAATAGTTTAGTTAGTTCGATGTAAGGTTCTGGGTCCGAGCGTTGAAGAGATAATGCAGTCCCAGCAGTAGGAAAGGGCTATAATCCTCACCTCATGGGAGCTGTTTTGAGACATGCTTGAACGTCTATCACTTACTAGAGATTGATCATCCTCTGGGTAACAAAAAATAGAGACTCACGCTACCAAATTACAACTACTTAATTGACTTTAATCACCGATCTCACCACTTTTTGTTCAGAGTAAAACTGCTGAAAAATTATGTCTTCCCAAAGAATAGCTCTTAGAGTATTATCTGGTATTGTTAAATGAATTGGCATAGTGTTGTTGGTGTTATGGTTATCTCGAACCTGTTGAGCTAGTCTCGTGTTCCTTGTTACCCCCTGAATCTGATAGCTGGCTGGTGGATTGCAATGTCTCAGAGCCCTGGGTGCACTACAGGGATCCAGGAGATGGTGAAACAATGACAACAAGAAAGGGCTAGAATCGTCCTCTGATGGCTAGCTGAGGATCGACAGCGGGAACATATCCTCGACCGGCCTTCTTGCCAAAAACGATTCTGTCCGCAGATGCAGCTTTACCTCAGCCAGCTGCTGTAGGTTCTTCCAAAACGAACTTGGCCGTGATAATAGAGAGGCGCTAACCGGAAAATTGAGACATGACGATTGAACCCTTCTCCCTGACCATTCGGTTTTCAGCAATACACCAATACGTGACATCATTACACGCGCCAATGCTTGTTTTCTTCGTCATTAACCACACGCATATGATCGACTGGTAGATGATAGAATCATAAGAACTATCGTTGGATATGTGGTCCTAGAAACGGCCTTCTCGCCCACTTATCCCATTGATGGCCAGGCTTCAACTACAACCAAAAAGATACATTATGAGCACGTCATAGTATTATCTCCCAATCCTAACACAGTGATTATTCTTTTAGTCTTTCTGCTACCTGCAGCAGAAGCCTCAGTGGTCCTAGACACCACTCAGCCAAGCTTGTCCATCGGCTGCCACTAGGCTCTGGCCCGCCAAGAGGCTCGGCGGGCCGAGCCTTATTGCGGGGTAGTAAGTTAGGGAACAATAGCGCCCGCAACGAGCCAATCCATATTGCCACCATTTGAGACAGCATCGATAGCTCTGACATTTAGCACCAACTCAGGCAGCCACTATCACATATTGTTTCCGTAACAAGAGACCGGATGTAGAGCACCTGTGCTAGTAAGATCAGCGTCAACTCAGGGAACCACATACGTAACAGGAGATGCGATGCAGTCGTAACGCTCAGTCAACGTCCAGTCATGTTCTTGGTCTCATCCCTGCCTAGATAGGGGCTGATCTTGGAGATCTTGGAGATCTTGGAAGGGGAGAAGGAGGGCGCGCTTAAGACTCCAGGCCACGAATGGGCAATCGTATTCGCGTCGGCTTACCCGTACATGTGTGAAAAGAAAGGAACCCCGCTCCATGGCACTCCGTTCTCGGCCCTGCTTGTGAACCGACAACGTACGAAGTGCGCTTGCCTTTCACACTGGGATGGATGTCGTATTTCCTATCCGATCTAACAGAATCAGTTCCGCTACAGTATATGGCCAATTCCCCTATCTAAGTTGGAGTCGCATAGCCCATGTCCAATTCCGCACGTCCCGCGGCAACAGCCACGGGAGGAGACGACGGCGATACCATGCAGCCCACTACCCTCATGGCCGCTAGAAGAGGGAGCTTCTCACTACTGGCGAGCGGAGGGTCCAGACTTGTCTGGAAGGCCTATGCTCTTGCGCTACAAACCCACATGACAACACAAGACGACCTTGACAACTCCTCCAAGGCCATCTTTGTAGCTGCTCCAGGTTTGTATGACATCCCTGCGGGTGAGGTTGCTCCTCAAGAGATCACCAATGCTCGTCTTTTCCGCCGAGCCGACCCTTTACAGGATACTCGATCCCCATTCTACAGTGATGATGGTTATAGCTACTTCGATACCCGCCGCAAGTATGTATTCCTTCTATAGTCGAAGGTTTCCATCCAGCTGATCCAGTCCAGATACCTCGAGAATATCCACGACGATGTATGTGTTTCTTTCCTACCCCGGTCTGAGATTCTCACAAACGACGTGCTTACTATGGACTAGGCCGTGAATCATTCCGACGTCTGTGGCTCCATCTCGAAGCTCCGTTCAGATGTCCAGCAGGCACAGGACAGAACTGCAGAAGCATATTTAAGGAATCTTGATCTATACCACAAAAGCATAGCTATCGCAGGGTCGGGACTGGCCAGCTTCGAGGCCTGGGCTGACAAGTTCGGGGTATACTATGCTTGGGCAAAGAGCGAACAGGATCGGCTCGAGGGGGAACACAAACTTGCCTCGGCTAGAACATCTAGCAGTGTTGGACTGGCAGTAGCCGCATTCGATCTGGCACAGGACACTTCGACATTAAGACTATGGCAAGGCATCACCTTCACGGCTTCTACCGATACTGATGATCGTTACACAGGAGCAATATGCCATGTGCGGACATGGAAATACCATCTTCAATGGGACATGCACAATCTCCCTTCGTGGTTCCTCCTGAGAAGGTCTATTATAGACCACTGTACTCAATCAACGGGGTTGACCGGAGAGTTGACTCTTGGGTCGACGCCCGAGATGGAGGCCGCGAAGAGGTCCGCTTAGATCTCGACATTGCAGGTGCCAAGAAGACTCCTTGGGTCAACCTTGGGTTCCCGAATTTGGATACCGATCCTTCATACGACACCAATTTGGACAGCCCCGACGTGAAGCTCTCACTCAAGGCTGGAGGCCTACAAGCTTTTGATGTTGATCGGGGGTTTTGGTAAGCTTTCATCAACCCTTTTGGTGGCCCTACTAATGGCAGTGCCGTATGAAAGGGATGTAAGTGCTGCGGCGAGATCCCAGCTAGGATCGGTTGCCGGTATTGAGCCACGCTCCAGCAGACTAATGAAGATCACGAGAATCTTGTTGGGATACAGGGTCGAGATCAGAATTACAGATACGCACGGCCTGAAGACTGTAGTTCCCGACGCTTTGCTCAGCAGTGATGGCGGAGAAAAGAGTATCTTGGGAATGCATACTGGCCAATGCACCGTTGACGAGGATGATGGAGAAGTTGTTGTCGCCAGTGCTCCCAGTGGATTTCCTGCTGTGCTGGCCGTACTGGGACGAGAGATTTAGAGGTTATTCTTCTTGTTTTTGAATGAGGTTTGGTCTCAATTGATCAGGTTCCATGAACTTTTACAAAATAGCTGTATACGAAGCCAAATTCCAAAACAATGTGCAGCATTAGTGAGTCGGATTACATTTCTAAACGGGTCCAAAATCTTAATATTTACCCCCAACTTCTCAAACCTCCCTAAATATTAACTGCTGCCATTAAGGATCAGAATGCGGCGTAAGAGCGGGAAAAGAAGTGAGTATTGGAAACGTGACAGAATGGTTGATCGCCCGTCAACTACATCGAATGTCTGCAAGTCACTTTGCTGCCCAATCTTGATCCTCGCTCGAGCATCGATTAGATAGCCGTGTCGAATTGCCGAGACAAATTCTACAAGTGCTGGCTTACACAGCATTCAATGGCTATCAAACAAGGATACAAAAAGAGCGGTCAAACCTGATGGCTGGCTGAAGTGGAACTCGGTGAGGCTCTGAGCGGAAAATGATCCATCACTAAACTTGGAACTGTCCGCCCTATAGCGCAGGGGCCATGAGATTCCATGGCATGGATCGTGGCTTATCACAACAGCCAGCCACCGACAACCAGTCATAGCCAAAGTTCGTCTCTGCAAGAAACAAGCCACTTACAACGGGCGCTTCCATATCTGTGAGCTTGCATCAGACGCGTAAGGCAATCCAAGACATTGGCCTTGACTACGCCCATTTGCTTACGTGCAGTTCATCAAGGGACGTTCAGCTTAGCCACCGCACCTTGTTGAACAATTTAGGCTTTCCCTCCGAGACATGTTAACGTTTACGAATAGGAATGTCGTATAAGACCAAGCGCTATGCATGAACCACGGGGGCAATGTGGAGAAGTCACTATTGGTTCGGGTGCATTAGCTCACTTCGAGCAAAGATTGGAAGAGCTTGGCTAGCTGGAGGCCTATCACCAGGTAATACTACGAATCACTGGGTTGCAACGTGCATGATTGCGTAACGCGTCTAATCAGATGGTTTGAAAATGCTGAAAGGTTTGAAAGACTGGAGAATAGGCTGAGAATTACATCGTATACGTGTGATGAGGATGCAAGTTGCAGTCTGCAGGGATGGCATAGAACCATGCGAAGTGTATCTTGGCAATGGCAAGTCGGGTATCACAGAAGAAAGTCTTCTTGGCGGAGGAAACAAGCCAGGAAAAAGGCGAAGTACCTTGTAGCTCTATCCTACAACTTGAATGGGACTTTGACATAGCACCCAAACCATCGCTGTACCACACTGTTGAACCTCTTTCAGACTGGTTGCTCCGAGTCTCATTTCGCCCCCGGCTTAACCGCATATACCTTGAATGATCCTGTTAAGGGTCAGCGAGCATCTTTATTAAGAAGAACTTGTACATTCTTACCTGCCCATTCGTTAAAGTCGGTGATACCAAGCTGTTTGGTCAGTCTGCTGGCTTCGTCGGCCATTACACTCTGGTGGCATGACTCCTGCTCAGTGCTGGAACTGTGTCTGATCTCTTGACTGCAGCAAGAGGAGACCTCGTCTTGCGGCTTGGAAGCATCTGTCCCGCAACACAGTGGCTTGTCGTCGGCTGCGCTCCAGTACACGTTCAAATCACTGTTGCTGTCCACGATGACAATGTCTCAAGGACGGATCAGCCTCTATCACTCCGTTCTGGGGGGGATATGACTGACCTTGGAACCCTGCGTTCCTCAGAAACGCGTCGTACTCGCTGACCTGGCTGGCCCCCGAAATGCACCCGACGTATAGAGACATGTCTTTCTTCATCTCATCTGTTAACTCCTTACGCGCGAGGATATCACTGATGGCAACTCGGCCACCAGGCTTGAGTAGTCGGAACATTTCATTGAACGCCAGTTGCTTTTCTTCGGCGGGGACAAGGTTGATGACGCAGTTGCTTATGATGCAGTCGGCGATGTTGTCAGGTACTGGGATGGATGTGATGGGACTCTCGATGAACTCGGCGCTTGAGGCGTCGACGCGAGATTTGTTGGCATTCGCCTTGTCAATCATGTTCTGTTGGGTCGCATTAGACACATAATTGACTTTGCTCAAAGAGTCAAAACCCAGGCACCTTACCTTGTTCATGTCAATTCCAATAGCCCTACCCGTAAGGCCAACCTTCTTCGCTGCTGTAAACACATCGAGGCCAGCGCCAGACCCAAGATCGATGACTGTTTCGCCCTTTTGCCCATCAGTCGAAACAACACGCCGTCACGAGTGAATATACACACCTCTCTCAGCCTCGCAATTGCCGTGGGGTTGCCGCAGCTCAGACCAAGGTTCGCGCCCTCAGGGATGCTAGCCAGGTCTTGTTCCGAGTATCCGAAGGCCTTGGCCACGGTCTGCTCATAGCGGCCGGTATTACTCTTAACGATTGAGCCGTACCGGTTGTTGACTTGGTCATAGATCTCTTTGGACTCCATTGGGACCGTGAAAGTTGTTGATTTGGAAGACAGGGGATGCACTGCGATGCCAATGAGATATTTTTTTACCGGAAGTCCTTGATTTGTCATCGCTTGAATCTGAGTTTGTTTCTTTTACAGCCAACGCAGTGAGAGCAGTCATACGGGCGAGTGTACCAGATACATGCCCACGGGTCCTACGCCACTGCCGATCCAAAGTGTCACGTTTACAAAAGCCCAAGTCGATCTGACACCATTTTTGATCCGTTACCCCAAGATAAATGCAACAGGCTGTGACCATCAGTGCTATCCATATCAACGATAGCGACTCGCCATAGCCGTTGGTATGTGTCAACAAGATTAGCCCCGCGAGTCAGGAGGCTTTTCTGCTAATAAATTTAAACATATTCCAGTCCGCCATTGAGGCCTATGACGCTGATCTGGGCAGTCCAAATAGACTTCCATGCCAGTGCTAATTAGCTGACGGGCCATCTCATTAATACGCCCGCCTTACGCTCCAAGTGCCAACCGAATACGACGGGATACGCCAAGGAAAGCAGTTCGGAGTTATGACCGTCGCTAATCCCGGGCACGGATATCCACCAACTCGCTTCATTAATAAAAGTACAGCCTGTTCAGGCACCCATTTTTCTCTCAGTCCAAAAGGCTCGGCGAGCGCTTCGGAGCGGCCTGGCGGAAACAGGCACCCATTTAGCAAGGAATCCCCCTACTTTTTGGATGCCTATTGCCCCATTTCCTAGAGCGAAGATGAGGCTGAAGCGCGTGTTGCCGCGTAACTGAGGCGAGAAACCGTTGGCCATTGCGCAACGGATTCGCTTGGTCAAAAAAGTGTTGGCCAAGTTTCGGTCGGAAACAGCAATCTCGTCTCATCCGCATTGACTGACTGCTGTGCGGTACCTATATAGCTAAGAAAGTCCGCCCGTATGATTGAGTTCCATCCAACCCCACGGACACTGTTCTGACCTTGTGTAGACCCCCCTTCTCTGCAGGATGCATCCACCAACGTGGTCCTCTCTTTTCTCAGCAATCGCATTTGCAAATCTATCAACTTCTCAATACACGGCTCCCAGCTATGCGAACTTTTCAGGACCCGACGGTCAACCAGTGGACCTGGGCTATCTTCAGGTTCAAGGAACTCGACTGACCTCATCAGCCGTACCCATCAACGCGTGGCTAGGCATCCGATATGGTGCAGCGCCCACTGGAGATCGACGCTTCAAACCCCCAGTAGGCATTGAGACTGCAGAGTCTGGAGGAGAGTCCACCTTTGACGCGACTACTTTTGGTCCCATCTGTTATCAAGGGTGGCCTGGGTGGTCTCCAGAAAGCCCCGAGGCGAAAGAATTCCAAGCAGCCAGCAATCACTTTGGAAACCGTCAAGAGAGCGAAGACTGTCTACTATTGGACATCTATGCTCCGGGCGAGCCCGTGTCTGAGAGTCTTCCTGTACTGGTCATCATTCATGGAGGAGGCTACGTGGCGGGAGGCAGCACAACTATACCATCCCCAGCTTTCATGGCTGCAGCACCAGGCCAGTTCATCGTGGTAAACATTCAATACCGCCTATCTGGTTTTGGGTTTCTTGGCGGCGCAGGAAACGGGACACTTAATGCCGGGCTACACGATCAGCGACTCGCTCTGGAATGGATTCAACGTCACATTGCTTCGTTTGGTGGTGACCCAAACCAAGTCACTATCAGCGGCGGATCAGCTGGTGGCGGTTCAGTCTTTCACCAACTCATATGGAACGGCGGAGAGGAGAATCCCCCCTATCGAGCTGCGATAGCCGAGTATCCTTGGGTACCGACCATCTTCAGCCCTAGCCAGCTTGAACAGCAGTATCAAGAGGTTTTGTCTGCTTCAAACTGTAGCGATCTTTCCTGTCTACAAGGCTTGTCCGCAGACGAGTACAACCGTGCCCAGAACAAGGCCCTCTTATCTGCCAATACTCTGTATGGAATGTTTTATTTCTCACCTGCAATCGATGGACACTACATCCAGGACTTTCCAACACGAGAGGCAGAGGCTGGGCATTTCGCCAAGGTTCCCATTTTGACGACGCGAGACGGAAACGAGGGCTTCGCGTTTACTCCTCAAGATATCACCACTGAAGCACAGTATCAAGATCGCGTACAGCAACTTTTCAACGGTGGTGCGAACTTCTTTGGCCGACTCCAAGACTATTACCCCCCTGAAGCAGTTGGCCCATTCGCGTACAAGACCACACAGCAAAGGGCCGAGTTCGTCACCGGAGATGCGTTTATCCAGTGTCCATCCTACCGTCTCGCCAGTTCTGCCGCCGAGGCCTTTTCTTTGGCTGATCCTCATGGTGCTCAACCTGTGTACAAGCTCATCTATGGGTATCCGACTTACGATACTGCCTACCACGGAGCTTATACTTACTTGGTTTTCCCAACTCAAGCCATTTCTGCAAATGATACCTCTGTGGGGGCAGAGATTGGTCGAAAACTACAGCAGTACTACTCGTCGTTCATCATCAACGGTGACCCTAACATTGAGCTTTCATCATTAGACGTTAAATGGCCCGAGTACGGCTCATCCAGCGAGATTCTATACATCAACTCGAGCACGCCAATTCAGATGAAGGATATTGATGCTGATGGACGCTGTGACTTTTTGCTCTCTAGAGTGTCCGTCATGGCCAACTGATTGAGCGTGTATGGCTCATGGTAACCCACCGTTCCCCTTATCTTCTTCCTGATATTCACTGTCTTGAAGTATATTTCATCTTCTTCATAAAATGCTCTTGAATCATCGGGATAGAGATTTAGCCTTAGATATTACTTATTAACCAGCTGCTCATATAACCACGTCTTGGTATATTTATCTTTGTTTTGACCCAATTCGTGATATAAGGTAGCCATAACTCGGCTGAATATCTGTGCATTTTTGCAGCATCAAGCGCAATGGGTGCCCTCCCGTTGGGGGTGAGATAGTGCCACTCTTCGTACATGGGCCAGGAACTATTCAAACAGTGAAGTCATTGTTAACTACTGTCATTTTCGTGTTTAGGTATCTTGTGTCGTCATTCACTCTAGCTGCGTCGATCGGGGCCGCCGTACCGCCGTGGTGCTTCCAAGCCCTGTCCTGTAAAACTCCGCCCACTAACTAGCAACATGCCAGATGATGGGGAGTTAGGAGACGCCCAGTCTCGCTTCCTGGGCTTCTCGACGGATGTGGAGGGTACTCGAGAGCTCGCCAACTCTTCCGACGGATCCAGGAGTTTATCCAAGTCCGCATCAACAGAATCATCGTCCACCCCGTTAACACTCCCACCTCCTCCCTTCCACGTGTCCAAATTCAACGAACTAGCGATTTTGAGTTTCTCGAGAACTTCTTCCAAGTTCCTATTTTTACTTTCCTTCACCCTTCTCAGTGTCCCTGCCCCCCTTGCGCGAGTGAAGAGCGAGCTCAGGCCCACTCCCCGGGTTGGCCTAACGTCACATTTGTCAAGGAAGAGCTCCATGAATTGAGCGACATTTTCGAGCTGAACTCCAAAGCCGCCGGTTCCATCGGCAGCTATGGTCAATCCTTGGAAGACACTAGGCACACGCTGTCGGACCTCACTCACTGGTTTGGCATAATACACTCTACCCACAACTGTCCAGGAATTTTGCCGAGTGACCTGACATGCGAGACAAACATTGGAAGTTTCAAACCCAAACTCATACAAGTCAAGGTACGCATCGTGTTCGTTTGCACCGCGTGGAAGATGAACCTCGGCCCCTGAGTCTGCCGTGAAAATTGTCGCCCCAGTCGTCTCTAGTTGTCTGTGAAACGGCCATTTCCCGCGACGGGAACATCGCAAGGATATCGCCAAGGGTTGGTGAACCCACTTGAAGAAGCTGGGAGACCTCTGAGACTCTACCTCAAGGCTGGACTCCAACTGATGGTGCGGCCACGTCAATTCCATGGCCTCGGCGGTCAGACGCGCAAACTCAATGCGGGAGTTCAGTTTGACTGCCCCCTTTCCTCCCCAGGCAACAAGGGAAAAGAATGTCTCCTCCTTGGTCCTGTGGTACTCGGCATTGTATCCGCGCTCGAACGTGACCTCAGTTGCTATGCCCAACAAAGCAAATATCCGATCCCGGCCGTCCTCACAACCGGAATCTTTGTAACGCTGATAGAGGGTTGCGAAAGATTCCCTATGGGTCGGCCAGCGCCTCTGCGAGCGAATGAGCCCGTACATAGTGCTGTGGAAGAGTTCGCTTGTCGCACAGTGTCGCTTTGTTTGCTCGCCATTCTGTCCAACTCCTTTGTCTTCAGCCAACGGAGCCCACAGGTCCGAAGTCCATGCCGTGACATGGTGCGGAGGGGACTTGCACGCTGCAGCGAATGTTGACCACGGAACCACTTCGCTTCCGCAAAAGATCTCGACGTCTCGTGCCACTGTGATTTCCTGGACGATCCAGATTCTTGTCCAGTACCTCCGTTTGGAGAGGTTAACGATGCCTTGCCACACTGTCGCTCGATCTGCTGAGTAGGCAGCTCTAGATGCATTGTCGTTGCAAGTGCTTAATATGCGGATGGTGCGAAGGGTCATGTCGCTGTTGTCGCGCGCTTCGCCTAGCCACACTAGGACAGACTGGGCTTTGCGGTAGATCTGGTTCATCAACTGAACTTGGTGACTGCGCTCGTAGTCATTGGCCTGGTCGATGCAGATGGAGTCGCACCACAGGTAGCCATGCGAGGCATGCACTTTGAGACGGGATAAAAAGTTGAACAGATTCGATCGAATTGTTGTTGGCTGGCCCATCACATGGATAAGCGCCAAAGGAGATTTTGGTCCCCATTCGTATGAGAGCGCGTGATAATTGGGAGCCGTGTTGATGTCAAAAGTATTGACAGTGCAATGTATTTCGTCGTTGGAAGACCCTGGTACTATACGTAGGAGCCGGATATGGGTCTTGCCTGGTAGCAAAGGGTGCGTGGTATAGATGGACATGGTTAAATTTGGTGGCTGTGAATATAAAGAAAGTTGAGTTGATGGATCTTTGTGAGGGGGCGAGATATGACCTTAGATGAATGGCGAGGAACAGTGGTAGATCATGTTGGTTGAAATGGTCGCCTGCTCGTACGGGGCTGTGCTCTTAAGTGGAAAATGGATGCCTTGCAGAAAGCCCAACGGGCGCCTTTGGATGCCTTGCAGGGCGAAGCGTGTTTTAAGCCATCAGATTGGATCTCACTTATCTAACTGAACTACACCCTTGTTTCTTAAAAGCCTTCATGCTGTAGATAGCAGGGGCGCTATAATAGTTACTTATTCTTATTTCTCGGAGCTGACAGTTTCTTATTTAATCTAAAGTCTTATACAAGTCTAACTCGCCTGGGCTCGAGATTGTTAAAGAATGATAGACCTCCGGATCTGAAAGGTTTCGAAAGAAACGTTCCAACCCGATAGTACTCGTCTGGATTCCCCGTGGGGTGAATGAGTAACCCATATGCCGTTCTATTAGCTGGATCCTCAACCTCCTCGCTCGTCCACTCCGGGGCACTGGTTGACTCGGAATCGGATGACGCATGGCTATAAGCCACTTCGTGATCGTCTCCAAGTGTCAAGGAGCTGTCGGAAAGCCTCGATGAGAAGTAGTTTGCATCTGAATTCCGTCGTATCGTGCTCCCAATTAGCAAGAAACTGATAGGAGTGACGAGTTCGGGGATCTCCGATGCCGCGAAGAAGTCCTCAACAATGCAGTCGGTCTTGATGTGGGCGAAATACTCCCCATCCAACCGAACAGCGTCTTGCGGTGCGGAAAATGCCGGGTAGACCTGTCTGTATACTATCTTCCGAGTTCCGACGTACACCTTGGCCGTCATGTTCAGTGCGCCATGGCTCACTTCACCAAACACGGTTGAGCCGCGAGGGGTGATGTTGGGCACTAGATCCGTGTATTCAGGTCGGCAATCAGCCATTAGAGTTGGATGATTCAAGTCGAACCAGAAGTAGCGGCGTAGACTAGCCCAGCTCCACGAGGGAGCAAGATAGGGAGAGGGGTTTTCCAGTCTTTGTAGGAGGGCCTCGTAACTGATTTCGTCTGCGACCATCAAAGTCTAGTTGAGGTCCCGATGGAGATTGTTCTTCCATAGACCGGCCAGATACTCGTCGTCCAGCTCTTTCTGGAATAGAGCTGCGAGGCCAGCAACCGCAGGGAGAAGATCCGTTTCCCGAGTGAAATGGGCCCTGTCAGGGTTGAGCTGGGCAATGGTTTCATCCCACTCTTCGTAGGTCCGGAGTTTGTCGTCGGGAGTAAGCTTATCGCGGCCAAGCATGCGGAAATCTGCATCATATGTATCCTGATTCCTTCCCATCGATTCACTAAATGATGGACACTTGAAGTGAATGTTTCTTTTGGAAAACATCAGCAGGCGGGTTGCCGTGATGCGTTCCTGGAATGTCCATCCTCTCTCAAGCCAGGGGCTGATGACGAGCTCTTCTCCGGTGGAAGCCTTGTAGAGGGGAGAGTACACGGCAAAGGCGAGAGCGTTGTTGCTGGGGTGGGGGTTCAGAGGGATGATGACTCGGTCGGTTTTCTGGAGGTATCCTTGCTCGCAGTTCAGGGAGGCAGCGGCGGCAACTGTGACGTACGCATTGCCATAAATACGCTCCATGACTGCGCACTGCTTCTCCCAGTCTGTAGACACATCCTGTAGGATGCACAAAGCATCAACCCAAAGAAACGGGATAGACAAGGCCCTGGCCAGGCTCACAGAGTCCTGAATTACCTGTGGCAAGAGGGGCTCTGGGATTGTCTCCAGATGCTGCGAGAGATTGAGGCTGGTTGTCTTCAGTTGCTTACTAGCATGTGGCTCAGGACCCCAACAGTACGTGAGGGCGATATAATGCGGGATCTCTAAGTCTGACTTGGCCATATCTTTAGTAAGGACCAATCGGAGTCGATCTGGTTCAACCTCAATGAGTCGGTCGGGGATGAAGGCTCTTTGCGGATTAATGTGATCATGAGACACGCATGAATCCATCTTAGACTTCATCCAGCGTACAGTGTCTTCACTGATGTGGGATAGAGGCGGTCGGAGTCCATGTGACAACGTGTTGTCATCCTCGACTGCTGTGACAGGACAGTCAAGATGAATGTCTTCCTGGTCGTCTGTTGGGTCTCTGTCAGCGGCCGTTGCAATATTAAGCGTTAATAGTTCGTACCATGTCTGAGTTTGATGCGAATAGCCCTCAATCCATACCCATGAGCATCGTCTGGACCGAAAACATGGTGGAGTGATAGACGGACGGTTGTCTCTGACGAAATAGTCGGTGGTTTGTCTTCAATGTCCCACCAAAAGATAATTCGCTTGAAAAAGGCACATGATTCGCAATCAGAACCATCAAAGACCTCGTACAAGCTGCTAGGAGTCCGCTCGGCTTCCCAGTCCAGGTCAGTCTCTCGTTCTTGGTTCTCGGGGCCTGCAGGGATGCCATCCACTGGTGTGTCTACCAGCTGCAGCACGGCGCAGCGGCCACAAAGTTTGGTAAACGGCTGGCCAGTATCGATCGAGGTCGCCATATGTAACTTTCTTGAGCTTTAACCTATCTTCTTCTGTAGTGCTGACGTGGTGGTTGTCAGAACTTCAGAAGAGGAGATAAGGCCTCATTCAGCTCCCACGTGACGTCCCAAGGCGGGGGCGTCAATATCCTGCCATTGGGCACTTCCGACGAGCTTGAAATGCAGCAGTTTGAAGCAAGTAGATTTGTTGTACTTCCATATTATCAAGGAAAGTACGAAAGGGTTTTTTGAGTTGCTTCCCACTGAAGACTTGCTCAAAAAGATAAGGCTTATATAAGTATTTTCATATTGACCCCTTTCATCCTACCTTTCCCATCCCTTTAGGAGCCCAAGGTGCTCAGCTTAGGAGGTATTGTATCAGTCTCCTGAACTTAGGATTATTCTTCGCGTGTGGTTATTATGATGCTATAAGCATGTTTGTAGGGAGATGGAAAGTTATAAAACTGCTTTCAGACGCATTTCTAGTCCGACTTTAATTTAAACTGCACTGGACTGCCTCCACCATCACTCTTCCCTCGTTCCCTTTCCAAATTCAGACACTTTAATCAACTGTTACCACTACCTTTCCAATATGCTGATTGCTCTCGAGATAGCGATGCGCCTCAGCAATATCTTTAAACGTAAAGGTCTTATCCACGATGGGCCTTAGCGACCCGTTTGCCACACCATCAAGCACAAACTCTACCATCTTGGCGCGCTTCTCTGCGTTCAATAGTGTCTGAAACACGGCTGTAAACTTGATGGTTGCGAACTTGGCCATGCCCTTCAGCGGGTCGATCGTGGCCGGGGCCAGGTCTAGAACACCGTAGATAAGGATCATGCCGTTGACTGCAACCGCATCGAGCAATTCGCTGACACCTTTGCCGGCAATCGGGTCGTAGATGACGCGGCAGCCGACGCCGCCGGTGATGCGTGCCACTTCCGTGGCTATATCCTGCTCATCCGTCACGATGATATGTTTGATTCCGAGCGACTTCAGTGCAGCGACCTTGGACTGACTTCTGGTTGTACAGATCGGGATGGCATCTAGAGATTTGGCAATCTGGGCCGCCGCAATTCCCACCGACGACGTCGCCGCCGTGAGCAGAACGTACTCGCCCTTTTGCAGCTTGGCCGTGTCAACCATGCTGTTCCAGGCTGTGCTGTACTGCATCCATAAAGCAGCGCCATCAACAAACGACATGTCGTTGGGCATCTTCACCGCCATCTCGGCCGGCACATAAGCCTTCTCGCCATACACGGCGCATTCGTGGCCTGTCATCTCGGCAGCGAAACCCGGAACGCTCGTGAACCCTGGGATGGTGGCCACGTGATCCCCGATGGCGAACCCAGTGATGCCTTGGCCGATGGCCAGGACTGTCCCAGCGCATTCCGACCCGAGCATTGCAGGAAGTGATTTGGGGGGGCCGAAGCCACCGGCACGGAAGAAGACTTCCATGCGGTTTATCCCTATGGCGTTGACCTTCAACAGTAGCTCACCAGGTGCTGGATCCTCGAAGGCAACCTCGTCGATCTGCAGCACCTCTGGCCCGCCCAGTTGGTGGAATATCGCTACCTTTGACATCGTTGAACGTTGTTTTGGCGTTGGGAGTTGGGAAGAATGGGGATTCCTCTGTTGTACGGTCCGTAGATATACGAGGGGTAGTCGTCTGGAATGGAGGATGGGGAGGAAGGATGATAGGGAAAATTGGAATAAGTGGAGTCCCGCACCCTTTATATCTATAGGCCCCTTTTCACGTTTGATCGGCATATGGATATGAAGCCACGTAGAGTGCTGTTTCTTCACACTCAGTGTTAGCATGTCTCCGAGGCTGGAGGAACAAAATGCTTGATAAGCACTCGCCTACTCACCTCACTACAGTGGAGGCAGGAGGTGTCTCCCGTTCTCACGTAAGTAAACTTCAACGCCGTAGAGTTACCGGTATTCATGCACCAGCAAGGCCCATGTTTCGTTTCATGTTTTTAGACTCTGCGGAGTTTGATAGAATCGGGGATGCGGGCTGATGACAGCTGCATAAATACACTAGCCTAATCATCCCGTTATTTCCTTGGAGGACACTACCTAGACTGTAGAGTTTAGCGTTGACCTGTGACCGGGTAGTGATGTGGGTCGTTGATTAGAAATGATGTCTGGATTTCACTTTATATTGCTACTTGCGATGCCGTCAAGTCCGGCACTACTCTGATTTGCCGTCTGAAAGGCTCATGTGGGAAGGCTAAACAGCGGCTTCTCGCCCCGTCGGGCTCGCCACTCATTGGTAGAACGTAGAAGGCTCCAACAGCCAGTCAAGGTCCAGCCCCAGGCTCTGGCAAAGGCTTCTGTTACTTCCCAATTTTTTGGATCCCAAGATTCCCCCCAAATAAGCATGCCTGGGTCATGGTCTGGAATGCGTCCACGAACGGCGTGACAGAGCTCTTCCTCATTGAAGCAGTTTAAGCCTCGTCGGAACAAATTGTCACGCATCTCGGGAAAAGGGAGAAGATCAATCCATGGGTGGTGTAATGTGGAGCATTGAAGATCTGTTGGTCGTAGCCCGTCTGGAAGTTGTGTTGAAGTTCGGTGTCGATGATAGTTTGGCGAATTAAACGGAGACAGATCGTTGTGGCCCATTTCCCTAGACGAGACACCCAGGGTGTCCATGTTGGCCAGCAAAGCTCGGATGAAGTTGAACTGGGATAGTATCGGCAAGATTGTAACTCGTGGAGAGTGTATTATGTAGAGCTGCTGTGCAAACGCCTCGAAACGTTGGAGGATCATCCCATCATGCTCTGGTTCGGCATTAAGAACACCGAGTTTCTCAATAGCGACGGTTACGGCTCTTATGTTAGAGTCCTCGTATCTCCAGTGTGCCAGAGAGCTGGAATTTTCGGGAGCTGGAATACGCTGTTGGCCTTTGGTACCGTGACTGTCACCTTGGCCAAGTTCCCTTCGTCTCCTCAATCCTGCATAGCGTTAGCTTTCACGCTGAAACATGTCTAGATCAACCATCGCGCCATACTGAGGATTCTTTGGTTACGGCGATTTTGGACCCTCCTTCTTTCTTTCGTATCCGATATGCCCGACCAATCGTCCTCATACCTGACCCATCTATCCGCGATGCGGTCTTGTTGGGAGCCAGCACGGCTGAGGTAGGCCATACTTGATTGATGCAGGGTGAGGTGGTGAACCATTCGAGGATGACCAACGCTACAATACTCAGGCTGGTTCAAATGTAGGTTGATGACAGCGGCAGACGGTGCTTGAGGATTAATAATAGGAGCAGTTTTTCTCATCGTTTCATGGAGTTACCTCCGCGCGATAATCGGCTGATCTTGCCCACTTGAGGCTAGCGTATGTAGCTGTCATCAACCTGCATTAGTGGCAAAGCTTGTCGTCTTTCCCCTGTATTCGGCGAGTTTCTTATGTGGATGGCGAAGAAGATAAAGACCAAAGGTCTATAGACACCGAACAAAGAGTAAAGGCTAAGGATAGCTGTGACGAACGGACAGAATGGTTAGATACCTAAGCGGCGGACGAATCACGGGCGAATCATGGGCGGGCGAACATTAATCAACGTTGCTTTTGGGTAGTGCTAGCTTCTAATTGTAGCTCTAACCATCTCGGGTTTGAAATGCGGACATAATGCCCGCATCCTATCCTTTGTGCACGAGTCATATGAGAAGGCTCAGCTGTTTCTACGAAGTTCATCTCGGTCATGGCGGTGTGGCCAGTGCATATCTCATGCTCAATCTTGCTTTGTAACGTTAACACCCACGGACGGAGTCCGTCAAGACCCCGGTAGCTCAAGGGCAACCATCGTGGTCAAATGTGTATAAATAGTGAAATACGCTGACCCAAAACTTATTATCAAGGCATCAATCATCTAAGCAAAGATTCATCCCCCACCGTATCCCACGAATATGAAGGTCGCAATTGTTGGCGCAACAGGCCAGACAGGCTCCGTCATTGTCAAGGCCCTTCTCGAGTCAACGACGCCGAAATTTGTGAGGAACCTAAATCCTCCGCCTGCCTTTTGAGCTGAGATACTGACGCCTTCAACTCAGGAAGTCACAGCCCTCACAAGGCCGTCGTCGTTGCAGAAACCTCAAGTTCTTGAGCTAGCCGAGAAAGGGGTCAACATTGTCGCTGCCGACCTCGCGGGCTCCGAGGAAGAATTGAAGAAAGTGCTTACAGGTATTGAGGTCGTAATCTCGACCATCTATGGAGCCAGTGTGACGGCCGAGATACCCCTTATCAATGCCGCCAAGGCTGTAGGTGTTCAACGATACGTGCCCTGTTTCTTTGCAACTGTTGCACCACCTACAGGCGCTCTTCGACTTCGCGAACTGGTACGCAAAAGAATTAGCATCTTTTTTTAGAATGACCTAACATGAGCTTGCAGAAAGAGGAGACTCTCAATCATATCAAGAAGATCAAGCTCCCATACACTATTATCGACGTTGGCTGGTGGTATCAGGTCAATCTTCCCCGGCTCCCATCCGGCCGCATCGACTATGCAGTCATGGAAACCAATGATGGCATTGCAATCGACGGGAACGTGCCGGTAGCGTTTACCGACCTGCGCGACGTTGGGCCATATACTGCCCGAATCATCTCCGATCCTCGAACCCTGAATCGCATGGTCTTTGCATACAACGAAGTCTTGACCTTTAACCAGGTGTACGATATAGCTGAGAGAGTGAGCGGTGAGAAGCTCCATCGTAAATATGCAAGTCTATCTGCTATCTTTGGGTTAGTCTGATGAGCTAACTTGATACAAAGGTCCCTGCTGCGGAAGTCGAAGCTCAAGTCCGCGAATGGGAAGAAAAGAACCCAGCCCCCGATTCAGTCGACTTCGTAACGTTGTCGCAGCTGCAGTACTGGCATTCTTGTTGTGTCCGTGGAGACAATACTCCTGAAAATGCCCAGTACCTCGGATACCTACTCGCTAAGGATCTCTATCCCGAGTTCGTCGGAATTACGCTGGAGACTTACGCCAGGGACCTTCTCGAAGGAAAGGGGAAGAAAGTGTATGAGCATATTCTGGACCTGCCATCCATCAAAGCTGCCAACAAGGCCCTGCAATGATGGGTTGACAAAGGTTTGTAAATGGGCAGAATCGCCTGCCATATCAGTGTAGTTTCAACTTTATTCATGATCTTTTAAAACACGCCCTACTGTCCATGCTCATACAGCTCAGTTTTCCGTTCTCCATAGGTACACAGGTTATTTGGCAGACCAAAAGCAAGGGTCATACTCGTCCATCCACTCGACAAATTTGTCGCCCGCCGTGGCCCAGCCCTTGATTCCCCCCTGTAAAACTACACTTTCCATCTCGTTGTCCCCGCAGCTGGCGATATAGTCACTAAACCAGCCCGCAGCTCGCGGACCGCGGCCGCGTGATGAGGCTAGCGAGATGGGGTTAGAGTCCACTATCTCCCAAAATTGCCTCTCGAAAGACCATAAGCTGGCCTCGCTGGAGGTAATAGTACTCACAACAATACCAAATGACCTTGCGCAGACCTCTAGCCTTGAACATGTCATAAAGTCTTGGGATTGAAGGGTACAGGCTTTGGGCCGGGAGATTGATGGAGCCACGGATCGTGCCGCCCTTGAAGTCTCTCAAGTCAGCGCCATCGTGACAATAGCTAAGTGATAGATAGCAGAGACCGAGTTCAGGCTCACCTCATGATCATTCCGTCGTAAATCGACGAGCAAAAAGTCCGCACCGGCCACATCGCCAACTTGCTTCATCAGCTCGAGAAGCTGCTCACGCGTCAAGCTTCCTGGCTGATGCTCTGGAGCTGGATACTTGGCATGCCACGGAACTATACTGGCCTGCTGTTGTGAAGCCATTGTGGCGTTGGTGACTGCTGGGTCGGCCTTTAGGACACCACCAACAAGCTCGGCGAAGACTGAACCTCTGGAACATTGGCAAGTGCTGATGGCATTTGATGGCTTAGGCGCTCGCTCTTGGGGAGCTACCAGCCTTTTAAAGCCTCGCATGTGACCTCGATTGCGGTTACACGACTGCAGGACGTGTCTGTCATGCCCCAGTTCTCATTGGATACTGCGGTCAAGCACTCGGTCCTCGAGTAGCTACCCAATCACATGTGGGGCATGACGGCCGCAATACTACCAGGACAACTACATACGTAAGCCGAACAGAACTGCAGTCGTAATCAAAGTATATTTTCCTTGCGGTGAGGCATTGGGCTTCAGGAGGCTGTTGTGTCCGTCTCATGATTGGTAAACTTAGTCGCCTTGTGGTTGACATTCCGGTAGTCAGGGGCTTAGCAGCACAGGTAGTTGTGGCTTCTAAGCCACCAGCTTGTGTCCCAAAGATAGAAAACAGATTAGAGTGGGAGCATCTTGAACTGAATGCAAGAGTAGAACATACGCCATGTAACCTTGTGGTAGTAGCTAGATAATGACCGTATTTGAACTACCTACGCAAACGTATCTATGATTTGGAAAACACTGGAATTGTATACAAGACAGTCATTCCCTTCTTTACAGCGCAATAAATGCCGGATCCGGTCCGAGTCAAGGCTACTACGCAGCCCAGATATAATTTCGACTGCTGCTTGGCAAGACAGCCCTTTGTCCCAGTGGCCCGAGATGGAAGCGGGTGAGTTGGGTGGGCAAAAGCATTCAGTTACTTGTGGTAGTATCTCTGTCTGGTCACCCAACTCTGACCAGCTATCATCAGAGATTGGCGGTATAGTGGCACATTCTGCGTTCTGGGTGGTGTGTGCATGGGAGGGGTCGCGGTTTTCGTGGCTATGGATTTTGGTGGCCGAACAGTCTAACGCCTCTTCCGTACCTGACGATGACGTGTCTTTGGATGAAGGGGATCTTGCGCTGGATGAGGTGGCCAGTAATCGACGTGGCGAGAATGAAGAGGGATTCGAGGAGGGCGTGCTCGGGGGCGAGGGGAATTCTGGAGTTCTGCCCAAGGGACCGGAGTCTGGCTGCTCCCTCACACTCTGTTCAGGTGGAGATGGATCACTGCCACCCATTAGAGGTTCCCAAGAGCCTAGGTCCGGTATAGAGCCAACAGATACTGCCAGAGCCAGGTGATGGTCAACCTCGTCCTGCGAGACTCCCCTAAGATTGAGCAGACCACGAAGATGCTTATTCTCCCAGGCGACGGCCCTAGCCACGCGCTGCATCTCAACGCTGACCTCTACACCTCTGCGTTCGTATTCCTGAAGCCGTTGTTGAAGATCCTCGACGAATTGCCGATGCCGCTCCCGTGAGCGACGCTGGTTCTCGCGGTTCTGAGCCGCAGTGGCGGGAATTCGGTTCTACATCAGACCCCGCCAATACGTCAGAAGTTGTGAGCGAGCGAGAGATTGGGAGAGAATGCATACTTTTCTAGGCATGGATGCAGTATACTACACCTGCTTTTTACAGAGGTAGTGTAATTCAGAGCGTGGAAGATGGTGATGTTCTTGGTAGACAAAGGTACAGAGTCTTACAGGCGGCTTTGGGGAGACCTGTCATGCCCCTGTCATGATTGGCTGAGCCAGATATCGGTACCAACTTCCTCTGCGCCCAGCACCAGTTCTTGAAAAATTGCACCGACATGCGCACATCCATTACAACTATGAGATCCATGTTTTATGGGTGATTCCAATATCCCTTCCAACAGCCATTTTCCAAACCAAACACCAAACTCTCAGCGAAGGCATTCCATTTGTGAAGAGAAGAGGACAAAGAAAAAGGTATTAAAAGAACGGCGTGAGCGTAGCGTGCTCATAGTTACATCGCTTCCTGGTGTCAGAAACAGGATATTGATCTAGAAACGCGGGCTTCCCGACGACGACTGGGGCCTCCCATTTGGTTCAACAAACCCAGCTCGCGGACCCAGCACAGCGTCAAAGAACCCACTGCTGCTCCGTGCTGGATGCGGCACACTCTCCGCCCGGGCATTCTCTGGACGCATCTCAAAAGACCGTGGTGTAGCTGCAAAGCTCGAACTTGTCTGTCTTGACTGGCTTCGAGGGAGCTCCGTTTTCTTGAAGAGTTCCGAATGTGTGGACACGACCGCTTGGGCAGCTAGCTGTTGGAGATACTCATTATCCGGCATCAAGCTAGCTGGAATCGGTGATGATTTGGTTCTGGAAATCCCGGGCTTAGGTGCTGGGAATGGTTTGGGGCTACCAGCTGCCGTCGCTGTGACTGGTAGACGCAGGTTGATCAAAAGTGATGAATTCTTTGTAGGAATTGCCTTCTCCGTGGAAGCGTTCGTTGCCGGAAGGATAGTCCTAAATGAACCGACGGTATTCATTGAAGGGCTGGTTCCTATTTGATGCTCAGACCTGGGCTCCTGAACATGATTGCGCGACGACGTCTCGGGAGCTGGCTGGTTGGGGACTGACTGGTAGGTCGGCATCGCAGGTAGTGTGCCGTTTGCCGTTGCAGCGGCGTCGCCGAGATCCTTGTCTTGAAGAAGATCCAAAAGTGAGTCTCGAGAATTCGGTCGCAAAAAGTCGTTTCCGGATGCGATGAGATCGGCCGGGTTGTTGAGTGAGTGAAAGTTCACAAGATCTTCAATCTCGGAATCAGAAGAAGAGTCATCCTCCACAATGATGGGAGCATTTTGGACAGCCTTGTCATTGTTGGTTGTCGGCTCACTGGGATTGGCTTCCTTGGCAGTCAAAGCAGGGTCACGGGTAGACGTGGATTTATCGCCGTTTGCTTTCGGGACCGCGTTCTGCTCCCCGCCGTCCGGTCCATCCTCTGGCTGTGGCGTCTCCTGCGGTGGCGTAGTGACGACGTCTTGCTGAGCCAGGTCTTGTCGAGACTCTTCATGTTCATCAACGCCGTTTTCATTTCTGGGCGAACCAGTCAACGTGTCCAGGTGAAGTTGTTCCCCTCTGTCCAGAATATCTGGCTCCTCACGACGAACGGGAGATTCTGACCCGACTAGATATCAACAGTTAGAGGCAAAAATAGGCATCCATCCCACAATAGACTCACTTCTGATAATGGTATCGGGGTTCTGACTCTTCTGGTTCTCGATAAACTCGCCGACAGAGTCTCTTTGAATGATGCTCATGTCGTGTGGGTCAAAGTGCTTCAGATCAGCAACATTAACCCAACCCACAGAACTCTCCTCGGGAAACTTGAGCTCATCAAAGTAAACAACAGGGAACTGGCGCTTCGAAGCCAAATGGCCGCCGTCCTCGTAACCGTCTGCCCACTCCGCTGTTTCCCCATCGACAACATAGCAGGATGGCGTGTCGTCCAGCAGTCCCGTGTCGAGGAGGGAGCCCTTGAAACCAATATTCTGGAAGCTTCCCCAGGGCAGGATGAGAACCGGGTAGAAGCTTCTAGAGCTCTTCCAGTAAGCGGCGTAGATCTCGCCTGGTTTGGGGTTCATGATACCAGACACGACCTGACTACTGCGCGTGTGAGGGTGACCAGGTGTCACGACACGGGGTTCAGCAGTTCCACCGTCGAACCGTGGTCGGTTCGGGCGCCTAACCGACACCGGAATCCCAAGCCCTTGATCGAAAGCTTCTTGGGCCACCTCGTTATTCATCTCCGCCCTCGTTTGAGTGCAGTTCTTGACAAGCGTGCCCAGAATACTAACAGCCAGTTCGTGCTTTCTTGGCAAGTTGCCATGAACTGCAGTCGCCAGGTGTTTAGCGGCGCCAAGGATGGGGTTGTTGGTGAAATGCTGGCCATGTTCCTTGCACTCTAGAATGTACCAGTTGCCGTCTTTGCGAGGGTATCGGGCGATCGTGTACTTGATATCCGCGTTTCCGTCTTGAAAGACTTGATCGAAGTCGATGGATCTTTCGGTAAGAGGCTCGTCAACGCGAGGGCGTTTCTCCGGGTCGTTTCTCGATCCAGATGGACTTGCCGGTCTCTTTCGATTGCTTCCGCCCGTTCGAGCAGCCGAGTGACGCTGGACAGGTGTCGCATTTTGTTGGTTCGAAGCGGAGGGTGAGTCTGTCTGGGACTGGGCTCGTCGGGGCCGCGGTGAACTCGGATCTGGAGGTCGCCATTCTTCTGGACCCTGTCGGATAGTGGTTTTCTTTCTTTGAGGCTCGCCATTCAGCTGGGGCTGGTCATCGCTTGTCGCCGTGTCCTCATGAGATTCTTGTTCTTTCTCTTGGTCCTTCCTCGCCCTAGTGCGTGTATTCGCAGGGGACTTTGGTGGCTGGACTTGGTTCTCTCGAGTAGCTGAAGTCTCTGGCTGGGGATCTGGATGATCACGCATGGGTGTGTCCTCTTCAACGGGTGTTGGTTGTCCCTGCAGTTCTCTCATCCACCTCCCTGCAAGATCAACACCCACAATGTCGATAAACGAAGCAAAGAACTTCTTGTGTCGCTCTTCTACTTCTTCCGCAAAAGCGCGATCCTTGGTCTCCTTGGTAGATGCATGTGTCTGTTCAAGCTCCTTTAGTTGCCCAGCATAGCGAACAAGCCGGTCTCCGGTTGAAGTCACATCGCTTTCGGGGTCCAGCCCTATGAGCGACCTGAGCTCCTCGTCAATGACGGCTCTTTGGGCTGCATGTTTCTCCTGGAATAGCTCCCGGGGTGTCTTGATTCTCTCTTTCTCTTGACATTGCGCGAACCAGGCTGTGACTTCGGATTGCTTGGCTGCTGCTGTGTCTGCAATATCGCTCATTTTGGCGATGGTTGCGTCACCTGACCGATTCTGTATGCGTCACTTCAGTTCCCCTGTCACTGCCAAAGTGAATGCCAGGATTGCACCAGCAGAGGCGTTAAACTGACCTTTTCCGCTGAGTTGTTGTTAGAATGCGCGGGTGCACCGCGTCTTGAGTGACATTCAGCAGTGCTTCAGTGCCATCAAATGATGGGAAACCAACAGACAGTAAACCTGTTGGGAGTCCATGACCCTTTTGTAAGCTCATCCGTACAGTCCGCCAGCCTGATTAGCCCCCCTGTCCAATAGGGAGGCAATCCGGGAAGCACCCCAGCCTCTTGACGGTTTGTCTGTTGGTTGCCTATGCTGTGCGACCAACACCCAACACTCTTGACGGCGGTGGCCAATAAGCGTCAAGGCCAAACAACTTGGCGTCGCGAGTGGCTTGGGCGCGTGAAATTAGGCTTGTTATCTCTTCTCCCGAAGAGGCAGTTTGCGCAAATGAGAGGAGGTGATGCTGGTTACCGTTACTATATTTCTTTTTCTGCGTCAACTCAACTTGATTACCGGCCTCGCTAGCGGGTTCACGTTTCATGTGTGTCGTTCATTGCAGAACTGCCGATCTGCTGTCAGCAGATTAATTGCGACGGGTAACTGGTCAGCCATAACGCGGATGCCTTGCAGGGGCTCCTTATGCCTTTTTAATCTCTTTTGCCGGGTAGGATGAGTGGCGTACTTGATCAATCAAGCCTCGTAGACATTAGGACAGTCCATCACAATTACAGAGGATCAATAGTGGACGCCTTGCACGGAGTAGAGGGCTTATCAATTAACAAACATGCAGCCATCCACCATGACCAGTTTCAAAACGCGGCAGTTCCACTTTCTACTAAGTATGTAGCGGCAAAGGCCATCAAGTAGGTAGATTAGATAGTTAGTCAAGCTCCACTGAGGAGACTATCGTGAGGGTTGACAAGTTCCCCTCAGATATCGGCTCCCAGATTTGGAGCCGGCTACCTTCGGCCAATGTTTCGAGACTTTGCGACACAAAATCACCAGTCGCGGTGCTTGTAAATCGCGCCCTTTCGTCGTTCCGACCGACAACTGAACTACCAGATTATAAATACTAGACAGGTCAGACCCTCGACCTTAATTCTCCGCCATCTTCAAACTTGTCTCAGGCCATTCAATCAATACCCACAGCCAAAATGTACTCCCCAAACGTCGGCGATGGGCTAGATAGCCTCGACACCCCATCCATGATTGTCGATCTGGATCTCATGGAAGCCAACATCAAGAAGCTATTTGATAGCCTCCTACCCACCGGCCTCAACATTCGCCCTCACCTTAAAACTACGAAAAGCGCCATCCTCGCTCGCAAGCTTGTCGCCGCGGGCGCAAAAGGCTGCTGCGTGGCCAAAGTCTCAGAAGCCGAGGCTATCACAGCTGCGGGGTTCGATGACATCCTCATTACTTGCGAAATCATCGGCCCCGTCAAGGTGAAGAGACTTGTTGAGCTGTTTAGGAAGCACAAGACGATACGAATTGTGGTGGATAGCGAGGTTGGCGCAAGTGCCATCAACGACGCCTTGGAAAAGTCTGGCATCACGGAGCCCATTTCTGTCTTGGTGGATTTGGATGTGGGACTTCGTCGCACAGGTGTTGCTGCTGGACAACCAGCTGTAGCTCTCGCAAAGCATATCAGCAGCCTGAAACATCTACGGTTAATCGGAATCCAAGGATACGAAGGTCACTTGCAGCATCTCCACAGCCGAGAGGACCGCAAGAAGCAGTGTCTTGAGTCGATGAAGACCTTGACCGACACTGCTGATCTGCTGCGCAAGGAGGGCTTCAATATCGACGTGGTTACCACAGGTGGAACGGGCACCGCCGAGTTCTGTGCTACTGTTCCCGGCGTGACTGAACTGCAGCCCGGTTCCTTCATCTTCATGGACACAGACTACCGCAACGCCGTGGGCACCTTTTACTCCAACAGTCTAACCCTCCTGTCTACTGTCGTCAGCAAGCAGGGCGACAGACAAGTCACAATCGACACTGGTCTCAAGTCATTGACTACAGACAGCGGGCTGGCCGAGTGCAAGGATCCAAGGTACAAGCATCAGAACTTGGGCGATGAGCATGGCTCGTTGAGCTGGGAAGAGGGAACACCTGCTTTAGATGTTGGCGACAGGGTTGAGATGATTCCCAGCCACATTGATCCAACCATCAACTTGCACGACTTCTACTACGCTTATCGGAAGGGGGTGATTGAGGAGATATGGCCTGTCGACTCGAGAGGGAAAGTCCAATAAGGAATATACAACGAAGGAGCCAAGTAACTGGCTCTAGTTGGCTTTCTGACCTTCCATGAAATACACTGGTTCGTCTTCTGATTATTAAGATACGCAATGCCCTCAAGTCCCTGAATTTCTCTCTCACTATCCAGACTTGAAGAGTCACAAAGAGGCCATCTATATATTGCCGCTGATAGAGTAGCACCAACTATCGTCAATGCCAGGCTTGCCCAAGCAGATGTATGATCCACATAGGTAGAGATTGACGAAGCCCTTTGAAAGAACCTCGCAGTGGATGGTATCGTCAAGGCCAGGCTGCAAGTGACATCCTCGTGTGGTACAAAATGGGCTTGTGCGTCGGTCAGGAGCTAGAGGATGCCCTTATCGATCGAGGGGTTGTACAAGGCGAGATTCTTGTAGCCATTCTAGCCCCGGGTGATGGTGCCACCCTCCCGGATGAATGCGATTGTGTCTTCGGAAGCGTAGTTGGCCAGGAGGTAGTTGTTCTCGTCCTTCAGTACGAGGGTATGGTAGAGTCCTGATGGCATCTTGAGAGTCACCTTTGCTGTGACCATGGGCTGCAGAGGAGCCTGGGTGACAGTAGTGGAAGCCTTCACCGAAGCCCTTTCAGTCGTCACCTCAGAAGTATCGGCCGAGGTGCTCCTCTCGGAGAAGACAACAGAAGTCTAACTAGGTGCTGGCAACAGAAACGGTCTCTATACTAACGGAAGTAGTGGTAATGGTGGAAGCGGTAATAGTGCCATCGGAAGTGGTCATGGACAAAGCCGTGGGAGTCCGGGGTCGGCACACGCCAGCCTCGGAGCCGACAGCAAGAGACAGGGCTGCAAGCCATTAACTTTCGCGAACTCATAACGGAAGTCTTTATGGAAAACCCTAGAATGAGTAAGACGAGAGAAATAAGTGAGATTGAATTGATGGTTTTCCATTAAACGGGGCGTTGTCATGAGTTTGATAAACTCACCAAAGTGCAGGGTAGTCGTTCCCGCTCCATGGTTGAGAGCGCTGGCTACGTGGGAAGCGTGGCCCCTTCACAATCTTGGTCGGCTAGTATTATAATATTTCTTGGTTTTTAATTAACATTCTTTTTGAAGACCTCTGAAACTCTTAGCACTGGGCTTAAGCTTAGTCCATCCTCCACACCTCTTGATGCACTGTCGTGTAACAACAACCACATCGTGATGTATTCGAAGCAGTAAGGCGTAGTTGGTAAATTGATCCTCTGGACTCGATTTGAGGTTTTTGTCGGTCTTGCAACAGGCATTTGTCCACTGTTCGCTATCTCGAAAAATCCCAATGGCTACTTTTGAAATCCGTCAAAACTTGAAGGTTGTTTGGTGAGAATTCAGCGCTGGAGGGCAAGGGTAAGAATTGATAGAGACAGAATAAATGGCCCACGGTCATCCCACCCTGTTGGGAATCTAGAACACCCCAAATGGATTCTCTAGCATGTCCTAGGTAAACATCAATGTTTACGTATTCTTCGGTTCATCGATCTCACTCACAGGTTCGGGATTTCCAGAAGCGCCGAGGGCTGTGCAAGTGGCTTTTTCCGCAACCTATGCGACGCCATTCCAGTGCAGGTCTGGAACCCTTCTTAATTCCACCATTAATCAAAAGGTTGCTACTCGTCAAGATACGACCAACGTAACTGTGGTGGCTGACGAGACGTGGATTTTGGCTGTCGGGGTTTTGAAAGCGCCGACGACGACCAGGGTCTCAGATGAGACCCGCTTACCATTTCCGTGACGAGCAGGGGTATTGGGATGATGTGATTGGCTCGGCGGTTATCACGACTCCGACCCCCGCCATGTTGATTCTCAAGACGGACCCTGAATCATGGCGGATTTCGCATTGGTAAGCCTTAATTGGCTCGTGTTCAAGTCTCAGGGAGCCGCTGACGTGGTGCCACGAGATTCAGCCTTGATCAATTTTCAAGCGAGGGCAGTGGGCGCTAGGGCGATAGGGGAGGATTCGTCGAGTCGACAGCCGGGCATGTTCAAGATTTATATAACACTTGCTTGTAGATGCAGGTAAAGTCTCTTGATAACCTCAGCTCGTCTTTCGATCAAACAAAATCACGCACACTAGCAACCCCTGCTCAGAGATTCTCCATCACAACTTGAACAAGAACTTCCAAAATGGCTGAAGCTGTTACTGGTCCTCCTTCGAAATACCACTACACCCCCTCGCTCGCAGCTGCCATTCTCTTTGCAGTCCTGTTCAGTCTGTCTGGTTTTTTTCACGTCTATCAACTCGTGAGAGGAAGAACATGGTACTTTATCGCCTTCTTTATTGGGCTTCTGTGTAAGTCATCGCTTCCTTGGAGTCTGACATGTAACTGATCGTCTTCCGTCGCAGTCGAGGTAGTAGGACATGCAGCCCGCGCCTACAATGCCGATGAAAGCCCGAATTACTCCGATGTACCATTCATCATGCAGACTCTTCTTCTACTTCTCGCCCCAGCCTTGTTTGCGGCGTCCATTTACATGATCCTTGGCCGACTCATCAGGGTGCTGGACGCTGAGCACTTTTCCATCATTCGAACAAAATGGTTGACCAAGATCTTTGTGTTGGGCGACGTCTTGTCGTTTGCAGTCCAGGGCATTGGTGAGTGAACCTGCGATGCCCAACTTGAGGACTAGATTCATTAACTTATCTCAAGGCGGTGGAATCATGGCTGGCGCTGATGACAAGGACGGTGTTGACCTGGGCCAGAATGTCGTTCTTATCGGCCTAGGTATCCAGATTGCCTTCTTCGCTGGCTTCATCATTGTTATCTCCATCTTTCACTGGCGAATTGTCCGCCAACCTACCAAGACAAGCGAGGAAACACCTCTCCCTTGGAACCAGTACATTTTGGTCCTCTACTTTGTCTCGCTACTGATCATGATCCGATCCATCTTCAGAGTGGCCGAGTTCGCAGCTGGACAAACTAGTGTGCTGCAGACATCAGAAGCTTACCTTTACTGTCTGGACACCATGTTGATGTCTTTCGTTTGTGTCGTGTTCAACGTACGACATCCGAGTCAGGTTGTTCAGAATCCCAACTACAAGAACATGGATCATGAGATGGAGGATGGTAGGGCCCAAACGGATGAAGCTGAGGTCCTTACATCATATCACCATTGATGGGGATTGAGGGATTGAGTAGTTGGCTAGGGACATGTCTCTCGAAGAGTGGCGATGCTCGCATAGGCGGGATGGGATCTTCCAATGGCACGCAAGGGAGAGGGAGTTGAAGCATGCTCACGGGAGTCGCTGGTTGTGGGTAATAGTCTTGGGACTTCACCAAAGTCTTTTTTTAGGGGGAACAGTCTCATTTGTAACTAATTATAGAGGAATTGGCATATCATATGTTTGATCGGAGGGGAGTAGGTATATGATGTATAGCTTTGCATATCCCAAAGGTTCGAGTGAGGTCGAATGAATTATTTATATTGCATTAAACACATTCTAATTAAGTACTTTCGACTTAAACCACACCTTCAAAACATTCCAGGAAATTGTAAACCCGGACCTGAAGGGTCAAGGAACGCCAAAGAAAAATCGTCCAACGGTGGTGCAAGTTCAGTGTGATTATCCCCAACCACATCAGATAGAGTTACAGATGCCATGGTTAGTGCAGCGGAATCGACAGCGACCATTGTACCAAGTCTTTGTATGTAGGCCGGCGCTTGAACATCATGAACCAATCTGGCAAAAATGGGCCCATGCCTTTTTTCCCACGCTGACGTGATAGCAGTAGCCAGGGCTAGATTCGACTTTTCTGACGCATCAAACAACTCGTCGTGATAATGGTAGACTTTGGAGATTAGGTCCCACGCCTTTTCAACCATGTCACTCACTGGCTGCCGAGATAGCTGAGAGACCATGAAAGCAAAAAGATCCAGCTGGAAGTGCATCTTGATATACCAGAGGAAGCCAATCCCTTCACATGCCTCGTACTCGCCGACTGACTGCTCGAATACCCTGACAGCAACTTGAAACAGCTTTTCAGCCGGTTTCAAAGGCTGAGAGGTCACGCTGCCTAGCTGTCCTGGAGGCATGGAGGCCATTATTTGTACTCTGCCGAGTATCTGGGATTTGACGTGGCCTGCCAGTTGGTAGACATTTGGATCCGATGGATCTGCAAATCGGTCCACGATATGGCTGAGCTTGCCTTCGACTTCCTTGCCCAGGCTTTGTAACTCGGCGAGTCGATCTGGTGCTTGAGGGAGGGCGCTGGTGATGTCGATCTCATGTTGGATCACACTGGCTTCGACGTTGGGTCTTTCGGCAAGAAACTTGCCCATGTTGTAAATCAAGAAAGAGACGGCCATCTCACTGGGACCATCTCGGTCCCGGAAATATGTCGTCGAGTCGGGATGCAGCTCTGAGTCGTTTAGGTTTGAAGGCATCTTGCAGTCGCCAATTGAGGGCAGCATGGATGGTCCTAGTCCTGATTTGAGGCCACAGCGGGCGTCCAACATGTAGATCCGCCACCATAGCCGGCGTCTGATTTCAGTCTCGAACGGAGGAAGTCCAAGAGCCTCGCCGTCTCGGTGGAGGCCCATCTTTTGTGCTATGCGGACACAGATGCCGCTGAATATCCAAGTGGCATGGGTGTCATGATGACCTTGGATAGAAAACTACCAAAGACTTGATTAACAATTGAAAAGAATTACACAAGGCTTGCCTCAAGCTTACCAAGTAAAGTGCCAGAGCCTGAAGCGTTGTTAAGCTGGCGGATCTGAGAAAGTTGGTCTGTCGAAGGCGCACTCGCAGAGCCTTGGCACAAGACTGAGAAACCTGTTTTTTATGTCGTCCCAGATACTCTAGGCACTCGTCATTTGAAAGGGTGAACAAAGCGGTGTTGTAGATGGAAAACAGTAGGGCTTGTGTCGTATCTGATAGACCGCTGCCAGATGTGCAAGCAGCTTCAACCACGTGGAGTTGTGTGGATGGCGCGTGGAGGATCTTGGTGACTGGGTGAACTCGATTTAGGAATATTTTCCAGAGATAAAAGATTTGACTGGGCAGAAAACGAAACTCATGGTCGGTATCGGAATCGGGTGATAGTCCATCGTCTAGGCTGTCGTCTGGTGATGGTGGTGATACTTTACTGTGATCCACGTCGACTAACTCGCGCATTGCTCCAAGCTATTCATAATGGTTAGCATCATTGCACTTCATGTCATCCCAAGCTCTAACTACCTCTTCGTGGAGAGCAGCCCACCTTGGGCTGTCGGTAAAGTTAACCACTCCATCTCCCAGCACAAGCTTCCCTGGTACTATTGGTTTGGGACCAACACTAGGCTCTTGAGAAGTAGAAGAAGAAGGAGGAGGAGGCGGTTGTTGATTGTGAGCTGCTTCGCATTCCGCAAGGAGCTTCTCACAATGGGTGAGTCTCGCCAACAGGTCGGGATTTGGGCCTCTTTTCTTTCGAGGGGGAGGGGGAGACCTTGGTCTGCAGAAAGCGCCGATCTGAACGACCTCAATCAGTCCCTGCTATAGTATATCGTGTGCTATGATTGGAAGTATGCTGGAATGTCGAACAAACCTTTACACAGTTGCTGCATGGGTATTGACGATCGCATCCAACTTTTCGGCGATGGCAGAGTGAGCAGACTGGTAGGCCCCCAGATAAAGATGAGAGCCCAGATGGGGCCGTAACTGTAATAGCAGGCGCCTCCATTGAATCCTGCAAGAAGTGGTCTGCTTATGCTCGAACAATCGAGGGCAAAGGGTGCGCCAAGGTAGTTGAACACAGGCGGATAATGGGGCAATATAAGTCCGACGATGGAGTTTCTGAACCAGCGAGAAGAGGCTTGATGACTGATGACGTGTCAAGGGGGCTTTGCTGTGACTAGGGTACTGACTGGCGGCCTCACCTCACTGTAACCGAGCTTTCAAGCCACAAGTCTGATAAGAGCTATCGAGGAACTACCCGTTGACACGTGTAGCGGGTAAATACTTCTTTTTACGCATTGATGGCCGTACGGCCATTAGCTCGGACTGGTATTTACACACTTGTGCGTGTTGGTGTGTTTACTGCGTGCAAAGGGAGCTTCTACGGCATGCAGAATGGCTTTTTTTTTTTTTTTTTTCAGTCCCAATATTGAGTTTTGCATTATTTAAGCTTGAAGCTTAAAAGTGCTGCTATTTTGAAGTACCCTGTTCAAACCTCAAGCACCTGCACTGAGCAAAACCTGCAATACCCAGCGTTCCAGCCAAAGCGATTGTCCAAAGCCGCCATCTATTAGTGATTCTACACAAAGCTCTAATGACATCCAGAGAAGAAATTAAATTGTTAAAAAGGCCGTAATCTCATGCACTTGACTCCATCTCCTGCAGCTGACGGTCAAGCTCTTGACTGAAGAAGGCCAATTGCTCACCACCCAACTCCGTGTCCAGGCGTCGCTCAACAATGGCACGAACCTGGCGTTTCGTGATGGTATCTAGATCTGCCTCCTGAAGAGTCCATTTGATCGAGGCCGAGATGACCTCGTTGCTCAGGCCCGGCCCGTCTCCACCAAGCCGGCTCAGGGTCCGAGGGGTTGTCAAACCCAGTCCGCTCTGTGTCCTGAGAGTATCTCTCTCCCTTCCAGGTTCATTGAAGCCAAACGAGGTTTTTGGTCTGTCGGGCTGTGGTGAATGGGATGTCACGCCCAAAGTCATCGTCGAGCGTCGATTCCATGACCCATGTTGGCCGTACCCGTCAACGCCAATAGCTGACTGGTTGCCCGGCATCACAGTAGACTGGGCGGGAAAGTAGGAGTTCCGGATGAACGAGGTGTCCGGCTCGGTGCCATAAACGGAATGTCGTGGAGTCTCTTGGTAGTATCGATTGGGGAGATTGTTGACCACAGCGTAATCGCTCCATCTCTGAAGTGGAATAGAAGCAGGATCAAAGCCTTCATCATCATCAACAGCAACAACCTGCTTGTCGCCCTTTTCACCAATGACAACTCGAGTATTCCCCCAAGAGAAATTGTCTTGGTTCCAGAAAGAATAAAGAGGGAGGAAGAAGGAATACACCGGCAATGCCATCAGGTAGATGATCATCCAGCCAATGTGCTGCCACTGCCTTTTCAGAAGGAACAGCAACGCCTGAAGGCCGTAGGTCGCCGCCAAGAGAATGATGGAGATCAAGGGAAACTGTCCCGTGTTGGTGATGACCCGGTACATTAGATATACCAGATACACACATGTCGCCGGAAAGATGATGGTTCCAAACAAGTCGGCAAAGACAACAACCCTCATGCTAAAGCAGCACACGCCACACATGTTTTCCAGACGCATGAGTTCAACCAAGTTGTGGATGGTCGAGTTGATCCATCTTCTTCGTTGAGAGAGCAACACTTTCCATGACTCGGGGGCGACGGTTTGGCATTGGGCTTCAGGGAGGAATTTGAGCCACATTCGAGGGAAATGTTTGATCATCAGCGTCGTCAAGTAACGATCTTCGCCGAGAGAGAGGAGGTTTTTGAGATGGAGGGTTTCAACGTCGCAGACAGAGTACTCTCGAAGGACAGCGTCTGAAATGATCAGAGGCTTCTTCCCGTCAAATGATCTCAATCGGTACATTGTAAAGCTAAAATCGTCAGCAGGGTTTCATGAAACGAGAACTTGGGAATGTACCATCCAGGCAAGCAGGTGACTGATCCAAACAAAGACTCAAAAGCCTTGGCCAAATGATGAGATATGAAATACTCATAGATCTGAATCATGGTCCACCAACTCTTCTCGTCATTCTCTAACCTCGTTTCTCCACAAATGCCAGCAATCTTTGTATTGTTTGCACACGCGGCAACAAGATGATTCAATGCATCTTCATGAACAGCCGTGTCGGCGTCGACCATGAGGAGAAACTCGTACAACCGCGGGTCAACACCGATAACGTCGTTGATGTGGTGAAACATGTCGAGTTCCAGCGGGTTCATGGGTGACTCATGGTATACCCTGTTCAGAAAGCTCAACAGAAGCATCTGGGAGTCTCGTTTTCCACGGTTGCCAGGCTTAGGACGTGTTTGCTCGGATTCCTTGCCGACCTTGGCGATGACGATGTATGGAACAATGTTTCCCTCGCATTCGTAAAGACCAGAGTACACCTTTGCGTAGTTCAGCTGATCGCTGCCTGATCCAATCGACTTGAACGCTCGGGCTGGTGGATCAAGTTTCGGGTCGCTGCCCAGAATCTCGAGAATCAGTTTCGAAGTCGGGCGATCGTTGCCCTGGCCCACGGCGATGCCATCGCAAATGACGCATATCAGCTTGCGTTTGTTGTCGTATTTCAGACAAGTCAAAGAATCGATGGCCCTCCGCAGAGACTCCTCATCTTCTGTGTAGGCAGGAATCTGACAGATGACAAACTTGTCCTGCATCGATGGACGACGCTTGGAGCCGAACCGGAGCGCTGCCAGGAATTTGGTGAGAATGATCGCACACACCATGACGGTGAAAGCGAGAAGTAGCCAGTTGTTGACCTGACACTTGGCACTCTCCCGAAAATCCGAGATACCTTTGTAACTGATGGCCTGGATGCAATTCCAACTCGCAACAACGTTGTCATGCTTGGTCTTGTTCTTTGTGTCTTCAAGCATGAGATCAAGCTCCTCCTTGATGTTTTTCCCAGGGTTGTCCTCCCAAAGCTTCGAAACCTGTTCATTCAAGAACTCGTACTTCTTGTCGTTCTTGTAAAGGCTCTGGGTGTAAAAGTAGTCCGTCAGGTCGTAAATCTTGTTGCCATACTTAGCCCACTGGCGTCCCTCCTCAGCTTCCGCCTTGAACTTGCTGTCAGAGTAAACCAGCTCGCCGTGGTAATACTCCTTGATGCCGGGTTCAAAGTTGGTCCAGTACCAATCATCTTTGTGTAGAGCGCTCGTCGAGTCAAGGCAGTAGTAGCCAGAGGTGTGCACTGCGGTCGTGTACTCAGCAGTAGTATTGGCCGTCAGGCGAGTTCTTTCAGATATACCAAGCCCCTTACAAGCCATGTTCAAGGGAGGAACAAAGTATTGATCCATGTCATATCCGGCAAGAGGCTGCATGTTGGTCGTGGTCGTCTCGATGGAGGTATCGCTGTGTTGGCGTTTCCAAAAGTCCGAGATGTCATAGACCTTGCCACGGATGCTGACCCAGAAATCGTCTTCTCCCTGATGCGTTGCGACCTCCTTGCGGTTCCAGGCTTTATCCGAATTTGGACAGAGAAGCTTGCCGAGACCAATCATCCAGAAGAGAATCAGCGCGTTGAGGAATATGATGATGGAGAACAAGGCCAACTTCTCGCGCCATGCTTGTCGAACATCGGGTCGACGCATGCGACCGAGATGGGTAAGGAGGGGTGATGGGATCCAGAAGGTGAGTGCCCAGACAAAGGCAACCCAGATTCGACGGCTCATGTCGACTTTCTTCGTTTCTATGCGTGTCGTTTTCGCAAGCTCGGGGTCTTTTGTCACAAGAATAGTATGCTCCTTGGGTGAATCGGCTTGCACCATCTCGATCAAAGACTCTTTCGTTTCGAGCTGACCCCCAGTCATGGGAGTAGTGCCTTCTCGGTCTGGGTAGGTTCCAAGCAAGAGGTGATCCCTACTCCCATATCCGCTCTGGTTGAGACTCAGGCCGGAAAAGACACTTCCAGGTCTTGGAGAGGTAAAGGGCTCGTTCCTGAATCCAAGCTGGCTCTGGCTCCCCTGCTGTCGAATGAGGGCAAGTTTCATGTCGAGCATGCCTTCAGCTTGCCACCAAGCTTCCTCACTCATCCACACACGGTCTTGACCGATAGCAAGGCTGGTATTGTGCCATCCCCTCTCAAGTGCCCAGTTGTTGACATCATCCTTGCTGGAGATATAACCATGAACGACCGAGTACCGCTGAATGAATTCGTCGATGTCGAAATCAACAGTGTATGCTGGGCTGATAAACGATCGGTTGGTCCAGTCTCGCAGACGCCATGATACCAGCTGCATGGATACGTCGCTCGGAGACCATGGTGGTGTCGGTAGAGGCGAGGCTGCTGAGTCGGATGAAGTGTTCGATCCGGGGTAGAGGCAGAGGTGGTACCAGATCCTGCTCGAATCCAGAACATCTCGCAAATCTAGTACATGTTGCTTGGGCTGGGTGCTCGTATCGGAAGGTAGAATAACCTTAAGAAAGCTGTCTTCTTCCGCCAAGAAAATGACATTGTCCAAGGGGTATTGTTGTCCCCCCTCACGCGTATCCTCGGCCAACTGTTTGTCGACCATGATCTTTTGGTACCATGGACTTCCTGCCATGGCTTGGCAAGCGTCTTTCCACACCAACGGATCAACCGAGGGTGTAGCGATACCGTCCTCGATCGCCTCGGCGTTGATGCCAAAGGACTCATCGAAATTCGTTTGCAGAGCAACAGCCCTTCCCAAAGAAGAGTCAGGTATATCCGCAATGATGATTCGAGTACTTTCATCGCCACTCGGCCCAACAGTCATGGGGCTCTCGGCACCGCGCCGTGAGTGGCTGATCTGAGCTGCGATGGCCTCATTGGCTTTGACAATGACCCAGTTGACAAGTGCCTCGTAGACCTTGCTCATGAATGCGCGGCGATCAGAATGAGAGAGGTTGATAAGCACCTCGGGTTCAACCCCAAACAGGATACTGGCCTCCTCGCAGGCTTCGACGGCATCATCATGAGGGGCATTTTGGTCGAGGGTGTTTCCGAGAGTCAGTAGACCCGCAAGGGTAGCAATGAGCTTACGGTGGGTGGATCCTTTGATGCCAATCTCTCTGATGGCTTGCCGGAAGTCGTCTGCCGCTGCGCCATCATCAGCTGCAGCAAGGTGTGCAGGTGGCCGATACGTTCCAGATGCGGCCAGAATAGAGTAGTGCGATGCCGGTTTGAGACTCAGAAAGTCCCTCTCAGCTTGTGTCGATACCGATGTAAGGAGGTAATAAAAGACATCAAAGGCACGATACCCGACTTCAGGGGCAATCCCCAAGAGACCACTGGTGATGTCAATGCCATCAGCTGGCATTGACAAGGAAGCGTTCGAAACTCGGCCATCCAGGCTCACATCCAGAGTCAAGGCGATTGAAGCATGTCGTGAAGTGAATGGGTTGTGGGGTGTGACGCAATGAAGAAAGGGTTGCAGGGCGCGAAGCGAGATCAGAATCGAGGACGGTATAGCGAAGGGCAGTGTGTCGAGAAATGAGATGAATAGCGAGGGAGTCGAAGGATGAAGAGACCTATCCCTGTCAATAATGCCTCCATTACTATTGCAAAACTTGGTACCTACTGCAACAGAACACAATTATTCTCAAGCCGACGTCGAGCATGCTCCCATACTTTCTCGCCTAGCGAGGTATCAACGATCGGCGTCACTTGGGTCGAGGTATGCCAAGCGTTGGCAACAACGCTAGTTCGAGCATCGAGTTGGTAGGGTTTGGAATGAAGGTACGAGGTATGGATGGCGTTCAAGAGCGTGACGTTTGTGCTATGTATCGATCGAGGACGAGGAGAGACGTGGCCGAGGTTTGGCATATTCGTACTTCCCTTGCCTCAAGATCAGGATCGAAGTGAACGAGGGTCCAGAAGTAGAGAAAGAGCGAAAAATATACGAAAATTAGAGCAACCAATAACAGAGCAGGTAATTAACAAGTCGGTACTTTTGCGAGTGAAGGTCGAAGTTGGCTAAATTGAACGAGAGCTGACAAACAGACAAACTCCATGAGAGCCGCATTATCTTATACCAAGCTCAAAAATCCAATTATCAATCATAACAAGTCCACGCAATCCATATTCGTATTATTAGAATGTATCAGGCCAGGCTTACAGAGCATACGAAGCCCAACAACCGTAGCAACTCGTCAACATCACCAGTAACCAATCATCAGAAACCGCGGACCGCTGAATCATCGGTAAGCCTGCCCAGAGCGAATCAATGGCCTTGTTCGATTTCCCAAACTTCCAGCGAGGATCCGCTTTGTCAGCGGACACATCGGCAAGTGGGCGTCCACGCCACCCCTCCCGTATTCATCGCCAAGATGGTTAGCTAGCGCACACCATTTTAAGCTTGAACCCTTGCTCACTACATCTCATTGGCTTGTGGTGATAAGTCAGCGGAGATTGAAGAAACCCAAGTGCCGGGTTCATCTGGTCTTGTACGCGGGCCCGTCTCCTTGGACATATCCGCTCGAACTCCCCCCCTTCCACTTTGTTCTTGCGTGTCACCCCATATCTTTGTTTTCACAGTCCGACTTCCCGTCTCTTCTCCTGAAGAGGCCGCCTTTTCAGCTCAGATCTCTTGAAAGTCAATATTCGACTCCACATTGTTGGTGATCGATCGATCGACCCCTGTCCGTCAACATGGCTGGAAAATGGGCCTGTGATGGGTGCCACAAAAGAAAGGTATGAGGCCCGATATCCTTTATGCAGATTGCCTTTGATATACCCCACTCGTTTAATCTTTGCACATCTCGGCACTTCCCTCTGATGCGCATGGAGCTACTGTAGAATCTCCCCGTAGCCGGTCCAGCTCGCTAATACCCCTTCCTATACCAGATCCAATGTGACCGGACGTCACCAAGGACTCCCTGTGACTGGTGCGAGCATCATAACCTTCTATGCACCTTCTCCAGGGCTAGGAGAGGAAAGACACGGATGCTTGCCAGGTAACTATACCTACACCCCGTGCACTATTGAAACATTGCATTCTGATGTGTTTCATCAAGCCGTAATGTCCAATCTCGAACTGCTCCGATACCTACTGCCACCCTTCCTAGCAACGGTCCCCCAGCCCTTGTACCCAACGAGCAGCTAAATAGTCTCGACGCCACCATATTTCCCATTATCCAACAAGACACTACATGGCAGGGCAACGTGCCTTATCGAGACATTCTCACAACGAGCCACGAGCAACCGCCCATCAGTTCTGAGCATGCCTTGCCACGTCCCAAAACCCGCGCACCCCGGACAGTCATCAAACCTTTTGGGCAGCTCTATTATGGCGGTTGCCATCTTGGACAAATAAGTCTTGACAAAGGCATACCGCAGTTCTCCGAGGAAGGCCGTAGGTGGATCTTTTCCAAGGCTGGTGACAACTTCAAGACAGAAACACTCCACCGACCATCAGCTCTCCATAGCCCCGTTGCACTGTCCCAGGGGTTTTCGGGGGCTTCCCTACTTCCGTCTCGACACACAACCCACCAAGTCATTGCCACATACCTGAATTCTACATTCAAGTTTGCCTTTCCCTTCCTCGATGGCACACTATTCAGTGAGACCATTGTTCTGGCCTATGAGGGTCTGAACGTTACAGCAACACTCGAACATCTCAGTGCCAGGTGCTGTTTTCTGGCCTTTCTTTCCATTATTGATTGTTTTAGAGGACCGAATGACTTTCCGGATATTGACCCTGAGGCATGCTCAATGGAAGCGCAGCATCTACTCACAGAGGTACTGCTAGATACGAACCTGATGGGCATACAAACTGTGCTGATGCTGGTACGTCATGACCTGAACCATTATAGGTATTCGACTAAATATTTACCGTCTAGCAACTGCACGAAGCCCACCTGGGCCGACTACCGACCGCTGCTATCCTCAATGGGGTTGCCTGCAAAATGGTCATAACACTTGGGGGTAACGTTGATGTTCCCAGCCTGCCTGAACATGGCGAAGCTTCCCGAGAAGATCGTGAGAGATGCCATCTCCGAGCACTCTTCTGGATTTGTTACCTCTTTGACAAAGAGATTGCCCTAAGAAGTGGCCAGCCACCATTTCTGACGGACTCATACTGCGATCTTACACCACCAGACAGAGGCATGACTCATTTCTTTGCCGATGGCACAGGCGAGGGTCTCTTCCCATATCTCTTTGGAGACATAGGCTTGAGTCTCCTCAAGGGAAAGGCAAACCACCAGCTTTACTCGGTCCACGCAAGCCGGAAACCAGATGCCGAACTCCTACGCGACATCCGCGAGCTTGATGAACAACTCGAGGAATGGCGATCTTCTATGCCATCGCATATTCGTCCCTCACTTTCCATGTCTCGATCATCACTCCCGTCACTCCAAGACACCGATATGTCGCATAGAATGCATACGATACTTGTCCACCTGGAGTACTTCTACCTACTCATCACCATTCATCATGCTAGTGGACGATGCACCACGATGAGCCCCATGCAGGTGGATACGGAAGGATCTAGTGCTGCTGCTCTCGACTCTAGTCTTGCTCTCTGCCTGGAAGCAAGCCGTTCTACTATTGTTTATCTGAAAGCCACAATTTCCTGCTTGGCGACTGAAACCTTCTGGTTAGTTCCACATTCTGGTTGGAAAGAGGCTCCCCAAAGATGGCCATCATCTTTGTGGAGGCCTTTATTCTGTTCCCCCTAGAACTTCGTTTACTAACAAGTTGCCACCAGGATCGTCCAATTCTACCCCACAGTTGCGATCATCACGCTATTCCTCAACATTCTTATGAACCCCCTCGATAGCCAAGCTCAGAAAGACTTGGAACTTCTGGCTTCAGCTGCAGACATCTTTCGTCTGATGCCGGCGCGCCAATACACGCCTCAACGACTTGACCAAGTTCAGATACTCGAGAGTTTTGTGATTGAACTCGCTCGACTGGGGCGTTGCGCTGTATATAAAAAGGAAGCAGAGATTGGAGCAAGATGAGGATTTTATTTGTTTACTATGATACCAGTAATTTGCTTCTCTGCTGCCACAATCGGTCTGTGGGAAGAGAAGTCGTTGGACACTCTTGGTTGCGGTGTTGGTATCATTGGGTCTTACGCCCATATGAAACAAGCGCAAAGATTCTTCTTTTTCCGTAGTATATCCTATTGTACATTGGATTTGTTCATTCACTAGACGCCAGCCCACTTCTTGCTCTTTTCCCACAGTTCTTCCTCCTTGACCTTGTCTTGAGACCAACTTGCGTAGCCATACTCGACAGCATCCGAACCAGGAGGACAAGGTCCTGACCTAGAAGCTCCCTCTAGATACAAACCTCCTTGACCTTCTATCTCACTCGAGACAGCACCATAGATAGTTGTCGCACAAGCCTGATCCTGAGACATCATGTACTTCTTCAGTCTGTCATCTCCCTGGCTAAGTGCCTCTGTCTCAGCCTTGGAGAACTTTTGCAGGTTCGGGCTTATGAAAGCACCTGGGTGGAGTGTGTAGGCGTGAAGGCCTTGGGCACCGTACAGACGCTCAATTTGATTCGTCATGTGAATGTTGGCCACCTTGCTCGAGGCGTAAGCCATCCAGCCATTGTATTCGCCATTGTCAAAGTTGATATTGTCGAGTCGGCAGGGTCCATAGCGATGAGCAGCTGATGAGACCGTCACAACCCGTGAGTGAAATGTGGGTGACGAGCTGGCCAAGAGCAAGTCCTTGAGTAGGTAGAAGAGCAGAAAGTGCGAGAGGTAGTTTGTCTGAAACTGCAACTCAAATCCATCCATGGTCTTTTCGTATGGTGTATTCATGACGGCCGCGTTGTTGATAATAACGTTTAGCCTGCCTCTGCTCTTCTCGCGAATGCTATCGGCACAGGTACGAACTGTGGCGAGGTCGGCTTGGTCCATGTGCATCAGATGGATTCGGTCTCCGTGGCTTTCGAGTAGATGGCCAAGTGCCTGCTTGGCCTTATCGATGTTACGAGCCGTTCCAAAGACAGTAGCCCCAGTGGACGCGATTGCTTCAATGGTCTTGATGCCGATTCCAGCAGAGATACCAGTGATGAGGACGACTTTGTCACTCCACGCACCCTCGAGGGCCTCGTCTTTGATGATTTGTATGCCAGTTATACGCGAATCTCCAGGCCCGTCGAGGTTCTCCCATCGGTTGCGGTCAGCATAACGGCCGACTAGTTGAAAGGGTTCGTGTGAAACCATGGACATTTTGGGTGATAAGAGTGTTGTATCTTGATAAGCAACGAGCAATTGATGTTTTGACGAACGCGCAAGGGCAAAGATGGGGAGTGAATCGTCTAGCCTGCCTAAACTAAAGCGGCTGAACCTTAAATATATAGAATCTTTGAATATCCAACAACGTTTATCTCGGCAGTTCCCTTACACGGGCATAGGAGTTAAGCATCCAAGGAGTTAAGGGCATAGCTCCGAACCAACATTGTTGGCAAAACACAACTAATAACTCAAACAATCCGAAAGCCACTTGGTAAAATGATGAAACAGGCACTGATATTCTAAAATTCGATTGTAATCTAGTAATCCCTAGACTATGATCAAATATCCGTCAATTGAGGCTGACGATCCCGGATCTGGCTCTAGGTGGTACAGGGTAGTCGGATTACTGGCCGAGGTCTAATCATGTCCCACATTTATTAAACTTTGGTCGTAACACGACCTCGGGATTGACCTGGCCACGGTATTCTATTTCTCCGCCGGAATATTTCTGTTTGTTTCACTATGGTTACACCCATGCCCTTGAACTTTCTAAAAATGTGTTTCTCGGAATCTAGATGCCGAAAAGGAACATCCGTCCTGGGCTTAGTGCCGGAACTCATCCTTGTTTCATGTATGATACGCTGTTTGATGGCTACCTGAGGTCGAATGATCAAGGGGAGAATAGTCTGTCTCATGTAAATCAATACGAAAAATATCTTTTACATCGTACATATAAATACGAGCAGTCCGCACTGCATTTTCCTCATCTTTCCTCTTGGCATCCGCACATGCCAGCTTCGTTCATACGACGCGCAAGTTCTCTCTCGAAATGCTCCCCAAAGCCATCTTGTCCCTATCTTGGGCCCTCAGTGTCGCTGCTCAGTGCACTCTCCCATCTACCTATCGCTGGACCTCGACTGGTGTGCTAGCCAATCCAAAGTCAGGCCTAGTCGCACTCAAGGACTTTACCCACGCGCCATATAACGGAAAACACCTTGTCTACGCGTCCACTCACGACACAGGGACGAAATATGGCTCGATGAATTTCGACCTCTTCTCGGACTGGTCCAGCATGGCCTCCGCCAAGCAGAACACGATGAGCTTCTCTGCCGTTGCACCCTCACTCTTTTACTTTCGACCCAAGGATGTCTGGGTGCTGGCTTACCAATGGGGCCCAACTACTTTTTCATATCGCACGTCCAAGGATCCCGCCAACGTCAATAGCTGGTCGTCGGTCCAGCCGCTCTTCACTGGGACATGGTCTGACGGCGGTACCGGACCTATTGATCAGGCTGTTATTGGCGATAGTAAGAACATGTACCTGTTCTTCGCCGGCGACAACGGCAAAATCTACCGTGCCAGCATGCCCATCGGGAACTTTCCCGGCAGTTTTGGCTCATCATACCAGGTAGTCATGAGCGACACACGCAACAATCTCTTTGAAGCCGTTCAAGTGTACAAGGTCAAAGGCCAGAACCAGTACCTTATGATCGTGGAGGCCATTGGAGCAAACGGCCGCTACTTCCGCTCATTCACGACCGACAACCTCGGAGGTTCATGGAAACCGCAGGCTACGAGTGAGAGCAGTCCTTTTGCAGGCAAGGCCAACAGCGGCGCCAAGTGGACAAACGATATCAGTCACGGTGAGCTGATTCGCAGTGACCCTGATCAGACAATGACGATTGATGCTTGCAACTTGCAATTTCTGTATCAGGGACGTGATCCTGCTTCAGGCGGAACCTACGATCTTTTGCCTTATAAGCCTGGTTTGCTGACTCTTCAGCGATAAGTCTACGGCGATGTATGAGATGTATGTCTCTGAGTGTCGGTGAGGTTTTCATGCATGTATATCTTCAAAAACCATATGTATATATAGGGTTCTCAAACGCCCAAACTGAAGTAACATGTAAATATTCTATTCTGATTATTCTTTCCTCTGCTCAAGCGGAAAGTTTGTGTCTGCGTAAGTAGGCATTGGAGAATAGTAGGGCATGGGTTGATTGTGCCCTGTCTGCTGAATCGGAATGTTCGGGTCTGCGTAAGTAGGTACTTGAGAGTAGTACGCAACGGGTTGATTACCCGCCATCCATTGTTGTTGAGCCAAGAACCCATCCGAAGGTCGATCTTGAAGGACAACTGCCCTACCAGCCACTGCGATAAAGTCCCCATTATTTCCTGACAGGAGTTCGACATTTTGCGGGTTCTGCACGTAACCAGACCTCTTGCCGCTCCGCTCCAACGTGGTATGCATCACGCTTGCTAAGAAGGTGTTGGACCAGTATGCGTCGGCAAGGAAAGATAAAGCAAGCCATGCGACGCCTGCGAGAACCGCTGCGAGGGCGCTGAGAAGGAGTTGTAGGCCAGACATGGCGACCATCAACTTTTGTACATTAATTGTAACCGAGGATGGATCAATGCTGACCATGTAGGCTCTTGCAACGAGGAGGTTTTCCAGTGTGGCCGATGTGTTCTCGGTCCAGGACAACACGTCCTCATTGAGGGACTCTGAGCTGACGTTGGAACGACCGTTTCCAAGGCCGTATGCTATAAGAACAGCAGCAGTGTCGACTTGGCCAAAGAATTTGTTGGTTTCATCGTCGGATGTGGATGCCGCACAATCAGTCTGTGTAACCTTTCCGCCAAAAGCCTCATTCTGAAACGATCCCTGGTCGCACTTCTCTAGTGCTGATGGTGCTTTATCAAGGGTTTCGGATCTTATCAGAGTGATGTTGGTTGAGGTGATGCTGACGAGGGAGTAAACGCTTTTGTCGTTCGAGCCGACGGCAGTTAGGTAACCCCAGTTGGATTGAAGCGCCGTGAGGTTTGAGTTAACAACCGTGTTGGCTCCGAATTGGAAACTGAGGTCTTCATCTTGTGCTCTCATCATGCCACCCACAATCTTGTCGATTAGGGGATCCTTTCTCTCAGTCTCGTTGGTACTCCAGGTCCGCCGTACCAGATTGTCCACGTCCTTTTCGGCAAATGGAATACCAGGACTCGTCAATATTGTGACGCGAAGGACAGACTCGACAAAGGTATGCCGCCTCGTTCCTTTAGTAACACTAAAGACCTGCATCATTACCGCAGATCCGCCGCCAGCTCCAAAAGAAGCCCAGATGTTGTCAATCCTGTTGGGTTTGACGTATCTCGAATCCAGTTTCAAATCTGACGCGTCGTCCCAGTGTACCTCGGGGAGCCCTACAACTGTGTTTATGATCGACACTGAGAAGGTATTGTTGAAGGTGCAGTTCCAGGCCGCGGAGCCTCCTCTAAATAATGTACAACTGGGGAAAGCTTGGCCGTCGATGGTGGAGGTCTCAGGTAGCATGGCGTAACTATCTGGCGAAACCGAGAAGCCAGTATCGTCAAGCCAGATGCGCGCCCCAACGTCGTCTTGTCGCGTTGGTGTTGTAATCTCGGGAGTTCCTCTTCTGACGTCGCCAGTCAAGGTGTAGTTAAGTCCGGGTTGGAAAAGTTCTGATCCTACGACTTGGGAAAGAGTCGCATTTGTTTCGTCAAGGCTGTCGGGATCAAGATGCAACTGAACGATATAGGGGGGGTTCTTGATGCTTAGGTGTGCATATTCGGCGGCCGTGGTATCGGATTGTCGAAAGATGTAGCCTGGAGAGTCAAGTGCCCAGAGCAAGGTCCCGTAGAGAGAGGCAGCCACATTGAGAAGACTAAAGCCGAGGACGAGGAGAGTGGCGCGCGAGAAGCCACGCGAAGACAGAAAAAGCAAGCGTTGTACATAGTCCTCGGCAAACATGAGATATGCCGTGAACTGACGAGAGCGGGCGGCAAAGAGGGAAAAGAGTTTCCATATAAACAAAGCCATGAGAATTTCGGCGCACTTAAAGATTAGCGATTTGACCGCATTGTGAAGCAGGGGAATCGACGATGCGATAAACGAGGATGATGATTCTATCATGGGAACGGCGTCACGGCACAACGGCCGAAAAGTTGTGAATATTAAAGGTCGAAAGCCCGGCATGTTTCAGCGCGAGCCAAGCCCCTCCTTTATGTATGGCGTTTACTCAATCCCAAAGTGTATTAACTCCCAATGCCTGCCTGCGGCTGTGTCCAGGGTGCATGAAGCTATTCGCGCGCCATGCCCCAAGCAAGCTAGCTGCAGCGCGTATTCGGCAGGCAGAGGTTGTTGCAGGGGTCTTGGTAGACAGTAGACTGAGGCCGGGCGCTTTTTTAAGGGCATTGCATGCATTTCAACCAGGGTTGTCTTACGGATTGTAGTATTTAATTGGTTCGCGTTGGCGATGGCTGCCACACTGTCTCAGTGCTCCGACGGAGTTTCCTTTCACTCTGTTAGATCCAACTTTGTTTTTACTATATTATAAGCTTCAAAGGCAATTTGGACGGTTTCAAATAGTCAGGAATATCCTCGTTTCTCGACCTTGCAATTCTGCTGACCTCCTACTCCGCGCTGGGGCGGACAAACAAGCGGCCCTCCACCTTGTTCTTCTTAATATCCTCCAACCCCTTTGCCACATCCTTGAATGGTATTTCGGTCAACTTCGGTGTCAATTTACCCGAAGCAATCAGATTCAACACCTCCAACAACTCTTCCTTTGCTGCGCCAAATGACCCCCTCAAATTGATACTCTTTGTCACCAACAACATAGATGAGACTTCCACGTTTCCACCATTGAGTCCAACCATGACAACTGTTCCACCCTTTTTAACTGACGAGACAGCGGCGGAAATGGTTGGCGTGAGTCCGACAAAGTCGATGACGGCGTCAAAAACGACGTCGGGGAAACTGCCGAGTGTTGAGGCACACGCGACAGCGCCTAGGCGTTTCGCATCTTCGTATTTGTCCTCGTTGATGTCGATTCCGTAGACCTTGGCACCCTGAAGCACTGAAATTGCGACTGCGTTAAGACCGAGGCCGCCGACTCCAATGATTGCAACCGTTGACGACTTTGTAACTCCGGCGGTCACCATTGTAGCGTGATACGCCGTCGAAATTGAATCCGTGGCCACGGCTGCTTGAGGGAATGACACACCGTCTGGAATCTTGACCAGGTGCTCATAATGAGCAATCGCAAATTCGCCGTAGCCCCCGTCGTAGCCGAGTCCAATCGTCGTGGCTCGGGTTGCTTTCTCGACAGGATGAGCTACCAGAGCTACAACTACGCGATCACCGACTTGGACCGGAGACGGCTCTGATCCAACTTTGACGACAGTCCCGGCTACTTCGTGTCCAAGCGTGATGGGAAGGGAGCCCAGCATTGCAATGCCGTGTCCGTCGACATAGTGGGCGTCGGTGTGACAAAGGCCGGCGGCCTTGACAGAGATCAGGGCCTGGCCTTGTCCCGGCTCAGGAACAGGAACGTTTCGAAGTTGAAATGAAGAATCTGGACCGCCGTATTGGAATGCCTGCATGATGGATGTGTTGTATGTGGTAAAATAGATATGTTTGGTGAAGAGGAGAAGACGACCAGACGTTTGCTCTTAAATATATCTCCCAAGATCTCCTCAAGGGCTAGCTCTCTTTATTCTCCCAGTCTGGAACCAACGTGGGTTATCGTATCAGGCTTCTAGTCGGAACAGTCGGCAATCTTTCTAGATGGGATATTGTAATCGGACCGAGCAATCTTTCGATTCTTCAAACATGGAGTTGCAACGAAGACCGACTCCGAAACAACAATGCGGCTCCTTGATGCAGGTGACGTTGGCTGCGGGTGACGTTATGTGCATAAGGCACGTGACGTAGGTATGATCTACGGAAACTTCCATTAAGGTTAATGTGCCGAGGTTGATTCACGCCTCGGCGATGCTAGGGTCAATTTTGTTGAGATTTGTGGACTGGGGTCCTCCCCAGAATATTCAGAATCCACTCTGAAGAATACAAGTCTATAACTCGAATCTATGATATTCTGTCTCTCTAAATGTGGATTACAAGAGCCAATTTGAGGTCCATGTCTAACTCATACATTCCTCCTTGCGCCCATAGACCACCACCGAGCACTTATCTTCCACTCATCCCCATCTCTCCCGTCAGTAAGATGCTCCCACTTCTCCAAAAACCACGGAGCTGCTTCCCAGTTCTGGGCATCCCAAGGTGCTGCCGAAGGAAACGAGTTGCCGTCAGCAAAGCCCCAGCATCGAAGACCGTCATTGAGCAAGTCGAGACAGAAGTCTTCTCTGTCAATTGACGGGGGATCTGAGTGGACCGCAGCAATGACTTTGGAACGAAAGCCTGGCCATGGGATTGTGTCTAATGTTGGATGATGATGGATAGTGAGCTGTGCGTCTGTGGGCACAAGGTCAGGCTGTATACCCTTTAGATGATCTCCAAACGCCAGTCGTATTTGAGCGGCCTGATCGGCATCCTCCGAGCTCTCCCTTTGTACGAGTTGCTCTCTTAGACGAGAAAAAGGTGATTCGGATTCAAAAGATATGAGGTCGTACCACGGGATTCCCAGGTGGAGTGCATTCATGAACACGGCGGACACGAATGAAACTCGACATAGGAGGATGTAATCTGCGACCTGACCCCGAAGAGGAGATGCAACTATCTCGTGAATCCTGGAATTACGTCCCGAAGGTATGTTTAACTTTCCGAGGACGCTTATGCCAGCTTTGATGGCTTCTCCAAAATCAAAGTCGCCTAGACTCTGCTGAAGGTCCTGTAGCCATTGGCTCATCGGAACATGCATAGCGTTGTTGTAGAGTGATGAGCTCACGGGGTATCCCAAGAAGATGAGGCCATATTTGATAATGTCCCGGATGCCGAATAGCTCTTTGGTCATTAACAAGAAAAAAGTACGACGTTCCCTCTCGGGGTAGGAACCGATACAGGAGAAGAAGTCGGTGGCGGTAAATCCTCGTGTGATGCCTAGAGGGTGGAAGCCCGTGTCGGCCGAGGTAGAAGAGATGGTTCTTCTTGTCAACTGGGTTGATCCGAGATTCTGCTGCGAGGCTGGTTGCGCATATGCTACGCCATAATCATGCGTGCATGAGACTTCCAGGGAAGATGGCAAGAGGATACGAGAGACAGCGAAACGTTCCAGTACCCTTCTTCTTTCCCTCTGCCGTGCGCCTATTGTCCTCAAGGATTAGTCGTGTGCACGAGATGAAGCAGCTAATGAAACATACGATAATTCCGCTGAGCCAGGGCATTCTGCCGCCTCCTCCGCTGTGATGTTTTGTCTGGTGAAGATTCGCAGGTCATCGGAGAATTGATTGGAGAGAAACTTTTGCTTGCAGTGGATTTCAATAGTCTGGTTGTATCCCCTGCGTGTTTGTTGATCTTGGCAAAAACGAAACACCTAGCGGGTGCATGGTGGGAGTGGTTGATGGTGTGATGGAAGACCACCACGTAACCCAGCTTTCACGGACTCGGGAATAGTCTCGGACCGGGGCATTAATCATGCCTCGGCTCTTTTCATGTGAACTGGGGAAATCATATCCACGAGATTGCGCGCGGTGGGTTGATTAAACTGGGACTGCTCAATCAGACCACCGCCTCATGCAAGCAACGTCAGCAAATCACGAGTTTCATAAGACGAGGTCTATGCGGTCAACATGAGAAACAGCATCGACTCGGGGACTCGGGGCTTGCCTGAGAGAACTTGTTCAGTCGTAGTAAATCACTATTTAAGAAAGCCAACAATCCCTTTGCTGGATTTTGGATAGTCAATACATTCCATGCCTTGACAGTGGCGCCATCACACTCTAAACCAACCGCACATCCTTCTCACACACCACTTCTCAGATTTACAATTACATAAATAAACGCACAGCAGCCATGCCTTTCGGGACGTTGAACTTGAATGGCGAATCATTGCCAACCTTTGCTCCGGCATATTCCAGGGCAAAGGGGGTCTTCACCAACACCACCGCAGTCGGCATTACCTATCGAGTTGCCGCATCTCAAGTCGCCCCTCTCGTCCCAGATGTCCTCGAATTGGAAGAAGAGCCACTTATGACGTCTTTATTCCTAAGCTACGGAATGAGCCCTGTCGGAGCCTACACCGAATACGCTCATCAGGTCGAGGTCACCTACAAGGGCGAAAAGTTTCATTATAATCTTCTCTTCGTTCTCGACAACGATGCCGCCATATTTGCTGGACGCGAGCTCCTTGGCTTCCCCAAGGTTCACGGAAAGACTGTCATTGAGCAATTCACTGGTACCCGACTCGTCAGCGGCGGCACGGAACGACCCATGGGACGAAAGATGGTCGAGTTTGAATTCGTCCCAGAACAGCTGGTTACTAGCGCGCCTCAGCCAGACAGATGGATGCTCAATCTTCGCAGTATCCCCTCACCATATGTCGGACAGCCCCCCTCAGTTCAGGAGTTCATCCCCTGCGGCTTGGGTATGAAGTGCAATGAGATTTGGTTGGGAAAGGGACACATCAGCTTTCCGAAGAGGTCAATCTCTGATCCTTGGGTCAACTTGGATGTTTTGAGATATGAGGGAAGTTTCTTGGCTAGAAATGCTACAGCTGAGCTTTTGCTTCGAGATAAAATCACTCTGTAAGGTAGCTGTGGAGATTAGAATGACTGTATGCTAGTTTGTCGTTATTGTTAGCTTTCTGCAACACTGTTGCGCGCAATGCCTTCTGATATATTCCGGAAACTGTTTGCAACTCAACCCGTAAAGACTCCTGCTACTATTCAGTTAATGACCTGTTCCAATGGGCTCAGTGTTTCAATTATTCAACCAGTGCGGTGCCCTCTGATCAACATGGTAGAGTCATGGCGTAAAAAAACACGATGCTATGTCTAACACGGTGGGGAGGCGAGAATAGTCCATACGTCCTCATTGCTGATGGACTACCCATAAACGTGACTGAAAGCCTGCAATTTACCCTCAACCAGTTTTGAAATATTCATCGTGACAGGCTCTGTAGGTCATTGATACGACGGCAGTGAGGAGCCACGAGCATCACACAAACTGCATACCGGGCTTTAGACCAGTTAGTATCTCTAGGAGACCTGGGCGTTTCAATGCAAACGGGACAAGATGTTCAGCCTGGATGGGAGACGAGGCTAAGATTCTAGCACCAGGATTCTTGAGAAGTCCTAATTAGGTTTCTCTCAATAAGGATGCCCTAGCGAAGTAGATTTCTGCTGGCACCCCGCCATTACTCTACGTGTGGGCGTGTAGTGCTAAGTTGAGAGAAAGCAAAACTAAGCAGGAGCTGCATAGTGGCCTCTCTTGAGTTACCTTCCTGGCTCCAGACGCTTATGCCAAGACCAAGGCAGGTTTGTAAGCCAAGTTGCTGCGCCATCACTCGGCCTCCTCGGACCCGAAAAGATCTGAGGTTGAAAGCAATTGGTAAGATTTATAGCCAGACCCATATTTGAATTGCCTATTCTGGGGCGTCCTGACAAGGAGTGATATTACGTTCATGCACTGGCACGGATAGACTGGGATGGCATTTGTGAATGGTCTGACCAGCTGCCCGTCAAAAGAGGTGTATTCGAAGCACCAGAACGGGAAAAGCAACGTGATCATAAGAATTGAATGTCTCAAACTAACTTGCGACCAAGATTAAGAGTCCTGCATATCCTCTTGTGGCAGTCAACGCTCAACCAACTCGGACGGCCGTGCAGGGTTGTTCAATGATAGGGTGTTGGTCACTCCACTTGAATGGGGCCACTCGACTGCCGTGGCTGAGTTGATGCCGATCCAGTCCTACTAAGAAATTTAAGGACTCTGGCAGGGAACAGACGGGTAGGCTAGCATGGGGCTTAGACATTGATAGAGGAATCAGCCTGGTAGTCTATCACGGCACTCTGTACCTTCGGGAAGGGTACCCGTCTATCATAATGTGCGAACACGGACCGAGTTTCAAGTTGATCATGATCAAGCCCGGGGTTAACTTCTTTCGTGGATTGGTGCTAGGGTTAACTGATGTCATCTCAATGGTTAAGATACGTCAACACTCATGGATGAATGCCGAAAACGCGAATTCAACTGCTTTTCCTATCCTACCTCGACCCTAACTATAGACTGAACCGCTGACCTTCCTTCTAGGGCTGAGGTTTCAATAAACATGGGGAAGCGAATCCTTCTGGATCCTTCCGCGTGTCACCAAAGTCCTTAATTCCCCGATCAGAACGTGCACCCGTAGGGAACTCGATCCTTTGTGGGCATATCGTCAGCGAACGGTTCGGTTCATCTCGTTAACCGACCAAAGCGTAAGCTGCCAAGATCTATGCTTAGTATTGATACTATTATGGGCTGCCGATATGCCGATTATGGAGTTGTGGTTGTAATTGTATATAAATGCAGCCTTGTTCGTGTAACTGCTTCCGTATCATCTAGAAGTCAACACAGACCTCAAAGTTTTAACATCGGGCTACCTATTCAATACCCAGCTTCATCTTGTCTTGGAGCCAGACCTTCACAATGAAGTCCACTTCCGCTCTTTTGGCTCTTGCTGCGTCGACAAGTGCCTCGCCGCTTGTCTCCAAGCGACAGGATGTCTTGGATAGCAAAGAGACACTCTGTAAGGGCTGGGACCTGAGAACTCCAGAAGGTGCCGATGACCTCTGGGAAAAGACAGCTGCGGGTGTATCTCTTGAGCTGTTCATCAAGACTCATTGGGGTAAGTGTCCAATCCTTGATACACTTACGTATAACACCAAGCTCGGCACTAACTTGCCGCAGAGCATGAAAAGTCATGGGTAAAGAACATGGAAGGCCAAGTCCGGGGCGGCGCTTCAGGCAAATCCGGCGCTGATGGATGCGCCGCCCTCGGCAACGACTGCGACCCCATGGACGGCCTGAGCTGCGAAGACCAGTTTGACCGGTTCGGCACGACGCCCCTGGGTAAGAACTCGTACTGGATCTTCCAGGCCGTCAAGGGTATGCACGAAAAGTTCCGCGAGCTGGACCGCCAGTTCACTCAAGAGACGCTCATCAGCGGGTTGAGGATTCCTCAGATGGTTCAGGACTTTGACGGGTCTGAGGATAACCCGAGTCAGGTCCGGGGTTGGATTGCTGCTGCTGCTACTATTGGAAATGCAGTTGGAGGTCTTGTGCCCGGTGTTGTAAGTTTATCATTCTGCATTCACAGCAATTGACTAACACGACCAGGGCTCTGGAATCTCTGCCGGCTTCGGTATCTTGGCTGGCATCTTCTCCGCCCTCTCCCTAACCGGCGACGAGGTCGACCAAGGCACCATCTCAAGCGCCCTCGCCGACGCCTTTGAGGCAGCCACAACATCCCTCGAAGATACCCTCCGCATCGCCACGGGTGGAGGCCGCAGCGAAGAGGAGTACAACTCCCTCCCAGCCCCCAAGTTTGACACGTTCGAGACCAAGATTGCCAAGTTCTTCAACGGCGGTTGGTTCCTTGTCGATGACGACGAAGAAGCAGTCCGCGTGACTATCGAGTCCATCACAAACAACATTCAGAAAAAGGTAGCCAGCGATGTCATGAAGGCAGCCAGGTACCACCTCGTTGCTGACAAGCGTGACAATGTGCGTACCCGTGAGGACTGTGGTTTCGCTTCTGGTCGACAGTGGCTTGAGCTCAAGGACGGAGAGGAATACTGCTTTTACATCATGAAGAACAACCCGAACCCCAACCGCGAGAATGAGTGGGTCGAGGCCGGCGCCGATATCTACGACAAGATGGCTTCGTACGGACTTGGTGACCGGGAGCCATTCTACCGCGCCATCATTGACTGCGGGCTTAACGGAGGAGACAGCAAGGAGATCGATCTGAGCAACTTGGCTTGGGGTCAGGTCCCAACGTGCTACTTTAACCTGCCGGCTGTGTTTATCGAGAAGGACAATGAGGTTGGATGCGGAAGTCCTTTTGACAACGCCAAGTGCGACTACCTCAAGTCGACGCCTATTTCATAAAGTCTGTATAATTCTTGTTCTTGGATAGAATCTTCTTTTTCTTATCTCGGAGTTTGCAGCTAAACTCCGTCTTCTTGTGTATCTAGAGCAGCAATTTCATCCTGTTTCGCGATTGATCCTTGTTTTTTGCATGCTTACGCGCAACTGAACCATGTTCGTAAGTGGCTTATCGGAGGATTCGTATAAATATCACTGTAGAGGGCGACGTCAGCATTCCTCTCTTAGCCACTGCAACTCAACCCCGCACAACACAAACACCAGCCAAGACTATCATTATGAAGCTCGTCGTAGCTGGTGCAACTGGCTTCCTGGGCACAGAAGTTGTCCGTCAAGCCCTGTCCCATCCAAAAATCACGTCCGTCATCGCCCTAGCGCGTCGACAAACCCCCATCCCGGAAGTGTCGGGATCGCAAGCCGATGTCTCCAAGTTGAAGCCGGTTGCTTGTGATGACTTTATCAACTATCCCGAGAGCGTCAAAACAGAATTATCTGATGCGGATGCTTGTATCTGGTGTGATTGACCTCTGCAAAGCCGTGGAACTTAATGCTGACGACGTCGCAGGCTGATTGCCATTACGCCGGCCAAATCCAAAATGTTTGCCCAGGATGAAGTGCGCAAGATCTGCAACGACTACCCCCTAGCAGCAGTCGACGCATTTTCAAAGTTCGAACGTAATAAGACTGAGCCTTTCCGCTTCGTCTACGTCAGTGGTTCCAATGCAGAACGAGATCCGGCCAAGAAGCCATGGGTCATAGGCGACTACTCTGTGATGAGGGTACGTTAGATCGCGAAAGTCACAGTTTGATGCACCTAACACATAGCAGGGCCAAGTTGAAGTACAAGTTATTGAGCGCGCGCAGAAATCCAACGGCGCTTTAAAGGCTTGTGTGTTTAAGCCCGGACTGATCAACACAGAACACACTGGCCTCCTGGTCAAGGGTATCCAAGGCGTTGCTCGAGTTCTCATAGGTCTCCCGACTATCCAGCGAGATGAGATGGTAGCAGCCCTGTTGGACAAGGCTATGAATGGGTTTGAAAAGGACACTTTTGTGAACGAGGAGCTGATCGAAATTGGACAGAGAGTGTTGAAGGCCGAGGTGCCTTCCCAGTAGTTGAGTTCTTATGCTGGATATTTGTTAAGCTATTAACCTCCGCATGAGGTAAACATTCCTTAATTCTTCATAATGTCTTATTTTCATTGCATTACCGTGTTCCTGGTCCTCAGTAAGCTAGCTTCCAATTTCAACAGCCCAAATTGTATCAACTATTTCTCTTCTTGCAACTAAACCTCAACGAGCAACACTTGTTCAGTTCAACTTCTTATCACAAATAAGACTATTACTTGTATATCAAGAAGATTTCCTATGAGTGGTAAATCAAGAAATACCTCACTCTGACCAGATCACATTGACAGTCGCTAAACGTCTGACTAAGACCAACGTCCATCGCGTGCTTGATCATTACTCTTTTGGGCAGCTCAAAGTGACTCAGAGCTGCAGGCACCGACAGCTCACCACATCTTCTCCCTCTCATAAGAAGTTCAGCGCTGTATTCTTCCCTTTTCGGGTTCCTCTTACTTGGGTCTAAAATACCAGTTTCACGCCTCCAAAGTCAAGTTTTCACTCACTCGTCAACATGAACACCAGAGCTGTCGCCTTGCCCAAGTCGTTGCCTGACCCAGCGCAATGGAATCAACTCATCGCTCGCTACAAGGAGTTTCGTCTTCTTTCTCTTCAACTCTCACCTGAGAGCTTCGGTTCAAGCTATGCCCGTGAAGTTGCCTTTTCAGAGGAGATTTGGGCATCCCGATTGAACAATCCCGTGGCCCTCAACACCGTCATCGTCTCGGAACCCGACGATGGAGCCGAGGACATAGACAACATTTCACTCATCCTCAGCTCACCATGGCTAGCGGCTCTTACCTTGGTCGGACCCCTCGAAGCCAAGACAGCTGCAAAATCCTACGAGGACAAGATGCATCTTCAGCCAGACACCGTCAGTTTCGGCCCTCCCGCTCCTGGTGTCGATTCCACCTATGTCCTAAACGCCATGTACGTCCTTCCGTCCGAGAGACGGAAAGGCCACTCGTACAAAATCATCGACTTTGCCAAACAGCTCGCGCTAATAAAGGAAAACAATAGGGCGGTGACGTTGGCCCTTATCCTGGGCGATGATAACGTGCCTGCCATGAAATCGTACGAAAAGTCGGGTTTTGAGGTTGTGCATAGGTACTGGTTTGATGATACTAGAGGAGGTGAAGTGAAAAAAACGCGGGCGGCGGTTATGAGGGCGGACGTTAGAGTAGAGGATTCGGCTTAGGGGCGAGCGAGTGTTTCTAGATCCTTTGGCCTCCCTTAGCGAGCTTTTGATCAATCATTTGTGAGGTTACCAACCTTTATTGAATTCTTGAACTTGGTTTACTAATGTTTTCACTGGAATGGTATTCTAAACGCTTTTCTTAGCAGCACAGCAACCTCACTAGATGCTATTGTGTTTCACATTTCTAATGGATCTACTGTGCGGTAGACGATCGAGAACAACCGGCATTTCGCAGTGTCTCAATTATGACTTGGATGAGTGGATAGCAATTAAAGTCCAAAAATCCATCTCGGACTCGGAAAGCGGAAGTGTGTTCCAGCCATACTCGGGACAAGGTCTCACTGATCCGAGATGGAGCTGAGATGACCGAAACCTCCTCCCGCCATGATTGCCCGCCGATCGGTGAGCCGTCCAGGTCGTGTCACCTTGCCGTCTTTATGCAAGACCATTTCATGTTTGTGTCACACGTCAGAGATCAAGTAATTGATGAATTGGGTCATATATATTGATTGATGTTCATAGTCTAATGCCAAATGTCAAATGCGATGCCGGCCTCATTATTGGTCCCCCTCTTTCATTACCAGTCTCATTAAATCATCCAACTCTTTCATTAACTTTCATTATTTTCTTTAAGCAGTTCGGATGCTCTGGTAGCTGCCAGACTGGTCACCGTAGATGTACTCCTTCACGCTCTTGGTCGTAGGAGCATCACCACCGGCGTAGTCGACGATAGAGATACTCTTGTAGTAACCGGAGAAGGGACCCTGGGAGAAGTCGGCCATACCGCCGGCCCAGATGACGGTACCCTCCTCAGCGTCGGGACGGCCAGCAACCCAAGTGCCCAGCTTGACCTGCATGGGTGTCTGGGGGAAGGCTGAGCCGCCCTTGGCGTCGGCGTAGGTGAGGGTGCGAACAACTGTGCCGTCGATGATCCAGTTGACAAAAGAGGGAGTCCACTCGATAGAGTAGACGTGGAACTGGCCCGTGGGGTTGACTACGGGGTGGAAGGCGCCGCGATCGTATGTGCTGATGTCGCCCTTGCTGAAGTAGTTGGATTGAACTTGGGCATTATCACCACCGATCCACTCCCAATCAATCTCGTCAAGGTTATCAGACTGAAGCACAGCGCTGGTGATGATGCCCACGCCAGGAGCGGCTTGGACCTCAACATCAACGCGGCCAAAGAAGATGTACTTGCCGGTGGCGATTGTGGGAGCGACACCGAGGCCGGGGATTGTAAAGACACCACCCTTCTCACCATACTCGATGGCAGTGCCACCAATGTTGGTAAAGGCAGCACACTCTCCCTTGGTAAAGTCGCAGTGGACAGTGTCCTTACCAAAGGCAGGGTCGGCAGGGCAGGCTACGAAATGTCAGTAAAAAGAAATCTCAATCAGATTGGCTGTGTAACTTACTGGCCAAGAGAGGGTTGCAGGTGGTCGAAGTCTGGGCCGACACCAGAGCAGGTGCGACAAGGGCTAGGGCAGCCACGGAGAGAGCCTTGGAGAACATTGGAGGCGTTTTGCGGTTGGTTGCGTCGTGGAACGATGGTACAGCGGGGGAGGGATGGGTTAGATCAAGGGTCAGTAATGTCACGCAGTGGCTTGCGTTTGATGGATGTCAGTTCAAGAGGGGAGGAGTGGTGAGGACGCACTTTCAGACGAGATCTTGCAGGAACCGGAGGCCAATCGCCTTTTTTGTAGTGAAGAAGAGGTTGGTTGGAGATGTTCTAGCCACTTCACAGCCTCGGTTTATATCCATCAGACCATGGGTCCTAGCCGCTCGTATTCCCTGCGCGTGCGTCGACTAGACAACCCCGGGTTGCCCTGTCTCCAAGCCACGCACGCCCAAACGAGGAATGGATCCCCACTAGCCATTGCTTGGCTCTGGCTGACCCCTGTTGGTCCCCTCTCTACGACAGTCCAATCGAGGATGGAACATGCGGTCTTGGTCCACAGACACCCCTTCAAAAGAAGAACGGGTAATGGACTGGGGACAGAGAACGCGCAATCATGTGAGACTGGTGTGCAGTTGCTACGGCAAACCCGCAGACGGAGAATAGCTATCTCCCTAGTTCCAAACTCTACCTGTGGCTGGGGATGGAGGGGGGCGGGCGGCTCCCTAGATCCGATCAGTGACCTCTAGGTGGTGGCTAGCTGGGAGGCCGCGAACGACAATACGAGCGGGCCTAGAACCTGGTCCCCCCTCTGCTAGCCTGGTCAAAGCCCGCTCTTTACGATGACTGAATGCTGATGATGGGCAGGGACGGAAAACGTCAGCGAGAATTGAGTTCCTAGAATCTGACGTCAGGTCACCAGAGAGGGGAACAAAGAGGGTCGGTCGGCGATCACCTATAACCAACCCCGACCTACCCTTGCTCTCTTCTCGTCTAGGTTGGATTGGGTTCCCAACCTCACAAGGTTCATGAGCTATTAACCCTCAGCTGTTGCTCGGCTGTGTCGGCCATCCAAGCCATCCCCATTGTCAACCAACGCCAAGATAGCCAGCTGACTGTTTGTCTCGTCTTATCTTTTTCTCCCGTACTCACTCTTTTTGCAGCGAGTACCCCGCCTGTCACCTGCAGAGCAAAGACCCGCGGGTTAATCAATCGATCAGCGAGCGGGTACTCACTCCACCAGCGGTTTGTTTCGGAGCTCCTGTTGATCTTGCACATCCCTCGTCTATTGTCCACTAGTCAACTGACCTTTGTGTCATTGATCTCGAGCCTCTGAGCTCATTCACAGTGTCTCCTCAAACCGTCTAGACCCTGTCATTGACAACTCCCGGCCGTACTTTTGCACCGCGGGGGCTCAGCTGACCCCATGTACTGCTGCACGCGCTGCACCCCGCTCAAGCCCTGCATCAACGCCCAGATGCTCGAGCACCTTTACAGTAGGAGCATTTATGCATGCATTGACGGTCAAAAGGCTGAGGCCGTCTTTTCATGAGTTGTCGACGTTTCAGCATGGGCAATTGTTTCATGATTTGTGCATTTGCATAAACACTCGGCCTTCATCTCACACCGCCAACACCCGCCCGTAAATGTTGGCGAATAATTCGGTTACAGTAAAGGATTGTTAGCCATCTTGACGGTGAGCCTGACGGCATTCAACTAAGCACAGCCTGCTGCTGCCACATTCACTGCTACAGTCAGCCTGCATCAAGCCCCAAGCAAGGCTTACAGGCAGAGGCAAGGATAGCCTGATAGCTGCACCAAAAGACCCTTATGCATGCACCCGGTTTCTGACAATTCTTGGCGGGGTTCTTGCATGAACATTCAATTCATTGTGGATTTCGGTCGCCTTGATAGGTCGCATCGTGGGTGATTTCTATACGAATGGCACGTCGAGAGTTTCATTTTATCCAGAAACATGAACAAGATTTACGACTCTCAAGGCAACTCCGGACATGTGAATTGATCTTGCCGAACCGACTATCCCGTGTCTTTGTCTGCCGAGGTCTGGCGATCTCATTGAATCTGTAGACATGGCTGAGACTTGGCGGGAGTCTTTATCCCGAATCTAACACAGCCTTACACCGCCCCAGACACACTTTATGCCCACCGCCAAAGGATTTACAACTGGCGGCTTGGGCGATAGTTGTCTCAAGAATGCCAAGTCGTTCTCTGCCGATTTGTCAATAAATGATAGGACAAAGTACCATTTGACAAGTACTTTGAGGACCTTAAGCGCTTCGCTTTCGAGTGTCAGCCCCGAAGTGAATCCTTTTGCTGCGGCTAATAAACGCCGAGAGCATCTGGCGTTCCTCCGTGCAACAAGATGCATCCATCGTCATCCACTTTCCCAACGTTGGCGCCGTTGCCAACGAGGATAGTCATTAATGGAGTCGATTAGAACGGGTAGAAACAAGAAACTACATGCCAGCATCGGCCCGTTTTCCATTGCCGCCTTCTTACTCTCGACGCAAAATTGTTTGGCAAGGACAATTGCAACTCTTGCTGTCGCTGGAAATAAAGATCCCACATTTCCCCCTGGCCCTAGCTAACGTGAAGTGTTGAAATGTCTACCTAGCATCTTGGAGAGCTAGTTTGACGGAGTGTTCACTGTTGGTTCAAGCTTTCATGTTAACAACCTTGCCATCAATGCCAAAGCTAGCTTCCTCACAGATCGATCTTTCAAGGGTGCTCAATTTGGCGTTAACATCGACGCCAGTAACGGGTAGTCTCATTCATGTTCCTGGCCCTGACAGGGTTGCAAGATTGACTAGGTAAAGATCGAGCTAGTCGTTTCTTACGCTCCTCGGAACCCAGCCACTCTAAAATTAGAATGATGAGGTGAGAATAGAAAGGTTCATGGTCTAGCAGCCTCGCTTATAGTCAGACAGGATCGGGTTGCCAAGCACGCCTCAGAGTTTAGCTTGGCTTCGGGAACTTGAGCCGCCTTGGCTTCAGAACCTCGAGAATAAGTCTTTTGGCTCTTCGCTGTGATTGTTGGAATAATTGCGAGAATCCAAATAGACCCATTAGTCCCAAACGATCCGTTCTGGCGACTTATAGGCAGCTTCCTTGGACTGTTAGTCGAAAGAGGTCAACCTTCGCAATGCCCCTACGTCGCTGTACACTTTCGCACGCATAAATCTTGGCTTCAAAACGGTTTACTATCAAGGACAGGAGCAGTTCAGGTCTTCTTAAATCAGGGAGGGGGGGGTGGCGGATAGTTTCCTCCCTACTTAGAGTATGTAGACTCAGAGTATGCAGGCCATGGTCAACGAAGAAGTACGACAAAGACCAAAAGATACTCTTGAAGAAATGTATTTGGAATTCTTTAGATGAGGCAAAATTATGACTAGATGACTCCGTGCTAGCAGTCTCTTAACTCATGTCGAGGTTGGAATAATTTGAGGAAGGAACTCAAAAGTAGATGCCTGTGAATTGGTACAAATGAACTCTCGCCCACGGGCTTATTGACGCGTGTTTTCGACTTTTCTGTTATTAGTTTCTCTATCTGCATTGATCGTAGAGTTGGTTCCCCTCTTGTTCATGATTTCGCAGGATTGTCTTATCTCTTCTAGGGTAGGTCTTTTCTGATCTGGGTGAAAGTCAACGGCGAAGCAGCTTGAGCGAATGCTCCAACCAACAGTTTTACACTGAATATCGTCTTCTTTATAACCAGAATACGGTGGTCTAGACAAGAGAGTGAGCCTTTGGGATCCCCAGACCTATGTGCTCCTGAAATGTGCTTCGATATGTTATTCGGGATGAGTTACGGACTGATAAGCAAACAACTCTGCTCAAGTTTATCCGTAATTGACAGGTCACTCTGGTTTAAGACATCTTTTAGTCACTGCTATTAACGACAACCACTTATCTTTCTACCAGCGGAGCTGAAAATATTGAGGCAGCCACAGTCATGTCTCCGGTTGATTCGTCGACAGGTTATTGGTGGTGTAACGCCTCCAACACTTGAACAGGTCTCGTGATGCAAACCCCGCCGATACCACGCATCAATATGATATTATCGTGGAGATTTCACCAGATACAAAATCCGAAGCATCTTTCTGAAGCACTTGTCTTTTCTCGAGATCTATAAGCCTTTCTTTGATAGTCCTGGCCTCTCTCGAGTCCCAACTCAGATACGCAGAGTGTTAACGGTAATGACGTCATTCTGTCTCACTCGTCTCCCTTCAACTCCCCGCCTCATTCGCCCACAACCGACAGACCTCACTCTCCTAAACTAACTAGCATCGGGGCTCCTGATAATCCCTCATGTCTGATGAGACACCGTCCGGTAGAGACAGGCATTTGCGCCGTCTGATGCCGGCCCAGGCTATTGAGCCGGGGCCGTCCACGGGTACTCCGTCGCCGAGATCGCGGTTGAATACTGTGAAAGCGGCCTGCAACGCGTGCCGGAAATACAAATCCAAGGTGGTTTGATTGTCCGTCGACTCGTCTTACAAAGGTTAATCTATATCCTAGTGCTCTGGTGAGAGACCGTCATGTAGTCGTTGTCTTGAGAAGGGCCTTTTGTGCCATTACATGACGCGACCAGGAGAGTCACGAATGCAGGCCTTCAACCGGAACCACCATGACCTGCAGGGTCGAGCAACGGTCCACGAAGAGATTTTCAACCTGCTCAAGACCCTTCCGGAGCGTGATGCACAGGAAATATTGACGAGGATCAGATCCGGCATCGACGTCCAAACTGTTCTGAACCAGGTCAAGGCCGGCGATCTTTTGCTCCAAGTGGCCCTAGTTCCCGAGACCAGGCTCCGATATGAGTTCCCGTATCGATCTGAGATGCCCGCAGATTACGCCCGAGACAACCCGTATCTCGATTCATTGATTTTTGAAGGGGCTTCGCTCTACTCGACGAGTCAAGCCTCGGACCATGTTACACCCCGACTCATGACTAACCTGGGCTCTGAGGAGCAACAAAGCCTCTACCTGAAGCCTTTTCACGCAGCACATGTTGCTGAGCCTCTTCTCTCCAACGTCAAGCCATCGTTATGGACCCCAGTGTGCAATGACGATGCCCTCATGCGAGATCTCCTCGGCGTGCTGTTCCGCTGCGAATACCAATTCACGGCAGCGTTCCAGAAGGATCTATTCCTTGAGGATATGGCTGCGAAGCGAAAGGACTTTTGCTCGTCTCTCCTCGTCAATATTGTCCTTGCTTATGCTTGTGTATGAGCCCCCCAACACTGTTGATGACCCATCTGATCTGGTCGCAGGTCTGCTACCCGGGCTTCTCTAACCGTGCCGAGTACTGGAACCCCAATACTCTTACATACCGCTTTCTCGCAGAAGCAAAGCGTCTATGGGAGCTAGAATGTGCAGAACCGTGCATCACGACTATACAAGCTGGTATACTCTTCAGCGTCATTCACAACCTCTGTGGGCTGGATGAGATTGGACAGCCATACAGGATTCATGCTGTTTCGTTAGCTCACGAGCTTCGAATCTTTGACGTGATGGACGTACGAAGTCAAAGAATGCAGAATGGTAGAGCATATACGGCGTGGGCTTTGTACATCTGGGAATCGTGAGTGCGTCAACTCCAGAGTTTGCACACGTGTTGACCCTCTCAGCCTCGTCGCCTTCTCCTTCATGATCCCGCCATTGCTAAAGAAGCCTCCAGAGTGGGCATTACCAGACCCAGCAAGGAATGTGCAATGGTACGGCGAGATATGGATAAAGTATCCGATGACCAATGGCCTCTCGCCATCCTACTTTTCTCACGTCTTCCGAGCAAGATGCCATTTCCGGATCATCATGAATGAGATTTGCGATGCAGCCTACTCGGAAGGGTCTGGGATAACTCTTGACAAAGCTAATGGGTTCCGTGAACGACTGGAGAGCTGGTATAGAAGTCTACCTGTACCGCTCCAGCCTAGGACCATCGTTCTTCCCGGCCATCTCCAACTTCAGTAAGTACCTTGCATTCAAGGCAATGGCTTGACTACAGGATTGCAGAATTGGCATTGTTGACACCTGGCAGCATCTACTATCACCACCTCTTGCTTACCCTCTACGAGCCGTTGTGTGATGTGACGACAACCGAACACCCTTCTCCGCAGCAAATTGTTGGTGATGCTAAGAAACACCTCCAGACTCTTGTCAGACTCTACTATCTCCGACACGGATTCGAAGCCATGGATCTCTTTGTTGTTATCCCCCTTATGCTCACCGGTTATGACTGCATCGATTCCATTGGAGACGAAACACCTGCCACCGAACTTGAAACACTGCGATCAACCCTCATTTTGATTGCACAGGGTCTATGCAGCCAACGACGGAACCATTACTTGGCGGAAGCGCTGTTCCGGGTTATCCGGGGCCGCATGAGACCACAGGAACTCGCCTTGCTGAAAGGCACCATGAGCCTAGAGGAACAAGAGGCGGTCAACGAACTGGACGACATGCAACCTGTTCGGAGTCATTGGCCAGTGAGCGTTGTTAAAAAGCAGGAAGATGTGGATGCTCATATCTTGAAGAATCTGGTCAAGAGCTATGCCTCTCTGAACGTGGAAGAGCATCAAGGACAGACATCTCAACAGGCGCCATAAGCCAATGTATCTTGACACCACATATTCTCCTATATGACCTATCTCTTCGTATTGAGCTGCATGGATGTGAAGGAGGCCAAGGCAATCACGCAATGGATCAGTCAGCCTCTGCCCGTATTTCTCAGCTTTACCAAATAACCATGACTCAACCAACACTGCCAACGATCCTGATAAAAGACTCGACTGACTCGGCCCACAAGGATCTCAACAGAAAGAACAGCTGCCTCTTCCGGCCGGTCCCGAGACGTGTTGATTCTGCCAAGAATCCCCCCATTCGGTCCGCCCTTGTCCAAAATCTCTTGATCCGCAGAGCCTCGTGGCCTTGTTGTTCAGACTCCCGCTGACCTTTCCGCGAATTGTGGGAACCCTTTTGCCGCTCAATTCCGTCGATTGCCGCGTATCTATCAGGTTATACAGCAGGGATAACGTGATGGCCTCATTGCCGCCGATAAGGGGAGTGGGGGCTTTCTTTTACTTGGGGCCCTTGGCTCGGTATTAAAGAGCTGGTCAAGAGCCGTGTTTATGAGTGATGAAAACAGTGATTTTAATTGTGACACATGATCTTTGCAATTGCATGTTCTTGTGATTATAAATCGCCATCGACAATCTTTCTCCTGAACATTCTCAAGTCAACAACCAAACACATCAACCAACAATGGCACCAAAGATTGACCTGGCAGAGTATCTTTGGATACGACTCGCTCAGCTCGGCCTCGGTTCCGTCCACGGTGTTCCCGGAGACTACAATCTCACCGTCTTGGACTATCTGAAGTCAACCGGCATCCACTGGGTTGGCAACGCCAATGAGCTAAATGCCGGCTACGCAGCCGATGGTTACGCAAGAGTCAAAGGCATCGGTGCTATCATCACCTCTTTTGGGGTGGGGGAACTTTCAGCTATCAATGCTATTGCGGGAGCTTACTCTGAAAGAGTTCCAGTAGTGCACATTGTTGGAACACCGTCGCTTGTCGCTCAGGAGGCTGGAGCTTGTCTGCACCATTCATTGGGTGATGGAAACTTTAAAATCTTTGCAGACATGTACAAGATGGTTACAGTTGCCCAGGCAAACCTCACTGATCCTTTGACTGCTCCTCGGATGATTGATGCAACGCTTAAGGAATGCCTTCGAGAGAGTAGACCAGTCTACATCCAGATACCCTGTGACATGGTCAAAGTCAAAGTGATGGCTCCCGCATCCCCAATCACTATTTCATTGCCCAAGATTGATGAATCATTCGAGTATGATCTCGTTCGCCGATTGGCAACTCGAATTCAAAACAGCAAGAAGCCAATGATTCTGGTGGACGCGTTCGCTGGGAGGTTCGGGATGACAGACGAAATCAATCAGCTGGTCAGGTTAACTGGCTTCCCCACCCTCACAACACTTGGAGGAAAGGGTCTTGTGAACGAAGATCTACCAAACTTCCACGGGTCTATCCTCGGGTTGGCGGGAGAACCAGCTCAGCAAGCATGGGCCAAATCTCGGGACTTGGTTCTTCGTTTTGGTCCTTTGGACTCTGATGCCAACACCTTTGGCTCAACCACCATACCGGATCCTCACATCACGGTGAACTTTGAGGAGTACTCTATCGGAATGGGCGGCAAAGATCTTCCACTTGGAGGGAACCGTGCTCTACCTGTCAAGTCTATCCTTAGAAAGCTAGTTGGCTATCTGAAGACGTGCGAACTTTCTGTCCCAGAACCCTATCCGGAGAAGTGCATCTCACTGAAGACCATGCAAAAGATGCTGCTACCACCAGAGAAGGAGAGCATCATAGATCAATACTCCTTCTGGCTGCGCGTCTCCAACTTCATCGAAGAGGGCGACATCGTCATGGCTGAAACCGGGACAGCCACACATGGAAGCCAAAGTCTCATCCTTCCAAATGATACTGTCTTTATCAACTCTTCTATCTGGCTTTCCATTGGATATACTCTTGCTGCATGCCAGGGAGCAGCTCTCGCACAGAGTGAAATGATCGAGGACAAAACACGATGCCCTGGCCGGACCATTCTATTCGAGGGAGACGGAAGCTTCCAGATGACGGCACAAGCAGTCAGTGACATTATCAGGAACAAGCTGGACGTAATAATTTTTGTTCTCAACAATAGTGGCTACACGATTGAGAGACTCATCCATGGTCCGAACGAGAGCTACAATGACATTCAGTCCTGGAGAATCCTTGAGGCCCCGAGCTACTTTGGTGCACCCAAGGATGATCCTTCATACCCTGTGAGGACGTTTCTGGCCGAGAATTGGGGTCAACTGAGAGATGTTTTTGAAGATCCTGGGCTGAAAGAGGGAAGGGGACTTAACATTATTGAAGTTAAGATGGAGATGGATGATGCTCCAAAGACGCTTCGAACATTTGTTAATGGTGTAACTAAAAAGATAAACAGCGGTGAGGCGTGAAAAGGGGTCTTAGACTAGACAGCAAGCTTCTGCTTTTTGGATCTTGCAAAAGAAGAGTTGTTCAATATTATCCTGCAAATAGAATCAAGATTCCAGCTCACCGTGATCGTGCACACATCTCTGGAGTAGCTTTCCTTTGAGGATGAAGCTCAGCCTGCGGGCTTGCATGAAACCTTTCCACAACTAGGGTATCAAGAAATATTCAAAACCGTTTCAGTGATCTGTGCACAGAGAGTAGAATTCAGTTGGTGATGACCTCTGACAGTTGGATCCTGGATCATCCTTGAGCAATTCATGGTGTCAGATATATTGCCCCCGTATCACGAGTCCATCTTGAGAGCCCATCAGGTTCGAGATGAACTGAATGGTGTGGGTCAGTCCTTCAATCTGCAGGCATGATCCTTGAAGTGCCATTATGCCGCAATATCAGGACGAGCTGTGTCTGAGAGTACGTATGCTGATGCGGCAGTTGTGATTGGCACTTGGTCTGGGCCAAGGCAACAATGGAAAATGAGAGATGCTGTACTGTAAAAAGTGCATTGAAGCTATCAATTTATTACTCTGTTCCCTGTTACCTAGGTTTGCAGTGCTATTGTCTTAGATTAATGCGGCTGACCAGCTGTCGATACCCTCACAGTCGTCTCGTTCTTAACCATGATGCCACCAAAAGCCGACCCTGTCGGGAAATCATCCGAAGAACCATCATGACCCGGCCCAGTAATTGTAGATGTATTTCCGCGATATCTATCAAGGGCATGGCTCTCGAAGTCTGACACGGAACCGCGGCCAGCCTCTGTTTCGGCAAGTTGGTGTGTAGAGCTCGACTCGCCCTCATTCCCCTTGGGCAGTGTCGAAAGGCGGATCGACTTTTTGGTTTGGCTGCGGCCGTAGGCTTGTCCATAGCTGTTGGATCCCGAGCCGATAGAGGAGATGGGGTGGGTACAGGTGAAGAGGTAGATACAAGCCGGACGAACGGTAGGAAGACAGGCTAGGGGATTGTTAACGATTAGGGGGCTGAGGGGGCGAGGAAGACGTACCCGATACCGTAACAAGATTGACCTCGACCGATGCCCAAATAACAATGGTAGAAAGATTCCACGTCATATCGTCAGAGGTATTATCATATTCGGTCGAAGCAACGATAATGACCATGGCGGCCACGCAGATGCTGCGCCCGTTAGCAAGACAAGTCCACCACCAACTGGGCCTTCGACTTACATGATACCAAACAGAAACATGACCATAACGCCTAGCTTCTGTAGTCCAGGCAGCTGCAATTTGCGGATCTGCAGGATGGGCAGAATCAAGATGCAAATGTCGAGTATGACGTGGACGAGGATAGTCCCGAAGAAGAACTTGGAGTCCTCGATGGCACATGTCCCTTTCACAGAGGAATCCCAAAACGTCTGCACGGGGACGCAGTGGAAAATACCCATAAAGGTCTGCAAAAGTCAGCTCGGTTGCTTCTGTGGATGTTTATGGCAACTCACTCGGATGATGATCCAGATGACGGCGCACGTAAAAAGAATCTGGATCGGGAGTTTGATGTTTGTGACGCGAAACATGCGCCAGTAGAAGCTCAAGATGGAGGCTTTGGCGAAGAAGAGGGCCGAGGCGTACATCAGCTCGGCGATGTAGAGGAGTAGTTTGGTCTGGAAAAGAGCCTTTTCCTTGGTCATGTGCTTAATGTCCCAGATATGCAGACCAAAGCCATTCTGGATCCCTAAAACTCCTGTTAGCGCTTCTTCACCTCGTTCTGGTATTTGAGACATACAGATAGGCACAAGAACTAGCCAGCCCAAGGCCATAGTCTTTGATGCAGTTAGCAGCGATTCTCAAGGAGGGACGGCAACAGCCCACGTAGCACATCAGCGCAAAGTAATCATCCCACCATAGTCGAATCCTCGTTAGCCGACGACTAACGAGTCGAAGTATTAAGAAGATCGTCGCTGCCGTAAAGGTGACAAACTCTGCCGCCCAGAGGTCTGGCTGCTTAGACGGGATCTTTGTGGAACCCATCGTTGAAAAGAACCAAAAAGCAAAGAGATTCTGACACCATCTGAAAAAAGAAAAGTAAAAACACACAGATTAGCGAGGCAGGCCCCTTCAAACCTTCTAGGTGATATATGACTTGCACGGCAGATCTAGTCCCTCAGGGATCGGCATGCGTCGAAGAGCACAGAGCCTCTTGCAGGGCACATGCTGGAGGATGCTACCCCGGTCGGCCATAGCGAGAGCGATCCTCTTTACCCCCGGAGCCGTTGAGAGGCTAGAAAAGTGACAAGAGCGGGTGGCTTTGAGTCGTCGACTTGCCGCAGATGGCGAGCCGTATTTCTCACCAACAAGGATCTGGGATCTCTAGGCGTGTCGATCACCTGTGGGTTCTGCAGGTTCCCTGACTAGCCTATTGGCCTAGTGCTGGAAAGCTGCTAATATCATTCATTCAGCCGTGTCTTTGGCCAGCACCAAACCTAAGGTGATATGATTGAAGAGATAACCCTGGAGATTTCTGCATATATCGTCTACAGTAGACCCTTGAGTGCGAAGCTGTGTCAGTGCTCTGACCTTTCCGGGGGAGGCAACACATCCTCGACTCATACTTGCGGCGGCCGGTCAAGTAACACATGTACAATGCGAGGCCTTCAACAGGACCTGCATGACCTGCCCCTGCGTGTGTACTTGCACGAAGGTCAGCGCTAAACAAGCCCTCCAGCCTCAGATTCCTCACACACGTCACGTAACGACGACCTTGTGTTGGTCAGCTCATCAACCACTGCCGCACCCCACGAGTCAGTGCCCGAAGGATCTTGGCCGAGACTGAAGCTGCAGTGGATCATTTGTATTCATTTGACCATACAAAACTGACGCACGCTTCGCCCCCCTAGCCCGTGCCTTGGCGATCACTGGTCTTCATGGCGGACGGCCGGGGTCTCCTGGATGTGGCAAGGAATAGGGAATTTATGGACGTGGTGAGCCTTCTTGAGGCTGAGAGGGAGAGATTGGAGCGGGAGACGTGAGTGAACTAGAGCGAGACTCCCTCTGTTGGAGAGATGATCGGCATGCGTCACAGATGTAAGGATGAGGAGGTCTTGCTCCTAGCCAGCGCTTACTGCTCATGCGGGTCACCGATGGCGGAACGAACATTGAGATGACATCTACTACAAAGGCGCGAGGCATTCAGGGGTGAAGGATCTTGGGTTCTATTAGAAAGCAATGCAACTAGCTAGGAGTAAAAACGCATGTGAAATCACGAATCTATGTCGATGCCATCCGACAGCAGCCTATCTTTGTGTAGTTTGGGACAGAAATTCATTCAAGGCTTTTCCGCCAGTACGGAATGCGGTGTTCTAGCTCGAGAACACGCTTCATCAGCAGCACCCAAGCCTCTTCGCCTCGGTCATAGTCATAAACGATCGTGAGGATAGTTTCAAGGCATTGCTTATACTCGTCAGGACTAGCTAGGGCTAGCTTAACGATGCCTGCAATGATCTCAACCCAATTGCGGAGTAGCGTGTGATCAAGTGTTGGTTGTAGATATGTGAAGTACAGGTAGGTATAGCCATCTTCGGGATCCCGCTCGCTGTAGGGTTGAAAAAGCTTCCCTAGCTCCTCGAGATTCCACCAGGGTTCGGGGTCCTGGGGGTTCTCTTCGAGGGCCCAGGGTAGAACGCCCACAAGTACCTCTCGGGGAGACAGCATGAAGAAGTCACACACTGTCGGGGGTGAAAACGAACGTAAGAGGAGATGGTCAAGCTCCCATAGTGAGGGCGCTGACCATATCAAACGGAAATTGAGGTACATGCTCTCCAGTTTTTCGTTGCACCAGGAGCCTGGCTTAATGGTTGCCATCGGAGGTACGTGCGAGTCATAGTAGGAGCTCACAACGTTGCCTTGCGGCCATGGTCCCTTAGCCACTTGAGATTCCATGCTCACAAGGTAGTGTTTGCGAGATCGGGCTCGTGTCAGGTTGGTGAGCAGATGTTCTTCCAAGAGCATGACCAGGGTGGCGATCTTTTTAGTGAGTAGGGTCGTCTCGCCGCTCGAAATGCCTCCTTGGATGCCGACTCTGACGGCTACGCCGCGGGTTTTCTCGAGGTAACTAGACCCATCCTGGCGAACCGCATCAACCGCAGCCTCGACATCGGGGAGCCCAGCAGCCACATCGGCAAAATCAAAGCTGGGACCGATGAGCTCAAAGTGCTGACTGCGATGTACGGGTGCGACTCCCCAAGTATCGACCTGATAATCCTGTTCAATAGGAGGGTGGATTGGGAGTTTTCCATCAAAGGAATCGAGTTCTATGCCAATATTAAAGGAAACCTTGGCAGTGGTGGAACGGGATGACAACATGGCTGTTGGTATAAGGAAGACGAGGTGTCAGATTGCTGAAATATTCAAGATGTGTTTGATGATAGTTGTAAGAGGTTTTTGAGTGCTAAATATTTTATGTTGAGAGGATCTCTTAGCCCATATATACATGTTCCTCACACCCTCCTCTGATCAAAGTGAAACCATGAAAGAAACCTGATGGCTGAGAAGCTGAACAGTCTTTGATGAACTTGATGCTAACTCTTTGACTAAGTGTGGTAGGTGCTTAGACTATTGCACTCTTTGCCAGAACATCCGTAGTATGCGGCCACGACAAAGAGCACGGTATAGCAGAAGGAAATAAGGTTAATGCAAGGAGACTCGGGGGCACGATGGTGGACACGACAAGCTTCGCACAAACTGGTGATGTGCCGAGGGCTACGCAGGCTCGCCAAGGTTCTTACCATATCATCAATATGTGCGGGAAAGCTCGCGACTACAATGGGAAAGGCCCTTGTTTCTCGATGGACCTGGGGCTGGAGGAGCCCAATGCTTTTACTAAATTATTAATATCTTAATAAAAGTGTTACGCGGCTTTGTTCGAGCCCGCGCACCAACAGGCTCACATGCCCCGAGCCTTTCAGCGGGGTATCTCAAAGGAATCCTTTATCTTTCGCCACGGATACGGTCATCTTAGTTCTAGCAAGCTTCAGTCTAATACAACCATTTTGCCTACCTAGCTTTCCGTGACTTAAGAAGTCATAGCTCTAATAAAAAGGTATAACTTAATAGGCTTTCTAAAACCGCCGTGTAAGATAGGTCGTCTAATTCACCGGCTTTGCTGCTGCGACATTGGCTGCGCGTCAGTGTCATAGATCTACGGGAATTTAATTCAGTGAGCCAACAGCTTGGTGCCTGACCTTTTCAACAGAAAGGAGATGTCTTTGAGCAATTACCGGCGTCATACAGCCCTGTTGTATCGTCTATTAGCCTCTATGAAACGCTCTATATTATGCACCTGCAGCCATACAGCCAACAGAGAGATGCAAAGATGCGACTCATCAATGCATGTTGACCCCTTTCGATGAAGCACTCGCTATGAGAGTGACTCTGTGACTTGACACCAAGTCTCACGAGGGTTTAAAGAGGGAAAAGAACACATATCCGCTTTAAACAAGACTCGAGGCAAGCGACGAAAAATAAGAGAATACGAAAATCAATTTCCACTTTTGACCGATCCATGTTATTGCATCTCGAAGCGGGGAGTGGTGGCTATGGGTAGCGGTTCCAGAACTAGGATATACATACAAGACTAATATTAGATATAATATTAGGTGTGGACTTGGATCTTCTATTATTCCCTATCCTCTATCTATGTTCCCAAGGTGCAAAGTCTAGTAGGACTCTTTACAACTCAAACGTTATCACATGCGCCCTTCACAATTCTCTGTAACCACAAGGTGATTAGAGTCTTAATCTAGGTATGAGCTGCTAGATAACTCATGATGGGATTTGTAACTTGGCAATAACTCTTATCAGTGTTTGCATATCACTAAAGCCAATTCATTCTCGACACCCAGGGATTAGTTGTTGTCACCGCAATCCTCCATCGGCTCTGTGTAGCTTTCATCGGGTTATCATACACTGCAAAATTAGCCTGCTCAGGTGGCTTGTACGTTTTGACAGCACATCTCACTTAGCTTATTGATTCAATCCTGGACAGTCTATTTCTTCATAAAAGCCTTTCTATGAGCTCCCTCTATGCTATCACATGCCATCACATCTCCATTGCCAACTTGCTTCGGGCTCGGAGCTTATGCCCATACTTGAACATGACAAATGGGATCAAACTCAGCCCAGTACCAAACAAGGCCAGAATCAACCCAGCGTACTGGCTCCCAACATTGTGAAAGAACGCACTTGCAAACAACGGCGTAACAGCTCCCAAAGTATTCCTCATCAGACCCTGACCAGCAATCGCGGATGAAGCACTCTCGCCGTAGCAGTCAGCCGTGTAACTATACGTGCTCTCAAAGACAAAGTAGATGCCAAACGCAATCGGCGCAAGCCCGATGACTGGACCAACCCACGATAGGAACGCGTACTGCGTAAAGCTGTAGATGAAGAGGCCGATGGGGAGGAACACGGCGCCGTACATTGCACCGTAAAGTCGTGCTTCAGGTGTGACTTTGACGTTGGGGTCTTCGACGAGACGATCAAACTTTTGCATTTGTAGATGATGCGCCAGCCAGCCAAGTGTGGTGCCAACGCAGAGGGATATGTACGGAAGACCGCTTACGCCCTCAGACCAGCCATGCTTCTCAGTGAATGTGATTGGGATCACTGAGAGGAAGAGAAAAACGACAGCCCAGCAAAAAGCGATCCAGAGACCAAAGGCAAACACCACGGGCTCCGTCACCAACATGTGGATAGCCTTGACTGAGCTTGCTTTAAGCATAGACTGGAGACTCGGTGTCAGGATATCGCCCGCAGACACATATCGCTCATCGCCGGTAGCCTTTCGCAGTGCCTTGGCTCGTTTATGGAGTGCAACTCCGCCACGGGTCTCGGGGAAGAAGAAGAAGATGGCAACGAGCAGGGGGATGTTTGCCAGGCCTTGGATCCCTTCGATCCAGCGCCATCCGATAGCCTGGTCAATGAAGCCGGCGTATATCGGGGCAGCAACTGTCCCAAAGATGGCGACGTAACTAAACATGGCCATAGGGCGACTGCGATGGTGAGGCTCATACATGTCGTCAAATGTCCCGCCAACCAGGATTGTGCCCACACAGCCGAAAAGGCCAAGTAGGAGTCGAAGTCCGATGATTGTCTCGATATTCTTGGCGAGAGCCAATCCGATGAACAAGAGTGAGAAACAGAGAAATGATCCCGCGTAGACGACTTTGCGACCCACTAGCTCACAAAAGGGGGCGAGCACCATGGGTGCCACCGCGCAGCTGATGTTGAAAGTGAAGAGGCCGAGTTGGCCCTGGATGTTGGAGGCGTTGAGTTCAGAAACCATGCTTCCTATGCCAGAGCTGTAGGCCGTGGTTGCGAGGCCGATGAAGAGCGTCATGAGGTTGAGGATGGTCGAGATGGAGCGTTTATACCACGGGTTCCAGTTGAACGGGTTCTCCTTATCACCCGTGGCAAATCCTAGAACAATGTATTCCTTCCCATTCTCTTGAAGAATCTCAGTCAACGTGAGAGGCATGTCAATGTCGACAACGGTGATGGGACCGCAGTCTGCATCAATGTCCTCGTTATTGCTGTCGACATATTTGCCACCCACAATACGACCGGCTCGGGATCGGGGTTTCTCGGTCTTCCCGTCCGATTCGGTTGTCTCGGGGTCAGAGTGTTCTTTGCTCCATGCACTGTTGGCCTTGGACGGGACAGCTGTCGAGTTCCTCCTTGAGGGGACGGCGGTCGAGTTTCGTCTTGAGGGTCCGTATGTTGAGTTTGCCCTCGAGTTTGCAAAGAAGCTGGTCGGTCTTGAAGCTGAGGGAGAGCCTAGGGGGGATCCTGGCCTTGAGGACGGCGCTGAGAATGAAGGGAGGTAGTTTGACATGGTGAGTTGGCTGTGAAGGGGTGAGTGGAGTCCAAGGTGATATGATGTAAAGAAGAAGAAAGTTGATTTTGTTTATCAGCCATAATAAATTCGATGGAATTACTGTCCACCAGGATCTTCATCTCTTATCGGCGCGTGCTGTGTTGTCGGACCGGCTTGGCTGTTGTGGTGGAGCTGAGAGATGCGGTCCACTATGCCACCATGAAGCCGCCGAGAGCAGTGGGATGGGCTGGGGTACGTCATTGGGAGTTTTGTGTCATGCAATGGAGTTTTACTTTCCTTACATTACTCTTTGTATAACTTGGATACATTGACTCAGAGCCAGTGCCACATCCTCAACTCACCAGCTCGCCTCAACCTGAAGCTTGACTCAGATCCAGGCCGTTACCAACCAGACTTGAGGCTCAAGTGGAGACCTCACCGATGCGGTCGCATCTCGGAGCCAAAACTTTTCAGACCAGGGGAACAAGACGGCGGAAGCGACGGAGCGGGTCCCGGATGGATAAGGCTATGACGTCGAGGTGTGAGGACTCGGTGAGACTTGGGATATCTAGCGCGAATGACAACTTGCCTCTCTGAAAACTCTATCTCTTTAAGAGAGGGATGGTTAGTAATTTCATTATTTCACGCAGTGGACCTGTTCCGAGTCCTATAGCTCATCATATTGGGCGACCCCTGAGTGTCCTGCTAAAGAGGAAAGATGACGAAAGTTTGGAAATAAACCCCTGTTTCGCCAAATAAAGTCGACAAAATGCGCACTTGGGCTGCCAGATTTGAATGAATAAATGCACCGCTAGTAGTTGTTAAATGAAACGGCGCCCAATACCTGAAGGCGGTTGTTTTGCCAGTCAAGCATCGCAGCGCTAGACGCAAACTTGGAGCAAACTTGTGGAAGACATTTTTACCCACAAGAGCCTCGGGATCGGGTCTGCAGACACGATCTGTAATCTGCAGAAAGTAGCTAGGGACCCAAAATGCTCGAATCGTATTGCCTTTGAGCCCCTCAAGCGTCTTAAAGGAAGAACAACGCAAGCTGCAAACTGCTACCCTGGGGTTAGTTTAAGACCATACCTGACCCCTCCATCTTCAAAGTTCATCTCTATTTGAAGCCGATCTTGGCTTGCTCTGGAACAATTCCAGCGGCGGCTGTATAGCCTAACTAAATACTCGTATCTCCAACTGGCAAGAGTCCAAGACGTTTCGAAGGCCCATGGTATGCTCTCTTGTCTGTGTATCCAGCGGAAGCATCTATGCTTCCGCAACTAGACCGACTCTCATGCCTATGAGACCGCATTTCTCATGCCAGTTGGAAATAGTACTCAAAGTCTAACCTGATGTTGATACAAATTAACGAAAGCACTGGATCATTTCCAAGTTTGGCACTAGATGGATATTTCGCCTAGATATGCAACAAATAATCCCATGTTGCCGCCACCGTTGTGACAAATACGGCGACTTATGTTTCTTCTCCCCCTCCTACCACGGAGCCCTAAGCGGCACTGGGCAACCTAGCTTCGGATACTTTCTCGACGAACTTCTTTCTCGTTTCCCATTACTCTCGCCCATACTTATCCATTTGACGTGTCCAATATAGAATGCGGTGCTCTAATTTAAGCACCTGCCTCATCAATAGCTCCCAGGCTGTACCATCGTGATTATCATCATGTTGGATCCTAAAGATGACCTCGAGGCATCTCTTGTACTCATCAGGGCTAGCCATAGCGAGCTCGACGATCTGGATAATGACCTCAACCCAATTGCGAAGTAATACGTCGTCAGATGTTGTTTGCAGATGTTTGAAGCAAAACGAGGACCAGCCTTCTTCGAGATTCTGTTGGCGTCTGCTCTCGTGGAAAGAATATTGACGATAATCGTCCTCGAATACGTACTCCCGGGATTGGCAGGGGCGAGGATCTTTATACATCCAATGTTCTTTGGACAGGCTTAAGGAGAAGCCATAATACAACTGAGGCGATGTTAGGAGGCGAGAATCAAGCTCACAGAGCGAAGGGGCTCCCCAGGTCATTTTCAACATGGTGTCCATGTACTCCGGCTCTCCGCCGTTGGCCACTTCTGGTTTCGTGGCTACCATCGGAGGCACATGAGAGTCGTATCCATATTTCACGGAGCAGTCTGGAAACCATGGGAAATAAGTATACTCCGTCAACTCCCTAGTCACCCAGGGCCAGCGACCTGGTGCCACTAGCTTGAGGAGCAGGGGCTCTAGAACCATGACCAGCGTGGCCATTTTTTTGGCTAGCAGATTCGCCGCGCCGCTTCCAATACCGCTTTTGACGCTGACTTCGAAGCCGATGAGGGGGCGATTTGGATCAGCGATTTTCGGCCACCCGCAGAGAAGCTTGTCGACCCCAGGCGGCCCAGCCACCACATCGGCCAAGTAAAAGCCGGGGCGTTCACGCTGGTAAAACTGCCAGGGGATGATGAATTCACCAAACTTGTTTCGCCAAGGACGGCATTGGGTACAGAAGTTGTTCGGTATGAAGTCATTGCGCCTGCTTCCATGACTGTGTGTATCATGATCATGCCAGAAGTGGTTTGGCTCGTCGTACATGCTTTTGAAGACAGCACTGAGCCGAGGCCGACCCAGCCCTGTTCTCGACTCTCACCAAGGGTCTAGATCCCATAGCCATTTCGCGTCTCGTTCAAACGAAGGACAAGGATGGCCGGACGCCTGTGGATCTGGCTCGCATGAATGAGGATCTGGCCATGGCCCACAAACTAACTGAGACAGGGGCGAGTGTCGATGTGGACTCTACGGACTAAATGCAGAGTAGGACGCCTTCTGGATGACCAAGGCTCTGGCCAGATGCCTCGGATCAGAGTCGCCTGAGGGAACAGGTGACTTGACAGTGTCGCCAGTTATCTCGAAGCTTAGATGGGATGGGAGCAGGAGACGTGGGTGAACTGGAGCGCGAATCTCTGGGATGGAGAAGGTTGATTAGATCATCGGCCTGTGCCGTGGATGTAAGGACGCCGAGTTCTTATTTCTGACTTGAGTCTCGGCCGTTTACTATTTATGTAGGGCACACGCGGCGGAATTGACATTGAGACTGGCTAATTACTATAGAGGTGCGTGGCATTTAGTGTAAAGGAAGACATGTCTGACTACATTTGGAGAACATGTATATAATACTATAGCTAATCTTCGTCAAACTTGTGATCGCCGTGTAATCTCTCTCTCCATAGCGGACTGCCACTACTCTCCTCCAATACAATTACGTTACCCAAGCTTCGGTAGCAGCCCATCTTTGGATAGGCCAGCGATTATCTCCCCTTGCTTATACCTAGCAAGCTGGTCCCGCCAATCCTGAATGCAGTGCCCTAGCTTAAGAACGTGCTCCATTAGCTGCTCCCAAGCTACGCTGCCTTGATCAGTACTATATTGGATTCTAAAAATGGCTTCGAGGCATTCCCTATACTCATCAGGACTAGCCATAGCTAACTCAATAATCCGGGCGAAAACCTCGACCCAATTACGGAATAGCGTATGTTCAAATGTTGCTTGGAGATATGTGAAGCCAAATAAAGCATCGTAACACCCTGGATTCGAGTATCCACGTGCATCGATACCAGAGGGAGGCAAGCTTTGATCTTCGCGATTCTTCCGATGTCTAATTGCAGTGGGTGCGTCTTCGGGATCCCAATAACCTTGGGAGTCCCCAAACGCCAAGTAGAAGCCACAACTTGAGTAGTTCCACGCGCTCAGGATAATCAGAAGCTCCTGAAGCGAAGGGGTTAACCATATCCGACGAATGATGCGGTACATGCGCTCTCGGCCTCTATTGTTCCAGGCTGCTGACTCCATGGCTGTCACCGGAGGCACATGGGATTCGTAGTCGGGGCTCTCGGCGTCGTCTTGGGTCTCTAGGTGTAGGGCCGCGTTCGAGGTCTTGGTAACCAGGTTGAAATCACGGTATTCGCTATTTGGGGCCACCAGCTTAAGGATCAGAGATTCCTCTAGGGCCACAACCAGAGTGGCCATCTTCTTAGCGAGTAAATGCGCTGCGCTGCTTGGGATATAGTCTCCAAGGTTGGCTCTAAGGATTACGCGGTCAAAGCTTCCAGCAGTGATATCCCCTTTTGTGTAGGGAAGCGCATCGAAGATGGCCTCGGAATAGGAAAGCCCAGCCGCCACATCGTCCAAATCAAAGTCCTCCAGGTCAAGTTCGACGTGTGAGAAGCCATACAAGGAGTCAATGCAACATTTATGTCTCACCCTGACGCTGCCATACCGCGTGTTGCCGTGGCGGCACACATAGTAGAAGGAGTCTGGCACCTTTTGCAGGAACTCCATGGTAGCAGAAATGCGAGGCCTGAAAAGGCTACGAGATGATGACATGGCTGTTGGTGTAAAGAAAGGCAAGGTGATAAGTGTTGGATAGGTGCTAGATTGTTGAGGTGTTCAAGATGCGTTTGATGATAGTCAAAATAGGTTTTCGAGTGCCGATGATGATGTGTTGAGGAGATGGCTGGACCCTTATATATATACATGTTTCTTTCTACTCCACTGTGCTACTTATCGGGACCGCACGCTACCAAAGAGTGCAATAGTCTAAGCACCTACCATACTTACTCAAAGAGTCAACATCAAGTTCATCAAAGACCGTTCAGCTTCTGATCCATTAGTTCCTTTCATGGTTTCACTTTGATCAGTGGAGGGTGTGAGGAACAAGGTTGATGCAAGGAGACTAGTACAGTAGGAGAGATTAAAAATAGCATATCCAGGACAAAGAATAGACATCATTCTAAGATACTTTAAGCTTCAAAGGGCTTAGCACTGCATAAAGAAAAACAGCTAACTCAATTCTATTGATCTGAGGAGGATGCCCCCGTTCTATGACCTCCATGGGGCAAAGACAGAGGAAGATGCCTCCCGGATGGCCAAGGCTCTGATCAGAGGTACCACTTGCCTCAACCTCGAATCGATCTCGGGCCGAAGTGTGATCGACGTCGCTCGTAGCAGGGGCTTTGCCAGTGTTGCAAGCTATATTGAAGCTCAGAGGAAGGAGCCGGGGCCGGAGTCAGGGCAGGAGGTGTGAGTAAACTAGAGTGTGGCCCCCTCTGTAGATGAGGGCTAGTAAGATCATTGATCTATGCCATGAATGCAAGGATGGGGAGATCATATTTCTTGCTCGGGATCTTGAGCGTTAATGGTTCACGTAGAGTACGCCGATGAGGGAACGGGCATTAAGGTTAAATATCTACTCTAAAGGTGCAAGGGATTAGGGGTAAAAGGAAATTGGGCTTTGTAGGACACAGTACAACTCGGTAGGCACATATGGATACCTAAATGCCGTCTTCTGGCTCAGTTGTCCCATCAAGGGCCGGGATTCAACAGATTCCTACATGACTTCTTTAGGTCTACACGGGCATTTCAATTCTCTAGTGATGATCCAATAGTTCGCAGGGAATTAATTCGCTCAATCAGACAGCTTTATTTAAAACATCACGTCTCTTCAATCGTTGGCTCACGTGTGCTTCGCCCCAACACAGCCCCATCTGCTTTGCCACGATGTCTGTTAAAGCTGTCATCAGCACGTCCTGAGTTCAATATAGATCTCAGATTCTGATCATCCTCAACATCCAGAGAATGAGATAAAACATTTGATCTGTATTCCGCAATGTCTGAGAAATCCAAAGCCCTTGATATCAGACCCTCCCTCGACTCCGAATCCGAGGCTGGCCCGTCAGCGCCCAATGAGGCACCACCGCCATCCTTTCAAGAATCCGTTGAGAATGACGCCGCAGCTTTCAAAACCCAGTTCGCATGTATCGAGATCCGTCCGTCTGATCGTATCAGGCTCATCAACTTTGAAGAGACCGACATCTCGGCCGTGCACCAGGTGGTGAGGACCACCTGGTCAAGGGGCATCGACAGGGTCCGGCCCTTTGGTGAGTCGCGAGAAATGAAGCTCCATGGAACTCCTTGGAGCTACAAATCCAACGGAGATGACGATGCTCGACGGCTTCTGCTACGTATTATTGAATGTTTGCACGACATTGGCTGGATACTCCAGTCCGCCTTTGACATTACCAAGAACTCATCAAGCAGAGGTTTGCACTGTGATCAGGTTTAAAGTATCAGGGCTTACAAGTACATAGACAGCCTGGTATTTCGAAAACAAGAACCTGCACCTTCGCCCTGCGACTGGATAGCCGTTTCATTCGATAGTAATGACAAGCTCAAGATAATCGGCTCCCCGCCGCCAGAACTTGTCACCCGGCTTCTCCAAGCCTTCAGCGTCGAGATCCAGAGACACGAAGCGACGGCGGACCGCGTCAAGATCAAGTTCTGGGGCCATCCGTGGACTCCCTCGGGCCAAGACACGGTGGCGACGAGCCTTAAGCTCCTGTCTCTGCTCAAAGTGCTCGAGATCTGCGGCTTCACCTTATATGGCACCGTAGGCGCACGGCACGAGGACGATACAGCGTCGGCAGACATCATGGTTTGTCAGCGGCAGAAGGATTGGATACCGGGGGCGCCGATTCTACATCGCTAGGCCAGGTGAAAGGTGTTTGTCTATGACTTGGTGTTTTGCTTTATTGTCATTCCAAGAGATGGCTCATTCATCGGCATGGAACCTAAGCTCAATGCAAAGACGTTCACAAAGCGAAACAACGTCCCAGATGGAGGTTCCTAGGTAAATATGAGGATTTCTAAGCTCTATAGTCTATAATGTGGTATCATGGCTTGCGTATCAGATGACAAAAACCTGTACACGAGAAGCAAATCTTGCAGAGTCTACGCCTCTCGTCAAGAGCTCTGGTCCCAGAGGCTGCAACTCCGCATGGCAGTATCCTTCGGGATGCTGGCGATGAAGACCGATTCTATACCAATTCAATAGCACAAACATGAATGCCCTAAACAGTTTCGAGTCAATGGCATCGCGTGTTTCCGTGGGGATAGTGAAAAGACGGTGATACAGTGCCCAGACCTCTCGACAAAGCAGGAATGGGTTCTGAATATGTGGCCAGCTCAAGCTGTGTCAAGATCATAACTTAGTAAACCGTGTCTCTGTCTAGCGTGCCACGTTTACTTGCTACTTGTCAAAGGGCCACCGTGCTTCCACAGCAGAGGGTAAAGAACCTGGAGCGATCGAGGCTGTCGCAACCCCGGGAACGTCTGCCAATGTTCGAATCAGATTCAAGTAATCTTTCTTTGAGTTTGCGTCTGCAAAGAGGCGTGCGACGAAGCTGCAAAGGCATGTTGAAAGGGCGGTGGCTTTAGTGTCACCAACCCAGGACCTGGCCCCTCTCGTGCAACTGGCAAAGAGCAAGACATCGACCTTACTTTCTTCGGGGCTGAGCATTTACACAGTGTCCACAGGATCCGATTCTAGGTTGCGCTACTGGAGAGCAAGAGATTTCTCCCTCTGCTCTAAATCATCAATGAGCCTACAATACCGACGATTAGTCGCATCTCTGTGCAAGAGAACACAGCCAAGCGTCTTGGGCTCTCGGGACCTTTGCATTGCCCGAGCTTACTACACACTTGGTACCACTTCGAGCGTACAAAGAATATTTGGGTCTAGAATTATCACATTAGATATTATTAGCATCAGAAAAGTGTGGTCAGGGTACCAACAACGCGCCTTTGTCTGTTTCTGGGCGTAGCTTTGACAAGTTCGAAGTCTTGGCGGTCGAGGCAAAGGCGCCTGGTTCAAAGCTTGTTACATGTGATTCAGCACGGATATTGGCATCTGTCACATCGATGGTTGAGGCTATTGTGGAGGGGTTGAGAATAAGCCATGCTGTCTATGGCGGCGGGGAACCCGGACGAAGCTTCGCCGCCAGCGGGGGTCATGCGTACAATCATGTCTCAAAGAGAGACAGGAATGATTGAAGTCCTTGTGTGGACGGACCTTATCATAAATCTACCTAATAATAGGTACATCAAATGTTTTGCATGGCGCTCTTTTATATACATGGGAGGAAACGACTCGAGGGACTGTTCTTGCTTTGTGCGGCACCAAGGCTCTTTGGAACCCAAGATGCCCTCCGTTCCTTTTCCCCAAGTGGGCTTATAGTTTACTTAGCAGGCTTCTCCTTTTCCGAAGGTTGCCATGTTCATCAAGGTGTGGCACCAAGCGCCAAGTCCCTCTGCATCCATCTGTCCTGTTCCTCATGCCGACTGCCTATCAAATACAGATGTCAAAGGAAACAGATGCCCAGCAAAGATTTTGTCACCGAAGCTCCAGGTTGTCAAAGCAAGGCGGCAGCGAAAGATGTTATTTCTGCCGTATTAAAAGCGTCCTAGCCGCGCTCTTTCAGTTGCCAGCCATCTAAACCTTGTAAGTTTTGGTCTTTTTAAGTACACCTACTCAGCTAGCTTGTTTCTGAATAGATGCCCACGCTGCTATGCTGGCATTGTGATATGATGCTGTGATGTATCGATTTTGTCTTTGTTGGAGTAGTTCCTTTACTCTTTACCCTTTGGCCACACAGCTTTTGCTAATGGTGATGCTGCCACCCGTGATCTGAATATCTAAACAGTGCCCCAATCTCAGGCCAGAACAAAAACCACATTCCCTAATTTGCGTACCTGGGGCGGGAGCCAATTACTGTCGTCATGTTGCTGGTATCAATGGCATCTCCGTTGGGCACAATAGCAAAGAACACGATGATAACACATGACAGCATTAAAACCGAATACTGTAAAGCATCGTAATTACTATCGTCGTCTCATCCTTGGAAGCGCCAGCCTGGCCACTCAGGTCTCTCTAATCTAATCCGATTCATCTCAACTTCAACCTCCTTGTTCATGGCTGTAAGCAGTGATGTCTCATCTTGAATGTACCACCGATAATGCCATGGTGGCAAGAAACATCAGTGAGTACACCCTTTCGATTCATTGTGAGCTTAGCGCCAACCCCCTTTTACAGCCAGGTTGGCACACTACCCAGATCAATAGTATCAAGCTAGCTGCCTTTCTTTATGCAGCGCCAGACCCTTTGAAGCCTGAAATGTCTTGAAACGATGTCTATTCTTTGTCCTGGAAGCCCTTTTTTTTTCCATTTCTCTTAGTCTACTTACTCCAGTTTGTGCGAGGCTTGTCGTGTCCCCTCGAGTGCCGCCGGGTCCCCTTGTGTCAACGTTGTTCCTCACACCCTCTACTGATCAAACTCAAGGGATGAAAGGAACCCGAAGGGCGAGGATTGATCAACATGATGAACTTGATGTTGACTCCTTGACCAGGTGTGGTAGATGCTTGGACCATCTGCATTTTGCCGGACCGCTTGTAAGGTGCAGAAGGCAACATGTAAGTATATATATGGGCTCGGCCATCCGCTCAACACATCACATCACCATCAGCACTCGAAAACCTTTATTTTTATTCCAATATCACCGAACGCATATCATCTCCAGCAATCCAACATCTATCAAACACTCATCGCCTCACATTTCTCTACACCAACCGCCATGTCATCATCCAATAGCCCTCTCAAGCCAATCTTCGGTCTTGATCTCGAACTCCTGCACAACGGATTTTGGTTGATGCACTATGATAGAGGCCGTAATAAGCACAAGACTTGCTGGCTCAAGAAGGACGATGACGACTTAAAAATCAAGCTCTCAGAGGGAGTTAGCTTATGGCGTGCCCAGCTCCGGTTCCCAACATTTGACTCCGCCGACGTAGCAGCCGGGCTGCCCGAGTTTGAGGCCATCATCGATGCGCTTCATCACAGGAATGGTGTTATCGCTGTGAGGAAGTCTTGCTATACGACACTCGACGTCAACGTCACGGTCGAAGGCGATAATAAAATCTACGCGACGAATCTATTCGCTAAAAAGATCGCTACCCTAGTCATGCTCCTGGAAAAATCGCTGCTCGTCAAGCTGGTGGCTCCATATTCATGGCCCCGGAAAGTCGGCCTCGTGAGCGAAATGTCAAAGGCGGCCCAGGGCCCATGGCCCCAAGGCGATCTTTTCAGCTCTGAGTACGCCTCCCATGTGCCCATGATGGCAGCTATGGAGCCAGCGACAGGGAACGACAGAGATCTAGAGCTCATGCACCGCAAGTTAGCTATGATTTGGTCAGCCCACTCACTGCGAGAGCTTGAGTGTGTCCTACGCCAAGGGTGTTTAAATTGTGCCTTCTACTTGCGCGATATTGACAATGGCGGGCCATGGAAACTAATCAGTGGTACCTTCAAATATATGCAAGTGACCTTTGATCCCGCATTGCTCCGCAATTGGGTCGAGGTCATTGCCCGCATCACCGAACTGGCTCTAGCTGGCCCTGACGAGTATAAGAGATGCCTCGAAGCCATCTTCAGAATTCAGTATAAGACTAACAAAGATGGCGTTCTCTGGGAGCAACTGATGAAGCATATCCTTGGTCTAGAACACCGTATCCCGGACTGGCGGGACCAGCTTGCTAGATACGAGCAAGGAGAGGTCATCGCGGGTGTGGACCCAAATGGGCTGCTGCCAAAGCGGATGGGCCCTTTTTACAGTCAACCGCCCAGGGGATATTTTTACGATTCTGATTTCCTGACTTAGTTTAACTTTTGCACGCATTGATACATGTCTGCCTCTTGCATTGTTTCCTAATAGAGCTCAAGTTCCTTTGACCCTTAATGCCCCGCGCCCCCGTAGAAAGTAATTATGCAATCTTGGTATCCATTCCGTCTGCATTGACGACAAACCAGAACAAAGCTACTCGTAGGCCCAGGCTGTAGAAAGGGGCCTACTATTCCATAAGACTTCTGCCACAGCCCTGACAACCGGGTACCGAATCGTTGAGACGTTGCTCTTCCCCATCATCTTATCAGAGCTGCCATTCCTTGGGCTTTAAGCCACATTGATGACAACCGGCTGCCTCTTCCCCATCAACTTGTCGGACCTGCCATTCCGCGAGCCTTGCGCCACAGACACAACGTACGTCTCGCCAAAAGTCGAGACATTTCTCTTTCCCATCATCACGTCGGATCTGCCATTCCTTGGGCTTTAAGCCACATTGATGACAACCGGGTGCCTCTTCCCCATCAACTTGTCGGAGTTGCCATTCCGCGAGCCTTTCGCCACAGACACAACGTACGTCTCGTACGTCTCCCCAAGAGTCGAAGGTCCATGTTGAGTTCTCCTTCTCCCGCCGCTCCCTCTCGGCTTCGAGATAGCTTGCGACGCCGGCAAAATTCCTGCGCCTGGCTACGTCGATGAGACTCTCACCCTCTGCAGACTCAAATTCTAGCCGATCGCCATGTCCAACAAGAGCCTCGGCCATCCGGTAGGCCTCCTCCTCGGTCTTTGCCCCACGGAGGCCTAGAAACAGGGGTGTCTCCTCCCTGTCGTTGATGGCATTGGCTTCGGCGCCTGCCTCCAGGAGCTGGCCAACAGCGGCCGAGTTGCCATGCTCAGCGGCCAGGTGTAGAGGCGTATGGCCGCTCTGATCTTGCAGGTTGGCGAGGTCTTTAGCAGTCGTGCTATCCACGCTCTCGGTAAGAATAGAGATTAGTTTCGTGATGGCATCTCCGTCGGCCATGTAATGGAGTGCCGTCCTCCCTTGCGGATCCACTGCGTCTAGCTTCGCGCCGGCGTCAACGAGCTCTTGGATAACCTCCCATTTCCTCTCGGAGCATGCTAGGACGAGAGGCGTACGACCACTATAGTCCTTGATCTCTCCGTTAGCAGACATTCTGTATAGGGCGCTAATGAGGCGCCCGTTCCCAGTCATCACAGCTATGTGCAAGGGCGTCCAACCACGGTAGCCCTGGGCGTCAATGCTTTCCTTGAGCGGCTCCAAGACCTGGGTGTGTCCTCCGGCTGCAGCCCAGTGCACAGGCATGCAACCATCAAAGTCTCTCAGTCTTAAGAGAGCGATTTTCGTCAGCTCTTCTTCAGGGTCGCGCTTGCACGGGCTTCCTAGTGGGGTCTTCCTCTTCAAGAGATTCTCCACGACGTCATGGTGACCCTCCCCAGCCGCCAGGTGCATCGGAGACGCCCCATTGTTGGCTTGGCTTTTCAGCTCAGCACGCTTTTCGATTAGCATCGCCAGAATTTCCCCACATCCCGACAAGCAGGCATGATGCGCGGCCGTAAGCCCGCCAGAGTCTGCAAGACCTATGTCGGCATGCTGATTGAGGAGATATTTGGCAACGGCGGCATTTCCGCTCGCCGCCGCGCAATGCAGCGGCGTCCTGTTGGTAACGTCCCGAAAATTGACAATGGCACGCTGTTCAGGAGGCACGTCGTCGGTGGTTATGCCTCGAATCATTGCTCTCCTGTGTAGAGGTGTGACAAAACGTGTCGGCAACCTCTCACTTGTGGTGTTGCAGAACATCTTGTCCATCTCTCGACCCTGGAGCCTGTACAGCTCTGTCATGTGGCCTAGAAAATCAGGCCCCAGTCGATCTCCTGTGGCGTTGTTTAATGTCAATGCGTCCACGAGATGCTCGCAACGGGCTCGCAGCTGGGCAGGTTCTAGTCCATAGCTCTGGCCAACCCTCTCGGATGCATCCTTCATGTTATGAAACTGTTCCAGCAGCCATGCGGCAGCACGTTCGCTAATGCCGCTAGCCCCCTTCGCGTATGTTTGAATCAGATAGAAAGCCTCTGTGGTAGCCTTGGAGAAATACTTGCTCTCCCCTGATCTGCATCCTTCCATGATGGTCGCCGACATGGAGGCGAACCAAGGTTGAGGGAATGGCAGCTTGCCTGCCACGCTCAAAGACCATATCAACTCCAGAATAATTGCTTGCTCCGACCTGGCGCTGACTTGGGCGAAAGCCTTGGCTAGCCGAGCCAGCTGACTGTTCCAAAGCGGGCTTCTCTGCTCGTCGGGGTTGCTCGCAGCGTTCCGTCTAGGTTCTGTCCTGCCCGAGAGGCTGTCCTGGAGCGTCATCGCCATAGACCACGTGAACGAGAATAGCAGATGTGTTGCGCAAACGTCTTCGCAGTGTTCCCCGCTGAAGGAGGCGGATCTGCTGGCCCTCCCCCATCCTTCTGAAATTCCCCTGATCGCCTCCAGTGTCTCATGGTCTTGGGGGGCCCAAGTGTTCATGTCTTGAATCACCTGTTCCTTGTTTCTGTAGGCCTCTGATAGGTAGGGTTCCATCCCGGGTTCGCGTCGGTCTTCAGTGGGGTCGACATGCTCCCACGCCTGCTCTACCGACATCTCATCTTCGCCAGGGTCCACGGATGCCCAGAGTGATAGAACCGCGACGAGATCATCGGCTTCAAGGCTCCACCTGCCTTCCTTGAATGGCAGGTCGATCCACACCCGCTGATTCTGCTCTTGTCCGCGAATCCGCACGTTGAGAAACCACCGGAACCCCTCGCCTCCTCCGTGTCTTGGCCCCTGGGGAAACAGGGTGTTGAGTGCCACATTCAGGGCACTCGCGAGGTTTCCTGCCTTCTGGCGTAAGTTATCGGGGATCGGTGTGAGTTTGCTCAGCCCTCGCCGTGTCACTAATATACTCTGCGCTTCCGAGACTGGCAGCTGATGTCTCATTCTTCCGGTCAATGGCTCGAGAACCTGATGCTGAGCTTCCCTACTCATGGTGATAAGCCATGGGGCGATCAGGGGGTCTGCCGTGGTGTTTCTGGCCACCGCCGTCAACCTTTTGGCCAGCCAGTCCAGCTCAAAGCCAATCCGAGGTTTCGCCTTTATGAAGGAACTCGTGAAGCCGGGGCGTGCGATGCATCGGGTGGCAGTCGTGATGCCAATCGCGATTAGCTGCGCCAGCGATGCCATCGAATTCATGCCTCTAAGACCCACGAACTGTAAGATGGTCCCGGAAAGGCCAAACAGGACGCCGAAGACTGTTTTAGAGGACAGAACGGTACCATTTTCCTTGTTTCGACGAGACCGTGAAATGATAGAGCAAGTCTTGCTGGGGCTCAAAACAAACGGCTCAAACACTTGGTCGTTGACCCTCTGCCTATACTGGACCCAGTAGACACCCATCTCGAACTTGTCATCCGCCCGATAGAAGGCCTCTATGGTACTCTTCTCAACCACGTGGGCACAGAGAAGTATACCAAGTGCCACAGATATGGTGCCAGCGACCGCAGTCCAAAAAGCATAGCCGGGTATGGGTTTGCCGTCCTTGAGCTGGAACTCTGGGCCCTTGTGCACGTAGACAAAGAATCCCACAACAGCACTCTGTACAAGGAGCCCGAAAACGGCAGCCACTCCGATCCTAGTTTGCGCGTAGGTATCTTGTAGGTTTAGCGCGATATTAGGCGCCTCGGGCTCGGTGTCATGTATGACAATCAACGTGGGCTGGGTGTCGGGTTCTTGGGGTTCTCGGTGGCGACTGAAAATATTGCCTGACTCCAGGCTATCGTCGTGCTTCGAATTGCTGGCAAGGACTATGAGGCTTCAGTACAAGAACAAGGAATGCCGGGCGCGAGAGCAATACATACCAGTTTGGCGAAACCTCGTCCAGATCCACTCAAGTTTCCTTCGCCTGGTGATGGACACATCACCTCCGAGATCGGGACCTAGGACTTGTCAGTCACCCTCATCTTATTCATTCTGTTGTTGCAGAGCCCGGCACCTTCGTTCTGGATGAGGAACCCATCCTGGAGAGCCTCTCGGAGCGTCTTGAACTCGATTCTCCAATTCTCGGCCCCAGCCTCGCTGCTGAGGAATCCCTTTCTGAAGAGACAGGTGTACTGCCCGATGGACCCTAATCCAAGGCACCGCACTATGTGCTTGCCGTTATATAACTCGCAAACTTCTTCGGAGGTGGAGGACATTAGCTCCAGCTCAGGCACGGCCCTATTCTCTTTTGCACGGCCCACGACCGCCTTGAGCCAAGTCGGGCCGCCGACTCGGATGGCGCTAACCATGATTGTAATGATACCCAAAGGTACCATAGCCAAGGCGAAGCAATCCGCAAAGCTCACGGCCTGTGAAATAAATTGCATCGTTATTCGTTCTCCGAATAGTGCGAGTAAACTTGGAATCACTTAGCGGGCAAGACCCTTCCTGGAATGTCATCCATGACTCACGGTGCTAAATCTGTGCTCAGATTGTTGACGAAGTCCTCGAGATCATCGCCGTTGGCAAAGCCCACCAGCATGGACAAGAGGATAAGGGCGCTTCTCATTGTGTTCTTCATGGTCAGTAAGTATCGAATAGGTTCCAGGCTAAGCATGCATGTATCGAATCAAGGGTCGGTTCAAGAAGCCGTTTCTGAAAGTGTGCTAAGCACAACGAAAGCTCTCTGGATTTCACGGATGGGGGGAAAGAGGACAAGATACCGGCTTCACCATCATTCTTCAAGTTCCAGCGCCGTTCTAGTAGATGGGTGATGGGCAGGGTGGGCGACAACATAACCCCGTTCTCGTGCAGCATCACCAACATGGAGTCTTTGATACCAACCAGGGCCAGGTTGAGCTGCAGCTGAACCTTCCAATAAGCCATGCTTAACTAGTATGAGTAGGAGAACTGATATATGATACATAAAGAAACGGCAGAAAGGATTACGCCAGCCACGTTCTGTTCCATGGTTCCTCCTGAGCCCGGCCCAGGGTTTCGTACAGAGTCAGGTAGGTGATGAGAGAGACCAAATGGTTTTCTGCCAACGCAATGGCACTTCTAAAGTAAAACCTCTACCGCAATAGCCAAAGACGTGGTTTTCAATTCATGCCAGCACCAAAAACCAATGCCGAAAAACACTATACTCTAGAAAGAGACTACGCCAAAACGTCATCACAGCTCTAGGAGATTACTGAACAGGTAGTCTGGCAGCTTCCCGTATTCTTCAATACCATCCCGGGATGAAGTTCAATAATCCCGGCCCAGACAGGGACTTGCATCATTAGTGGGAGCAAACAGTCGGCCAGGCATGGCAGGCTCTCCACCTCTCCTCAGCCCTGTCCCCCTAGCACATGGCCAGGATACCCCTGGACATGCCATCACACAGAATCCACGTGCCTGTGCCCTGCGTTCATCGCAGCCTGCCTGCTTCTGCCTGTTCTTCACCTGAGGCGGGTTTGGGGCAGGTGGCTCATGGAACCTTCGACATAACTTCTACGCTCAGTTTGATTGCTTCCCTCTTCTTCTTTTCGTACTAGTCTCAGCCTCCTTCCTTCATGACACCCTTCTTTCTCCAGGAACTCATCCTGCGGCGACAAGGCTGAACTAGACTGCCCTGCAGTCACCGTCTTCTTTGTACAGGTGGCGGGCTGCCAGGTCCGAACTTGGGTCCAAATTCCTTCGCCAAACAGGGAACCAAGCTTGTCAGTTCTCGAAACAAAACATGACCGGTGAGCCCGCCCCGTGCTCTCTTCTCTTTGTGATGACCCGGCGTTTGCGCAGCTACAGAGGCGGTGTAGACCACAGACTACCCCGAATGCCTCTTCTGAGCTCGTCCAGAGACCTCAAGCCGCGAAAATGAGGCTGTGGATTTTGGGTCCTGATTTGGCAAGGTGGCCTGGCGACCCATGGTTAATGACGAGCATCCGAAAGCAATTCCGGCAGTGTTGCATCACGCACATTCAACTGTCTGCAACGTGCTTGGCATGATGCGGGCCATCTACCAGGCTCTTGGGTTCAGACCTGCAACACACGGGACGGAGCCCTGAGCCAATCCCATTCATGATCCGGGAGGTTGGTGGCTTGACTGCTGGCATTGGGTGCCATACCAGGGGCTAGTATGCTTCACACCGTCAGGGGAATCAAGAACAAACTACCTACGTTCCAGGGTCTCCAATACTCTGTTCCAATGTTTGATACGGTGTTCCGGGAACTCTCAGTGGGCCAGCTGACGACACACGAAACAGATGGCCGATTGCTCTGAAGGGATCTTCGCGCCATTCATCAGTGCCAGTGCCAGTCTCAGAGATTAATTTTAGAAACAACGATGGCAGTTCTATTGATGCCTTCCGCCGGGCTTGGCAGACAAGTTTGTGGTGTGGGCCGCCTGGTAGCTTTCTCCCGCCTGCAGAGCCCGTATGTTGGTAGGGAGCCTCTACCAGCCACATCTGCGTGATTCCATCAGAGGTGCTTCTATGAACACCAAGCTTCACCCAGGCGACCTTTTGGCTCAGTTCCCATCAAGGACCGGGCTGCAAATGTAATAAAGAACAGATTATCAACGACTTTGCCCGAGAAGAAGTCACCCAAAGCGCTGTATTTCAAAGATGTGGTTGCATCGGCAGCGTCATCAATCTGAACGGCGGAATATGTTTGCCCACCCAACAGCTGAGGGGCCTCCCGTGTAACACCAACGTGAGCTGTCAGACACACATTCTTCTTGCCGCCCAGCCGCCCCATCAGTGCATAAAGACTTCGTACATCAGGGGGCCACAAACCAATCAAAGCTCTCTATCGGCAATACATCACCCTCACCCACATACGCCTCAGGAGTAAGTGCTTGATCATAAGGTCTAGACAACAAGACCTCCCACTCCACAGGCTAACTGTTAGAGTGTTAACACTTGTGCGAGGTACAACCTGGAGATCCCTGTACACTGATGGGACAGCAATCATACCTTGAGCTGGCAAGGAGCCCCAACCTGGTCACTACAGGGGATCAAGTCAATCACGTCAATTTATCAGAGGGATACTTGCATTATTACTTGGTCTTTCCCAGGAAGTAAGTATTCATAGCATAGCATCTCGACAGAGGAGATCGTCCTGGCCATGTAACTCGGTTATCCCACTGACACTGGGAGCCTGGGGGTCCTTGTGTCCTGATAGGATAGCAAGTGAGCTGTCCGCCAACTTGCGGATCGGGCTGCCGTTCATGATGATGTATGGTTCCCGCCCGTCACTGGTCCAACCCGAAGGAGATGACAAGATGTCCTTTAGGGGCCAGAGGTGGTCTTCTCTGTAAATTCGCTAGCCAAGGATGGAGGGGAAGCAGGAGGCTGTCTTGGCAACATTATCACAAGGATCAGTCTCCTTCTTCTTCCCACTAGGTACTGCTCTACGTATGAAACAGAGTCAATACCAGGCAAACGTCAATTTATGCAATGCAACTACGGTAATAATGACACGGGAGTTGGCTTGACGCCTGTCCAATAAGATCCCTGTCGATGTCGTCCATCACAAGCCTCAATTGCCTAGTGTTATTGCCATAAAGGGAAAGAGAAGATCACGTGAGTGTGACGAGCTTCTGCGTTCACGTTCATGCCATGGGATGGAGCTCCAAGACTGCATGTCCCATCCCATGAGTGTCCAAGGACCTCCAATCCGTACCTTGCCCCAGCGTTATTTCATTAGCAGTTAGTGGGCAATTTAGGAGGTCAAGTTGCTAGGTCTTTATGATCACAAATCTCTCTCCCAGGGCGGGAGTGAGGTGAGGATGATGTATTGCCTCTATGAGGGCTTTGATTGGTTTAACCCCCCTTGGGGTACCTGCTTGGAGGTCCTTGGGCACTCATGGGATGGATCCCATGGATGCTCCAAGCTGGTCCGACAGATGGGATAGGCCAATCAAAGCCTGTGCAAGGTAATCATAGGACATTATCAGGGAACCGCTCACAATTAGCAGTAAAAGCATTAGAAGCATAACACTGGGGCGGCGTACAGCTTCCAAGGTCCTTGAGCAGTGAACACACTCCATCAATCATCAGTAACGCACTCAGATCCTTCAACTCAGCAACGCATCATCCATCTCGAGATTCGATCCTTCATCGGCCAATCATTTCCATCGTAATGGTCATGAATATCCACGACATCCATCGGCTTGACCTCATCCGGAAGACTCTCACGCCTTGTTTGCCGATGCTTCACCGCGTCATAGATCGACGATGACCAATGAGACGCGGCTTCCCCGAACCGGGATGGCATCGCCCATCGCGATGTCCAAGATGAAGACCATCTCGATCCCTTAAAAGAGGCCAATGCCTTTCCAAGGGTAGGCACAGGACAGTCCGAGACTTACAACAAACATACCATCCTGCTACATACCATCACCATGGCGCCAGCAGCAACAGACATGTCCTTCGCCGCCCACGCGGCAAACCAGTTCACTTCCTACGAAAAGGACCGTCAGATGCCCTCCACCGAGGCCATCTACACCACCAGCAATGGTGTCCCCATGCCCCATCCCTACGAGTCCCAGCGTTGTGGCGAGAACGGACCCCTCCTGCTCCAGGACTTTCACCTCATCGACCTCCTCTCGCACTTTGACCGCGAGCGCATCCCCGAGCGTGTCGTCCACGCCAAGGGTAGCGGAGCTCACGGCTTCTTTGAGTGTACGGATCCTATCCCCGATCTGTGCCTTGCGGATCTGTTCTCGGAGAAGGGAAAGAAGTGTCCCGTCACGGCACGCTTCTCCACGGTCGGCGGCGAGTCGGGTTCTCATGATCTAGCAAGAGACCCCCGTGGATTCTCGGTCAAGTTCAGAACCGACGAGGGTAACTGGGACGCCGTCTTCAACAACACACCCGTCTTCTTCTTGCGCGATCCTGCCAAATTCCCTCACTTCATCCACACACAGAAGCGCGATGTATCAACCCACCTCACACACGCTGACGACTCCTTCATGTTCTGGGACTACCTCTCGCAGAACCCCGAGTCGATCCACCAGGTCATGATCCTCATGGGCGACCGCGGCATCCCGGACGGCTATCGCTTCATGCACGGTTACTCTGGCCACACGCTCAAGCTCGTCAACAAGGACGGCGACTGGGTCTACTGCCAGATCCACATGAAGTCGATGCAGGGTGTCAAGTTTATTACCCAGGAAGAATCGGCAAAATACTCTCCCGACTACTCCCAGAAGGACCTCTACGAAGCCATCCAGCGAGGCGATTACCCCAAGTGGTCCGTCGACATCCAGACCATGACCCCCAAAGAAGCCGAAGAGTTGTGGGAGAAGCAAAAGATCAACGTCTTTGATCTCACCCACATCTGGCCACAGAAGCAGTTCCCTCGTCGCAAGGTTGGAGAGTTCACGCTCAACGAGAATGCTGTCAACTACTTTGCCGAGATTGAGCAGGTCGCCTTTAACCCTTCGCACATGCCTCCTGGTATCGAGCCATCGGCGGACCCCGTCCTTCAGTCTCGTCTGTTTTCGTATCCTGATACACACCGTCACCGTATTGGTGTCAACTATCAGCAGCTGCCAGTCAATGCCCCTCGAACCACCTTCAAGCAAGGCAACTTCCAGCGCGATGGTCAAATGGCCTTCTTCAACCAAGGCGCCCGCCCGAACTATCTCTCCTCGATCGACCCCATCCAGTTCCGCCAACGAACTGTGGACATGGATAAGACACACGGCCACTTCACCGGGGAAGCTATCACCTTCCTGAGTGAGATTCGACCAGAAGACTTTAACGCGCCACGCGCCCTGTGGCAGCGTGTGTTTGACGAGCCCGCCAGGGAGCGTTTCATCAGCAACGTGACGGGCAAGATGGCCCTCTGCAAGCAGCAGGAGCCTCTCAAGAGGCAGATCGCCATCTTCCGCGAGGTTGACCCTGATATCGCTGAGCGCCTAGAGAAGTCGACGGGCATCAAGGGATACGATGGCATTGCGAATATGCGCTTCAACGGAACGCACAATGGTATGGCCAAGGACGACAAGAATAGACTCGCCAACGGTATCATCTCCAACAAGGGCCGGAGTGTTTGTGACAATAACGGAGGCCCAAAGAAGGGTATGCACAAGGGCATGGCCAACAATGGTGTCAACGGTAAGTAAGAAGATAAATAGCCTTACAACAAATTAAATTGCCAACTTATCCTTCAACGATTCGTCTCCTACTTTGAATGATAGTACGTAGTCATGTTCAATACCCAGCTCCGAACATCTCTGACCCACCCCCGATCCGTGTGGGGCCGCCCCGGCACTCCCCCTCCCCGATATCTACCCCTTGACTTCATCCTTGACCTCATTCCTCCCCGGAGCCTGCCACCTCGAGCTCGGAGGGGCACACGTCTCGGCACACTTGACGCACGCCAGGTCCGTCTTGCGATAGCTCCCCTTGATGATGCGCTTGGCGTCAAAGGCGTACCGCGGGCAGTGCATCGTCGGGCTCGCGTTGCGCCCAAACAGCCTCCGCTGGTAGTCGCACGCCGAACCAAGGTCGTCGACGGCGTAGAAAAGGTCGATGTAGTGGAATGCCTCGCCGCCGATCATGACTCTTCCGCGGGACATTTGAGGACACTCGGGGCCTTTGGCGCAGGAGCAGACCATGCGCTGGAATGAGTAGGTGCACATTTTCGCTAGCTTTTCGAGGTTTGTCGATATAGGTTTTGCGTATATAGAAAAGACTTGGTAGATGGGAGTTGAACGGTGATGGGGACAAGGTTCCTTGATCATCCCTTTATCTAGGTTGAGCTCTGTGTTAAAAAGGTACTGAATCACAGACTCAGTCGTCGCGTCCTCGTAACAATATCCTCCCTCGCACACACACCTCGTCTGACACTCCCAGTATATAAACGTTTCCTCTTTTTCCCAAAGTGCCGTTCGTTACACTCCGCCCCCTCGGGTCTTGGGACCCCAAAGCGGCAGCCCGCGCAGTGTTGTTTGCCTTGGTCTGTCCTAGCGTGCACCATGCGGCGAGCCGCTCGTCTGCCACTGTGAGGTACCAACACCGGGGAGGGGCGTGAACGCGGGTTCCCACCCAGTGTTAAGTGACCGAGCCCCGAGCGAGGGAAGAAGGCAAACATGGTCTCGGGTTTAGGGAGGTAACGAGACGAGACGGGTCAGTATCGCGAGGGTTGGCAAACACCAGGTTTGGAACCGTGAGTCTGTGCTTCTTGATGTAGGTAGGTCAAAATGACATTGTTACTTGGATTTTTTTTCAACTTGCTCACTATAAACAAAAAAGTCATTCGCCTTGACTCATTTTTTTTTCGTTTCCGTGGATATTTAGTCCATCTGGTCCACCGTCGTGGCATCCCCGTTGCGTCCACCGTTGGCAGCACCAGCAACCTCCTTGTCAGCCGCGCTGACGGGGAAACGCCAGTTGAACTTGTCCTCTGCCTTGGCTAGCTGGATATCCTTGAGGTGCTTCAGCAGCTTCTCAAACAGAGGGCCGGGCTCCTCCTGGCCGTCGGGGATATAGGTCAGAGTCTCGGTCTTGGCGTCCCTGCGTCGGGTGATGGACCGGATGGGAACGAGAGCAGCAGCGGTGCCAGCTGCAAAGACCTCGCTGAAGGAGCTCAGCTCGCCGTACTTGATGGGTCGCTTCTCGACCTTCCAGCCGTAGCTGCGGCCGAGCTCCTGGATACTGTCGCTCGTGACACTGTCAATGACACAGTGAGAATCGGGGACGACCAGAGTTACATCGTCGCCGTTGACCTGGGCACCAATGAAGCCGCTGGTGCTAAACTCGTCAATCTCCTCGTGCTTGACGCTGTCCAGGTGCAGCGTGATGCCGAAACCCTCCTCACGGGCCTTGTCGCTCCAGCGCAGCACGGGCGCATAGTTGCCTCCGACCTTTGCATTTCCGGTGCCGTTGGGGGCAGCGCGGTCAAACTCTTCCAGGATCAGGGCCTTGACGGGGTGAGCGCCGTGGTAGACCCCGGTGGGGATGACAAAGACGGCAAAGGTGTACTCCTCGGGAGCCGACAGGCCAAGCTGGGCGCTGGAGCCGTAGAGCTGGGGACGGATGTAGAGGGCGGCTCCCGTGTCGTGGGGGGGCACAAACTCGGCGTTGAGGGCGACGGCGGCGCGGACGGCCTCGAGGAACATGTCGACGGGGACATGGGGCATGGAGACGACGTCGGCCGAGTGCTGAAGACGAGTAGCGTTGCGGTCAGGACGGAAGACGGTGATGCCTTCATCGCCGGGA